ATATCCATCCCCTTGACTATTTTCTTCCTAAATAGTCTCTTTACTGATCCCATGTTTAAGTGGCCTAATGTTTTGTGCCACTTTTGCCATGATCAGGCTGATTTCATAGTATGGGCCTGAGTTATTTCTGGAACAATGATGTCAAGGCTGTACAGCTTTGATATTTTATCTCTATGGCTGATTATCTTGCCATGTGGTGAGATAATATCTATTCTGGACTCTTTGAATTTGAGTTCAAATCCAGCATCTATAATGCACCTTATCAACATAAGATTGAATAGTGCATCAGGACAGTGGATACACCCTTTTAGTGTGACTAGAGTGATCTTTTCTCCTTCAACCATTTTAATCTTGATAGTTCCCCTTTCTAAGCCTTTGGATTTGCCTACACCAATGACTTCATGTTCTAGAGTTTCAATATAGTCAGAAAAATATAATCTATTTTTGACTATATGTCTGATAGTGCCAGAGTCCCCTAGTCATAATACTCCTGAGAGTGAGATAAGTGTGACATCTGTTGCACAAAATATGTAGTCTTCTTCTTCTGAGTCTAATTTGGCAACATGTGCCTGAGTCTGGCCCTTTTCCTTCTCTTTCCATGACTTTCTAGAATTCTTCTTCCTATTTGAGCAATTTGTCCTGATGTGACCAGTTTCCTCACATTCATAACATGTGACTTTTGGATTGAACTTCTTGCCATATGCTGCAAGTGTTATGATCTGATCAGAAGTCTTTTCCTTTAATCAGATGTCTTTCTGAAGAATTTGGAAAATCAACTTGTAAGAATCTTTTAAGTCAGCAGTATCCACTGATGAGATAAATGAATTTCATGATTCCAGGAGTGATATAAGCAGTGTAATAGAGAAGTCCTCCTCCTCAACTTTCTGCTTAAGAGATGCCAGCTCCTTCTGATAGGACCTCAAAGTTCTAATATGCTCCTCTATATTTCCTTTTTCTTCACACTGAGCTCTGAAGAATTTCCTTCTGACAAGGATAATTCTCATGGGTCCCCTGGACTCATACATATCTTTTAGAGCTTTTCAGACTTCTGCTGAAGTCTTTGAACCAGCAATATATATCAGTGGGCCATCTGAAACCTGCAATCTTATTGTTGAAAGAGCCTTCCTATTGCTCTTCTTCTAATCTGCCACCAGTGTCATGTCTATCAGGGCTGGAGTGCTTTCATCTGCATAATCAATTAGTCCTAAATTGATTAGAATATTGATCATCTTGATTTTCCACATTGGGTAATTTTCTAAGCTCTTAAGAGGGTTAATTCTATATATGGACTGACTATCCATGTGGTTCTATATGTGTACATAAAGTACAAAAGGGTGTAAAGTGAGTAGCAATGTAAGTTTAGTTATAGCCAGAGCCCATAACCTGTTATAAATAGAGAGCAGAGTAATGTACAAAAGATTAGAATTAGCCTCTTGAGAGAGAGACATTCTACTTAAATACATTTTGTATTATTTCAAGATCTTTCTATGGGATACTAAATAAGTCTAGATCATGATCTAAGTCAGCTGCCACTGACTGGTATTGTATCTTTGAGTACATTCTCATACTTACTCAGGATTACTATTTCAACATCTGTATTTAAGCTGCTAAGTCTGGCTTTGGGTAAGAGGTTTGTCATGGGCTGATGGGATGTTTATTGGGATTCTGGAATGTCATGTAGAGGGAGGTTGGGGGTTATATTTTGTAGAATGTGTCAGATGTGTTGGAATTCCTAGTAATATTGAATTGCCCAGGCAGTGATTGATTGGTGTTCATGGTACAGCTGTATGATCACCAATAATTCTAATAATATACTGATGATAGAGGCAAGGAGTTCAAAGAACTCATGATCAAAGTTAGAGTCTGATAGGTTGATGTCAATAAAGGGCATTTGGTTTCCTTCACACTAATTGTGTGTAAGAAAAGAGAAGAAGAAGCTTTGAGCTAATTGTTAGACTCAAGCCACATGTGATCAGAAACATGTGATAAACTAATGTGCTTTTGCATTCAAGACTTTCACTAGAGTTCACTTATTGTGCCTTTTGACCAGTATGCTTTAAGGCCTTTAGAGATAGCTCAAGAGTAGAATGAGATAGAATAAACTTTAGCTTGAAGCTGAGGATTACCAGCAAGAGTGAGCTGTCTTATATACTGTACAGGTCAAGGATAAATATACTACTGCCTATTGTATATTGTTGAGTCCTTTGTGCCCATTGTCTTTGAGCACTGTTACTGTACACAAAAAGTTTGTTATGCATCATTGGGCAACACTGTTGCATCGAAAGACAATGACCAACTGGGCTTGTTGTGATGACTAAGCCTGTCCTGTGGTTCTAAGTGCTGGTCTAAGTGCTCTGACTAAGCATAAATAGGGGTTATTCTCATGTCAAAGAAGTAAAAGGTGAAAAATCATAACACTCAGCTTCAAGCTAAAGTTTATCTATATCACTTCACTCTCAAGCTTTCTTGCAAAGGCCTTAAAGCATATTGGTTAATAGAGCACAACAAGTGGACTCTAGTATGACTGTATAAATATAATACAGTGCTAGTTTATCTTGTGTTCTGATTATATGTGACTTGAGTCTAATAATCAGTTAGTGCATTGAGCATAAAAATACACAGAAATAGGTCAGAACTGGATATGCTCATATATGTGAATGTTGAGATCAACTAGCCTGTTGGTTGTGACTATCACATGCTTGAATGGCTGTAGCAAACACTGAATGCTTACTGAATTAAGTTCATCTGGACTATTGATCCCTCTTATTCATGATAGATTGCCAGCTTGTCTCAAACATATTTTGCAGTGGAGTTTTTGATAGAGTTCATAAAATCCTTTTCAGCTTTGACTGCTTTTAGGTTTATGAAGCCATGGATGGCTCAATTCTTCATCTGCCAATTCATATAGGCTCAAGGTTCAACAGTACAGTTAGAGCAAGGAAGGCAGTCAAGATGATGACCATCAATGCCACCTGATATAGTGAGGCAGTTGAGCACATTGGCTTTCCATTCTTGCCAGTTATTAACTTTTTTGTTGAGAGATGCAGCAGTGAATAATGAAGATTGAATGGTGAAAATAGAAATAAATCACTTTAGCACATCAGTAGGTAGAGGAGTGAGGGATGGTGCAGTATCACTTTGAGTGACATCAGGCATTGACATTGTCATATGAGTGGCTCAGAGACACAAGGAGGTTTCTTTCAACAAAGATGTGGATTACAGGCAAAAACATCAGTGACAAGATATAAACAGTGTGGATTCCAACTCTTGACTTTAGAGCATGAGACAAATACTCACAACCTGTTAAAATTCAAAGCCTATAGAAGTAGTAGCTCAGTCTGAACATGTTAGAATATAGAAGGACTGAGAAAAGAGCTGTGTGATGAGGTAAGCCTATAATTACTTGTCTGAGAAACAATGGAACATCCTTAGTGTTTGCTGATGCATTGTCATGTATTTCAGATGCCAACAAAAATAAAATAAAAAAGATAATGTGAAAAAGCATAATTTCTCAAAGATGAGTGAGGCAGTAAGAAGACAGAAAGTGATGACATTGTATTTGTATCTCTAGTGTACATGATCTCTACACCAGAGGGCCAAAAGTGAAAGGAAATTGAAACTATTTTAAAAGTAGCAAAGTGCATTCCCATAGTTGAAACCAAAATTGAGTCATGGTAACTGGCAGCAGAGTTTCAATTTACATACTTAAACAAGCAGGCACCTGGCATGTTTCTCACTCTCATTGACAATGATGACAATACCATAGACAGTACTGATGATGACATTGATGTCTCTGCCAGTATCAGTTCTATTTTCTTCTTGCTGCTGCTCAATCACATGATCTTCTATTTTCTATCTCTTTTGCAGTCTATATCATCATGAGTCAACCTTTCAGAGATGGTCCAGAATAAGGCCAAGACATATTCAGCATCCCTATCATCTACAAGGAAAAAAAGTTCCAACAGGGATATCTGACCATCTGATGCCAGAGAACTAGAATAATCTTACTGATACCCCTCAAAATATACTAGCCAGATCAAAGCATCCAACACTCCTAACTTTTGTATTCTGGGTGAGTCTATCATTTTGCACTCTAATTTCTTTGCTGTATGGCTCTCCAAGGGTTTTTAGCTCAAGTATGAAATCAAGATTGAGCCAGTGACTCTTTTGAACAAGTGCAAGGACTGTATTTTCCAGTTGCTTGAGGCTTGCCCTCAGGTTCATCTCTCTCTAGACTCTATTGCTCATGAGAGAAGTATGTGCCTCATATCTGCCAACAAATTACCTGATTTGCATATAGCAGTTCCATTTGATGAAGAGAGCCAGGCTGGAACTGTCACATACCAGATATCCATCATCTTCAAGTGCATTTCCTATGATTCTTGTTTCACTAGGCTTTCATGTATTCTCTTTAGATATCTCAATGCTGATGAGGGTTGCTGAGATTATGATTTGCTTTCATGCTGTCCTGTTGTAACACTATGTAGCTAATGAATGATCTTTTGAATATATATCATTGATGTTTCTACTGTATGAATTATCTGACTGTCAAGAAGCTGAAACTAAGAGTCTGGGTTGTTTCCATTTGGTGATGAAGGTCAGAAAGCAAGATTCAATTTTAAACATTCAATGCAGGAATGATCCCTTCATCTTGCCTTTCAGAAGTTAGAACCTGTAATCTCGGTGCCACCTGGTTGAATGCTGGTGCAGATGGCAAACCTCATGCCAGGTGTGGCACAGGATCTGGCGCCACCAACGCCCAGAGTCACATCGACTCGGAAATGTCAATATTCTGGTATATTGCCGATCCGAGTTGCCCAAATTCTGGGGTACAAAGCTAGTCGACCGTGGTAAAACCCGATGCTCGTGACTGCATCATTACCCTTTAAGTAATCATCTCCGTGAATCCGAGACCCTCGTCCTTCTTTCACACTCGCCACCACTTCATCCTGTTTTTGGACCACATTCTTCTCGCCGTTCTTCATATTCTGCCCTCAGAAATGTCAGAAGAGCGAGAAGATACCAAGCTGAAGATCAACATCACCATCAAATATGGAGGCGAGGAAGACAAGAGTACATTCGCGTTTAATCTCACCATCCAGAGATAACAGTCGCCATAAAGCGGACGACAAAATTTGCTAAAGTATTTGCAGTTGCAGAGGTGTGCTTTTTACATGTTCCGACGCGTTTAGTTGGCTAACCAGGAGCGTTTAGAAAAAGTTCGAGAAAGATCCTGGTTAGAATCATGTCCCCCCTTTCCTCCCTTTTATGTTTTCATATCATGTAACTGGGTACAGGTACATTGAAATTTGTTCTGAACGGGGATAGACTACGTCCTGAAGAGACTTTAGGAGATGTATGTGGTTGTAATCTTTCTTTGGTGGCACTGACCTATAACTTGCGTCGGTCTAGCACGACATAGAGGAGGATGATATAATTTATGCACTTTTGGAGCAGGTAGGCCTGCCACCCCCCTTTTATCTTCTTTCTGCTGATGCCTCTTACAGCGAGGAGGCGTGCCCTGTCTCATTTTTGCCTAGTGCTTCCCCTATTATCGCGATATCATTATAATTTTCGGTCATGCATTTACTCTAATCTACAGGCCCCATGTCAAGTATGTGAGCTTATACTAATTATGCATAACATCAGATAACATGAAAGAACTGATGTCCTCTGAGACGAAAAGACATCCCTCCGTAGTGTCAAGCCGTAGACGCATGATATTCAGCCGTATTCGTCTTCATGTTCCTGATTGGCGATCTTACTGGTGGAGTTCAAATTGTGGAAATGAAAAACTCAAATTGCGAGAGAAGGCATAACGTGGTATCGTATCAAAACAAGCGCGGTATCAATCAGAGTCCCGGATCCGAATCATAAATACGCGGAAAGTCCATTCATCTACCCAGTCCTCCTCAGGTAGGCAAGCGCCTGATTCGACGCCGCGTCTTTAGCGATGTACTTTTGCGACCCTGTGCCAATACCACGAACGACTCCATCGACTGTAAAAAATTCGTCAGAAAAGATTGTAAGCCGTCATTGAGAAGCTCACTTTTGCAGGTCATCGTCCAAGTAGGAGCATTTGAAGGGCCAGAGCGTGACTCAAGCCAGCTGACGGCTTCGAGACGGTTCTGTCTTTGAAAATCTAGAGGACTATTAGTAACGGTCCGCGATCAGATTCAGAAAGGATTACAGTTGTTGAGACCACTGGTTCCAACTGTAAAGCTGTAAGAAAGAGCAGCCAAAGGTCTAGAGGGTGACTAGCCTTCATTGGCAGGCATCGCTGTTCAGTCAAGTTCGTGTTTCTGCAGAGCTCATCCTTCAAACAAAGAGTTTTATAGCCAGTTAGCGAGAACGGCGACCTCCACGATTTCATTTCGCGTTCATGTCTCATCATCCGCTGCTCAAAGAACCCCAGCAATGTCCGCCCGAGAATTAAAACGCGACGGCGAGATGGAAGTCTTTCTAAAGTCGAAAGACATGAACGCCGCACTACGATCATGAAAACTAAGGCACCATCGACGCGATATTGTCATGAGGCGGTTTACTGGTTGCCTCTGAGGAATTCGTGGGAAGGTACCATAGCAAGCTTGGTTATATCTCGACTTTGCATTCCGTCGTCTGACCAATGTATCACAACACGAGGTGCAGTGTGCGAAAGAGACTCGCTGTAATTGCCGAGCACGGGTGCGCCAAGGCCATCGGCCTAGCGGTTCAAAAGTGACTACAGTGTTACAAGTCCATTTTGTGAAGAGACGAAAGCGAGCTTATGACACGGATATGACGTCAGCTGAAACTGATAACTCTCAATGGACAGGATGAAATCACGCATGAACCAATAAGATTTGGTTTTCAAAACATCATTAGGAGAAAAGAAGATCTTCTGAGACGTGCTCATTGGATGGATCTAAAATCAGCAGCGCGGCCGACAACGACAAACGCATGAGTCTGTGCCTGTTCAGCATGCCGAGCCACTCACGGGAAAAGAAATGAGACTTCATTAGAAGAGAAGGAAGTCAGTGAGAAAGCTCCTGAGAAGGCGCGTTAACGTCCAGAAACAAAGACGATAGCTCAGTTCCGAGAGTCCACAGCCAGAAGGTATGTGGGCTTGCGATATGGATAGGAGCCGTACTTTCCGCGCGGTAACAAAGTACAGTTTCATAACCTCCCTTACCGATTATGGCCAAGCCGTGCAGAGGGGACATGAAAAGAGAACCAGCATCACGAAGCAGTCAGCAGACCAGCCGACTGTCGGACATTCGTCGAACACAATCGCGGGCACGACAACGTTTGTAGTCGGGCGACATAGACTTAAAGTCATACATGTTGAACGAAACGGAAAAATCAAATACATCTGCACAGGGAGTATGTCAGATCTGCAATTAAAAGAAGAAAACAAAGGCGCACGGCATATGTAAAGTAAAAAGATACAGATCCAGTAGTCGCGGTCTAGTCATGCCTTACTGTCTTCCTCGGCATCACCAAGGGTAAGTTTTTCGATAGCATCCTGAAAATACTCGTCATCGCTGCTCCCGCTCTTTCCCTCGCCACCGCTCTCATCCTCCTCATCCTCCTCTTCATCTTCGTAATCCAGCTATATCCCATCGGGTAAGCCTTTCTCACCAAGGAATAACCAGAGAAGTCGACTCACAGGATCATAAATGACACGAATGATGAGACTGCAACTGGGACAGGTAGCAATATCTTCATAATTGGCTAGTTGCTGTCGTGAAATTTCGAAGCGGTCTCCGCAGGGACATGGGTAGTGATAGACACGCTTCGAAGCATCCCACACCATGTCTTCTATTTCAATCTCGTCGTAGTAGGCGCCCATATGGAGTCTTACGAAAAAATCTAGCCAGGCAATACGGACATGAAGTGATAGTAAAAGAGAGAGAGCACGGCGGCCTCTGATTCCGAGATCCGGTGTTTGGTAAACATGACGATCCCAAATAAGCCGCTCCAGCGGCCCGACTATGCTCGACGGACATTAGCGGCTCCTTTGACCATAGCAGGACAAAAGTTGGGATTTTATACCGGGTGGACTTCTCTTCTACAGCGCTGCCTCCCAGTATTCTAATACTAAACTATAAGTACCATAATATTGGTCCCTTTATTCCCGCTGCTACCGGACGGCCCGACTGCAGCCTCCCGACTAAAAACCGCCACCATCCAGCTGACCTCCGGGAATAGCATATATACGAGCAGAAAAATACTGGTATCTTCAAGACCCCAAGTCTTTGCAAATACTCTCATTTTCCCCCAATGCCACGCCTTCTCTCTTCGCTGGGGATTGTCGGAGTCGGTATGCCGCGGTGCTGTATCAGGAGAACATCATTCTCATTTCTCGCAGCACTGGTTCGCGCATTGATTAATCCAATACTCCCAGGCTTCAATCCGGACCCTTCTATACTGAGCGTAGGATCGAATTACTTTATTGCTACGTCCACGTTCGAGTACTTTCCTGGTGTCCCCATTTATCACAGCACGAATCTCGTAGACTGGGAGCTCATTGGGCACGGATTGACCAGACCATTACAGCTGTCGCTTCTTGGCACACCATCAGATGCGGGTCAGTGTGATACTTCCATATCTGTCTGTGACCTGGGCGCTAAGCGTGATGAACCTGAAGGCGTTTGGGCCCCAACTCTGAGATTCCACAGAGGAGTATATTATCTCGTGTGCACGACTAGATATGTCTACACTCGTACGTCCACCATCATATTATGCGTCATCACATTTGCTCATGTCTGTAAAGCGGAATTCAGGCTCTTCCCTCGAAGCTTCTACGTTTCCACAGAAGACATATCTTCAGGAGAATGGAGTGATCCGGTGTATTTTGGTATGTGTTCTGTATTTCTTACGTTACGTTCATTCCATCAAACTTAATGTTTCATCCAGACTTTCTTGGATATGACGCAGATCTGTTCTGGGATACAAACGGTGATGTAAGGGTAGTTTTGTGCTATACAAGTCGAGCTGAAAGCCTCCCTAAAGGTATATGCTACATGGACCGGAATAAACAACGCCGTGGATAAAATCTACGGCATCTACCAGAGCAAAATTGATCTCCTTACAGGAGATTCTCTCACTGGTGATAAACTCATCTTCAACGGCACTCTTCCCAACGATTCGACGTCTAGGCCTGAAGGTCCACATGTATATTTGATCAACGGAACTTACTACCTCATGATCGCAGAAGGTTAACATCCTAGTTAATTATGGTTTAATACTTGCGACTCACACCTCCAATCCCGTAGGCGGTACGGGTGTTCATCATCAAGCAACCATCCAGCGTGGTCCGTCACCGTCAGGGCCTTGGGAAAATAATCCTAGCAACCCGATCATTTACAATGGCGCTGACCTTTCACTGGCCGTGCAGTCTACTGGCCATGCCGGTTTCATGCAAGCAGCGGACGGAACCTGGTGGGGCTCTTGCCTGGGAACCGTACCACAGAGCGGGAACTTTAGCTACCAGCAACTCGGTAAGTATGTGTACTCTGCTCTTGGCACAGGCATTAACCCGTCGTCCTTCTTTTCAGGACGCCAGACCTTCTTGTTCCCCGTGACATGGGAAGAAGGCTGGCCTGTAATCAACGAAGGCCGGCCCCTGAGTCTTCATATGGGCGGTATTCTGGAAGACAAGTCCCCGCTCTCTTCATATACCAATGGCTTCACCTCGGCGAGTTTGGATAATTCGTTCTATTTCGTCCGAAATCCATACAAGGCGTTTCACTCGCTCACTGCCCGGCCAGGGTATCTCAGGTTGAAAGCAAATGGCTACGCACTTGGCGACAGGGATAGCGCGGCCATCATAACACGCAAGCAAACCTCTTACGAGGAAACGTTTGAGACAATCCTCGAGTTCTTCCCCACCACTAATTTGATGGAGGCTGGGTTGAGTGTCTTCTACGGGGACATGATGCATAACGATATCGGAATTACTGGTGACGCTGTGGGGTCTGGGAAGAGGTACATCGTGACGCGGACGCTGGTGCCTGCGCAACAAATAGGGCCCTGGGGGTTGACTTTTTCCAATAATACAGCCACGACCACGAATCACTACGAGCTTAAGACGACTGACCAGCCCGTACGGTTGAAGGTCATAGCGACGTCGACAGAGTATATATTGGGACACGCGGAAGGTAGATGGGAATCTTTCGAATATCTCGAGACGTTCAGTAGTGTGTATATGACGGTTCCGCCGACAGGGTACGTCCCTTCATCCTTCCTTTAAGGCTTTATGCTCAAATCGCCTCACAGAGCTTTCTTCTTTAAAGGAGCATCCTTCGCACTTTGTAACACAGGAAATGGAAGGTCTAGTTCATCACCAGCAGATTTTGGTTACTGGAAACAAATACCGTCGAATTAACCAAAATGTATGGAATACAACGGTAATAAATTGTAAAGGTATATCAGCTGGTTCCCAGACGTGAAGTGTCGTGTACTCGTTCTCTCAGTCTGGGCATCTAATGAGTTGAAGCGCCTCTCCGCCTCCGGCTTGTGCACATGTCACTTCGTCTCGTTCCTCAGCAGCGACAGCAGAGAATATCTGCGATCACACCAAAAATTGTAACAATCACCTACGCTCGTTTTTGTCAGTCTCGATATAAAGTTGGATGATACAAAGGGAAATCTTACCGTGGTAATAGCGCCTACTATGGTCATTATAAGATTAGAAATTGTAGCAATTATGGCGTTTATATCACGCCCGATTGCAGAAACTACAGGTCCCTAGAAAGCACGGTCAAGTCAGTACAAAGAAGCTACAACTGGATTAGTTCGACGTACCATGTTTAACTGGTAATACAAGGTTAGAGTATGAAAATGGTTTTTGGTTCAGTTCGGCGATGGGAAAAGACTTTCAGAAGTGCGACTTTTATGTTATTATTATACCATGGAGGCAGATGACGCGATTCTCATATGCGGCAATAATGAAAATGACGTCACTGAAAAACGTACCTGGCGATCATTCTATGGAAGACATGGGAAAAAGTAGGAAAAAAGAGTCCTTCCACTAGGCTTTGGGCGAGGTTCTATATGTTTTCTCTCTGTCTTCTTGTCAAAAATAACGCTTACGGGGCCACCTCCACCTCTCTGTTTTCATTTGGAACTTTAGAACGAAAAAACATGATGGCGATGAAATACGGTGCCAAAGATAGTATAGGAAAGTAGCTGTTAACGTCAAAAGAATTCCCATTTGACCAAGCCAAACCAATACAATGGCGAAAATAAACGGAAGAAGATGAATGTGGTATAATAGAGTAAAAAATAATCATACAAGAGTCATTACTTTTGGGTTCACGATACTATAAAACTAAGAGCTGACGGAATGTACGGCATACGGAAGGGATTGATAGCGACAAAAATATAATGCGCTGTTTATGAAAATTTCCATCTAATAAACGTTAAATCAATTAGAGAATTAAGGAAGGGGACGGGTAAACACACCTATTCCCACAGTTGACACATCTGATGAAAAGAAAAGGTCAGGATGGTACCGCACAGTGAAGAGAAAACTCACGTTACGAAGGTCTAAGATGATTGTATCATCATTTGTCGGTATACATACAAACAATTGAAATATACGTACAGTCATCGGTTCGTCGGCGCTCCGCGTCTGTGCTTGACGATAGCGACATTTCCGCTAAACAATTTGATGGGATCAATGAAACGTGTCATACAAACTGTTCGCTGTACGCACCTGTTTGCATCGTCCGCATTGGAACGCTTCTGTCTCCGCCTGCTGTTCTTCGGCGCTAAGGGACAGGAACAGGTTTAGATCTCTAATCTTGCTGTCAGCAGCTTTTCTTTCCTCGGATGCCATTTCCTAGATGCGGTGAGCAAGTACTGTCGAGCTAGGGCAGAAGAAACCTCACCTCGCTGGTCATTGTGGCCAGTTTCTCAGCAGCTATGTCACTGGCCTGTTCTTGGGCCTGCAGAATGATGGAATCGGCCTGTTTCAGCAATGCATTGTCGGTCACGTCCTGGTTGAGGTTGGCCTTGCCTTTGGCCTCTCCCCCTTGGCCCCTCACCGCCGTTTTCACGACGGTAGTGGTTGCGGGGATGGTGGTCTCGGGTTTGGCGCTCCTCTTGCTCTGACCCGCCATAGGACCCGTGGACTGCTGTAGAATGCCTGATATCGATGGGGCAGCGGCCGGTGTCCGCTCTGGCGATGTGAGGTTCTCCAGCAGGTCATCTGGCAACAGTGAAGACGCGTCTAAGTCGATAACGATCCTGTTTTCCTACTCTATCGGTGGTTGGGGTGCCTCGCAATTTTGTATCAGCTCGTCGGCTTCCTCTCCGGAGTCTGGGAAGTAGCCCTCATCGTCTTTTTTCCCATTCTGCCCAGCCCTTGGTCCCACCTGTTCCACCTGCAACATTCGTTCCGCTAGGGTGACTCCTCGGCTCGCTGCTGCATTGGATTGCAACTCTGCCTCTTCGTCTCCCGCGTTTCCGATGTGTTTGTTCCTTCGCAGTTCGGCTGGTTGTTTCAGTCTGCTCGCGTTTCTCGGGGGCATTTTTGGCCACCATTGTTGGATATTGTTGTCAGGAGTGGTTCAGTGGGATCTAGAAGTAAGACTTTGCTAGTTGGCAAAGGCAGGGGAAGCAGCGAGCTGAACGTCTATGATCTACGTTCAGTGCTGCTGGCAGTAACGGTACAGGGAACGACAAGCTCCCGTGATACTCCGGTCCCGTTGACATCAAAATAATTCCAATTTGACCAAGCCAAGCCGATACCGTGAAATCGAGAGGGCACGATCAACAAGTCAGTACAAAGAAGCTGACTACTACTGGAAATTGAATTATTTCGACGCCGCGTATCATGTATAACTGATAATACAAGATTAGAGTGAAAATGATTTTTGGTTCGGTTGGATGATTGGGCGATGGGTAAAGACTTTCAGGAGAAGTGCAACTTCATATTCTTACTATGCCAGGAGAGGCAAACGACATGATTCTCATGTGCGGCGATAATCAAAATGACGTCACCAAAATACGTACCTGGCGATCATTTTATGAAAAAAAGTTGGAAAAAAAGATAGTCCTTCCACTAGGCTTTGGGCGACGCGTTATGTTTTCTCTCTGTCTTCTTATCAACAACAGCGCTCACGGAGCTACTTCCACCCCTTCATTTCGAACTTTAGAACGAAAGAATATGACGGCGATGAAAGATGTCAGTGGTACCAAAGATAGGACAGGAAAGTAGCGGGGAACAGTTGCTGGCATCAAAAGAATTCCCATTTGACCAAGCCCAATACCATGAAATCGATATACAATGACGAAAATAATGGAAGAAGATGAATGTGGTATACTGGAGTGAAAGGTGATCATACAAGAGTCATTACTTTTGGGTTCACGATACTATAAAACTAAGAGCTGACGGAATGTACGGCATACGGAAGGGATTGATAGCGACAAAAATATAATGCGCTGTTTATGAAAATTTCCATCTGACGAACGTTGAATCAATTAGAGAATTAAGGAAGGGGACGGGTAAACACACCTATTCCCACAGTTGACACATCTGATGAAAAGAAAAGGTCAGGATGGTACCGCACAGTGAAGAGAAAACTCACGTTACGAAGGTCTAAGATGATTGGATCATCAGTTGTTGGTATACGTACAAACACATTGGAATATACGTACAGTCATCGGTTCGTCGGCGCTCCGCGTCTGTGCTTGACGATAGCGACATTTCCGCTAAACAATTTGATGGGATCAATGAAACGTGTCATACAAACTGTTCGCTGTACGCACCTGTTTGCATCGTCCGCATTGGAACGCTTCTGTCTCCGCCTGCTGTTCTTCGGCGCTAAGGGACTGGAATAGGTTTTGATCTCTAATCTTGCTGTCAGCAGCTTTTCTTTCCTCGGATGCCATTTCCTAGATGCAATGAGCAAGCGCCGTCAAGCTAAGGTAGAAAAACCTCACCTCGCTGGTCATTGTGGCCAGCTTCTCAGCGGGTACGTCGCCACTAATAACACCTTCCCTCAGCGAGGGATTGCTCTTGTCCTTCAAATTGACGAATAGAGAACGTATTTTGCCCCTGTATTCGGTGTTGGAATTTCCAAAAAAGAGATTATAGACTTCCTTTTCAACTGCTTGAGCTCGTCTAAGGATCAGGTCGCTGGCTGAAAAGGGTATTAGGTAGGTGACTGGTGGTTTCTGTGCAGTACTCACGAGCATCCGAGTCGAACGCCAGAGAGTCGTAGATGAGTGCGATGCACTTGTTCCTTGTCGAATCCCCCGTCAGACTGTTATCTGAGAAGCCGTCCGTCTTGGCCGACCTCGTGGCCGCCTTGGCCGCTGTCTGCATCGTCGGCTTGCCATCTGAAGCCACTGAAGCCTTCCTGCCTGTAGACAAGGACTGTCAAGGCTTTCCATGGTCAACGAAAGAATCAGAACGCACCCGGGGCTGGTTTTCCATTCTGCACCGGCTTGCTCGACCCTCCACTTTGATGGCTCTGCTTCGCCTTCTCCACGTCGTTCTTCCACTTCTTCACGATGTCTTTCGCCAGGTCGGAGACATCCTTCGACGCATGCGTTCGGAGCTTGCCTACAGCTAGACCTACTCGGCTCTCCTATTGAATCCCGATTAGTATGTGCCCACACGACCAAAAAAATCTGACGTGAAATACCCACCCTAAGGACTGCTTCATTTACTTGGTAGTCTTTCTTAAGTATGTGTAGTATAGTTGTCAGCTCCTGCAGCAGGCAAAAATCAGTAAATTCGAGGAGCAACACACAGGTACTACACACCTTTTCAGAAGCGCCACTGCTTTGAAGCTGCTTGGCGTGTTTCTTTAACTCTAGGACTTGCGACATCGTATATGCCTCTCCTACTATAGTTGTACGACGTACACCCGGATACACTGTTACAAAACGAATACAGACTATCTCCAGGAAGTCAACAGCAATTTCCTTATCGCTGTCCTATCGAAAGAGGGAGAGAACGTAATTGAGGCCTTGGAAGAAAACAGGTGCAAATTGGTTACGTAACGGTTTCGAAGTTCAACTCACTGCTCGGACATACTGAAGGACATTATCTGGTTCAAAATATCATTATATGTTAATTATCGTTAACTGATGCATGTTGCTGAAGTTTAAAAATTCTCTGAGCATTCTTTCTCTTGCTTTTCTCCGCTTATCCATTTTTGGGCTGTGACTAAGCGGCTTCGACGGTCGGCCCTGGGGTTAGGGTTACACTGCTCAACGTGGACCACGACGACAACGGTCTCTCTTCCACCATGTCTGCTGCTGCTTTGCCGCCTCTAGAGCCGCTTTTCAACATAAATGGAAAGCGGACCCGCAGCGTATTTGCTTCTTGTCCTGACGCCGGCTTCAAAGACGAAGAGAAAAGGTATTTCGCTTATTTTACCTACAGAAGATTGTCCCACAGATTATCGACAGTGCACGGCTACGACTGGCGGTGAAGATCCATGACGAGTATCGTGATTTCAAGGAACTCCCGTCCGCACTTCTCTCTCAGCAGGCCCATGTGGGTCCGTCGCGTCCAAAGGAGCAACGGAAATTAATAACTGCAGGAGGTGCGCTCGCTGACTGACTTGCAACAAACATTGTGTTCACGCGATACAGCCTCTGCAGATGCAGAAACGTCACGCATGATTGCCAAAATCGACAACACGCCTGTCTCGCAGCCATCAACATTCATGTCCTCGAGTAAACTCTCACAAGCTCTCACCCTACATAAAACGACGCGGACGGTCAAGCCTACGTATCACCCACCATGGAAACTTGCTCGTGTTATTTCAGGGCACCTGGGATGGGTCCGAAGCGTAGCAGTAGAACCGGGCAACAAATGGTTCGCCACGGGTGCCGGCGATCGTGTGATAAAAATCTGGGATCTTGCGTCGGGGGAGCTGAAGCTGTCGCTAACGGGCCACATATCCACCGTGAGAGGTTTGGCCGTATCGCCACGGCATCCGTACCTCTTTTCGTGTGGTGAGGATAAGGTGCGTCAATTCGATCGGTAATAATGCATACTGATGAGCTCTTGGCAGATGGTAAAGTGCTGGGACTTGGAGGCTAACAAGGTCATTCGGCATTACCATGGACACTTGTCTGGTGTATATTCCCTATCCCTCCATCCAACTCTCGATGTGTTAGTCACTGCCGGTCGTGATGCGTCTGCTCGTGTCTGGGACATGCGGACAAAGGCCCAGATCCATGTTCTTTCCGGTCACACTGGTACAGTCGCAGATGTGAAATGCCAAGAATCTGACCCACAAGTCATCACCGGAAGCATGGATTCCACAGTCAGGTGCGTTTCAATAGAATGAGTTCCCCGTCTACTGCAGATGCTAACCATGACCTTTAGATTATGGGACCTTGCGGCCGGAAAAACCATGGTAACACTCACGCACCACAAAAAATCTATTCGGTCTTTAGCTATACATCCTACGGAATATTCTTTTGCATCTGGATCGGCGGGTGGTAACAATATCAAGAAATGGAAGTGTCCGGAAGGCACATTCGTGTTCAACTTCAGTGGACATAATGCAATCATCAACACGCTGTCGGTCAACGCCGAGGGCGTCTTCTTCTCGGGGGGTGAGGCGCCTCGGACTTTCTTTCATTACCGCAGCTACTTATTAGGGCACTTCTTTCCCCAGGCGACAATGGTACTCTCACACTCTGGGACTATAATACGGGCACTCCCTTCCAAAATATGGACGATATTCCTCAGCCTGGGTCCCTTGAAGCAGAAGCTGGTGTTTTCTGTTCGACCTTTGATATGACTGGAACGCGGTTGATTACCGGTGGTGCTGATAAGACGATCAAGGTCAGGCTCCATTTTGAAACGACTGTCCTGTTGTTGACAAATTTCTTGTCTAGGTTTACGCTGAGCAGTCTCAATGACCTTCAACATTATAGTACACCTGTATTTTTGTAATCTGTCTTCATTGGAATACATATTAACGTTCCTAGACGTCTTGTGTCGTGAACACTAGACCTTATGCATATACGAGCTTAAGCTCCCCGTCTAGCGATCCTGCACCTTCGGAAGGATGAAAGAGGTATGTTGAATGAAACGAATGCGGCGGCATACTGAGAGATAAGACAGCTGCAACATTCATTCTTCGATATTTACCCAGGCGTGGTCATGTTTTACTGTCTTCTGCTTCTGTTCATTTTTTTTCCGATTACAACTACTTCAGTTCAAAGCTTCCTTTCAGCGATATTCCGCTTGCAGGGCGCTATGTAGGGTTTCCTATGTACTTGCGACCTTCGTGAGACAGCATGGAGACACGCATGTTAGAAAAGGAGTGGATCTCTCTGTTAACTATACTAATGGCTAGGCACTAAGGCAGTCATGCTTGCATCGGGACTTAACCTCGGTTCCAAGTGCGTTTATTGCTCCATGAAACACTCCTTCGTGAATGACGTGGTGGTGCGTCAGGGTATCAACGGCCAAGACTTTTGGCCAATATGAAGCATGCCTATACCACATCTATAATATTTGTTGATGTAGAGTAGGACCAGAACGAGATAACAGTCCTAGCTGCGCCATCTGGAAGGAAGAGTATCTGTTTCTCGAGCAAGGGTTGCGTATCTTGCGTTCCGAAGAGCGTTCGCATGACAATATCTTTGGCAAACACCGAGCATCACATACGTGCCGCTCAAGTGGACTGTCTAAGAGCCTGAGAAATCAAAGCTCGTTTTGATTTTGACGACCTCTTGTGGGACAATGAAGAACTCCTGGTTGCACAACTCCGACGCTCCTGTGGGCTAGAGATTCTGCTCCACCTCACCAAACCGTTTTGCAGCTTTTCCTCCTACCGGCTCATCGTCATGAAGGGTATTCCTCGTCGTCTTTCGATGATCTGGGACGATGCGAGCGAAATTTTCGCTCGTCTCCATTACTTGGGAGAGGTGACGAGCAGGATTCAGATAGGTTTTCAAAGTCCCGAATGGCGAGCGTATTATACACAATGAAAGGACATTACCAATCTCTTCACTCAGATTTTCTATTATACATCAGTGTAGGATGGTTATACAGTATTACAACAAGACATCACGAAAGGATCTGCAAAAGAAAAAAGTAGACCGAAAAAGGACAGCAACATTCACACCCTTCTTCCTAGATCCTTTGATCTAGATATAGAACATACTCGTCTTGATTTTACTATGAAGCTGCAAAACCAAGTCAGTCCGAACCCAACATGCCAAACACACACTCACCCCTTTACCCCAAGCCTCCTCCGCCTCCTGGAAAACTTCCGCCGGACTAAGCGACTCTGAACCAGTCGAGTTATCATCCGATAAGATTTTACTTAGGTAGCACCTTCCCCTCTCGCACGCCAGATCCGCATAATAGGCCGCCGGAATCAGACTAACAGCCTTCGTCGCCCGCGCATACAAATAACTACTATTGTTCATTCCCTTCTGGAGATCATCCACATCAAGGCTGTTCTCATCGTAGATGACAACGTAATGCGTCGGCTTGACCGTGCCCTGCAGACCAGCGTGTGCTTGCAGATAGAAATCGTAATCAAATCTTTCCGGAAGGTATGAGAAGAATGGAATAATGCGCTGGAAGAGAGAGGGAGAGACTCACACTCCAGTAATCCCCTTGTCAACCACCGTCCCAGGTTTCGTGTTACCGTTCTTGTCTGCATTCGCACCATCTGTAGGGTAGAACCTAAGAGTCGTTGAGCAAAGAGTCAACAACGACCATAGCGCAACCTACCTAGAATGATGGCGCTTCCCGCATATAATGACAGATACAAGCGGTTTGTAAGCCTTCCCATCCTTGGTATTCAGTCTCTTCGCAGCCTCCTTGATCTGTACGACCTCCTCCCGAATGACGATATCATATTGGCCCTAGAACGGAAAGGTCAGCAAGACCGTCGCAACGAATTCCTATCATCGCTCACCTCAGAGACACCATCCCGAAACACGAGAATCCTCTCCGGCAACGCCTTGTTCTTCTTCTTGTACACCAACAGACGCTCATACATCATATCCCGCAACTCCTCGACGACCTAAATGGCACCATGAGCACTCGCAGGGGAATCAACAGAAAAAAGACAGACCTCTTTGGAGTGCTTATTAGTATCAGGCCTCTGGATCCTCATGCTCGCTGGGAACTGGACGAAATCATCATCCACGCTCGCCACGACCGCCGCGATCGACGGAGTGCCAAATCTCGTCCCCGGAGCAGGGTGGGTAACATCGATCCCCACCATCATCGTCTTCTTCTTGCACAACCACCTCATGGCTTGATCATCCAGCTGAACATGTCCTGTCAGTCGGTACGTAGCACCCAAAGTAAGAAATCCATACCTTGTGATTGATCCCCCCAAGCTTCGTATTCACCTTCAAGGCGATATTCGAGAGATACTGATCCTGTGTGTCCTTTCTCATCGCTTTGTCGAGCTGCATCGTAATCGTCTGCAACCCTAGCTCACAGTCTCCGATTCGCTAAGCTCATCCATCAGCTACACCATTTTCGAAACACACAAACGAGGTTCACCTTGACACCAGGATAAATGAAATTGTCCCTATGCATCAACAACACCAACACAAAACTCGGCCTGGGACCCGTTTGCATCGCATCCTCCAAACACGACCTGATGAGATTCAATGAGTTCACCCTCCCTGGATCCTCATGCACAGGAGCCAATGGCGCCAATTCCCCCAACAATCGTGGCATTCCCGCCGGAACTTTCATCCCGGCCGACTGCAGCTTCTCCGAGAACGCCATGATCAACGGCTTGATATCCTGCGGAGAAGGATATTTATCATGTATCCATTCTTGTATTGGGAGGACCCAGAATCCATTGACGGTCGCGCCGCGGTGGAACTTGGTGTCAACGATGTTCCATGAACCATTGGTCACCCTCAGACTTCCCTGACGGTACGACAATGTCGGAGGGGGAAGCTCGCGGCCAGGGATGACAGCCATTTCCTGGTCGATGGAGAGGTCAAACAAGTTGACGGGCGGCTGAAGAGGTGAGAGGGATAACTTTTTGAACCCCTCGTCGACAATAAACTCTGCATTAACGTGCGGGGGGTTACACGCGTATTGAATCATCTTTGCCACTTCTTGATCGTCTAGCCGTCCTCGATACGGATTCCCGGCTTCGATCTTGCATATTTCGGCGGGTATCCATATTGGTCTCTTGACACTCCCGACATTGACCACCGGGAGGTTAGTTGCACGATGCAGAGAAATTTTATACTCTGTACAGAGGTATAAGAGTCTCATCCATGGAGTCTAACGACGGTTACACGCACTTTTCTTGAAGAATTCCTCAACCGACATGTCCTTCTTTCCAAATTCTTCGCAGGGGAAAGTGGTGTCCCGGGCAGATTTAAGGCCAATCTCCGAGAGCTTGTAGCGACGTTCATATCTAGGATGGGTAGTAACGACCTTGATGCTTCTGGCAAGCGCCTTGGGAAGCGTTGGCATTCCCCCCGAAGAATTCCGATTGAACGACTTAAGAACACCTGCGAGATTACCTGGCTCTACGAACGGCGCCATACAGACATTTCTGGTGGCGAGTTAACACACGATCGTATATTTAGTCCGAACTCACATGTTGACCATCAGCTGCTGATAAGCCGGCCGAACAGAGAGAAAATACCCTCTCCATGCCTCGATGCCTGGTCCGAGAACCTTGCGTTCACCAGGAGGAGGCTGAAAGTAATACTTATTCTGCCCGATACGCACGCCCGTGTGCAGAGCGTTCTGCTGCATTACTAAATTGAGAGCAGAAATGATGGGTAATGGATCGTAATCCCTGTATTCCTTGTCAGCGTTGAGGTATCTAAATAAAGATATGAAAAGACAATAATGATAAGAATACCAAACACGCACTTGGAGAGTTCACTGAAGTTCAGGTCGCCCTTGAAGACGACGGAAACAGTATATGTGATGGTGCTAGGTGGAGGTCCATTCTGGCCCCCTTCGTAGAACGGTATTTCTACGTGCAGATCGGACAATGACAATCTATTGGTGGACACGAGACGCGCACTTCTATCGTGAACAATAGAGCCTAGAGAGGGATGAACTTCGGGGCGGGCCTCAAGTAACTGGAAAATACGGTCTTTGCGCGTTTTCGAAAGGGTCGCTGGCTCGATTTTGATTTCGTAGTCGAACCAAGGGCCCTTGGGGAGTTTCATAGCAAAGAAATTAGAACGCAAAATGATGGACTTGCCCAAGGTACCAAAGCCAGGACGCGTTGGACGTTCTGGCTTGGGTGGTACCTTTCGAAGGGCATCAATAAGCTCGCCCTGGTTCTTTGATGTCAGGCGGTCGGGTATCTGTGCTGGAACATTTTCCTTGTAGATGTCGGGGCCACTGAATCCACCTCGCCCTTTAAAGTTGTCGCCACCAAGTCCGCCACGCCCTTTGTCATTGCCACCACGACCTCTATCAGAACCACCTTTGTAATGTCGACTCATGGCGATGTGGTTACGGAGGGGAGTTGCGAAGCCTGACCAAGACTGGGATCACTCGCGCTCAAGGCGAAAGGAAAGAGACAAAAAGTAAAAGATGATATGATTGGAGCGCTGTGAAACTGATATCGGCGGAGACGTCGACGTCGTTGTCAGCACTGGCTCGGCCTCGTCGTCGTCGTCGTCGTCGATCAGAGTAAAGAAGCGCGCGTGGCAAGGCGCGCTTCAGGCGCGCTTCTTAAGTACGCGAGTTGGAACTCCGCTGCCACAATCAGCACAAATCATGCGTAATCCACCGTCTAGTCTCGTAAAGGGCCAGAATCATCGATTACTATGCCTCCATCTAGTTACGTTTATTGCTCCATGAAACACTCCTCCGTGACTGACGTGGTGGTGCGTCAAGGTATCAAGGGCCAGGACTTTTGGCCAATATGAAGTATGCCTATACCACATCTATAATATTTGTTGACGTAGACTAGGACCAGAACGAGATAACAGTCCTAGCTGATGCCCTAAACGTCCTCGTCAATGACGATCGAATCATTCCGATCGAATCTCGTGTGCTTGATCACGCGAACGTCCCTCGCAGCTGTCTTTCGACGGTCAGCCGCATCCTGCATTCTTACCCCTATCCGAGACACTGCCGTAGAATTCCTCAGGGCCACCTCTGCCATGTGGAAGGAGGTGCAGCGATTTCTCGAGCAAGGGTTGCGTATCTTGCCAAGTTCCGAAGAGTGTTAGCATGATTGCAACCGCCGAACGTCGCGTACGCGCCGCTGAGGTGGACTACCTAAGAGCCTGTGAAATCAAAGCTCGTTTTGATTTTGACGACCTCTTGTGGGACAATGAAGAACTCCTGGTTGCACAACTCCGACGCTCTTGGGTTAGAGATTCTGCTCCACCTCACCAAGCAGTTTTGCAGCTTTTCCTCCTACCGGCTCATCGTCATGAAGGGTATTCCTCGTCGCCTTTCGATGATCTGGGACGATGCGAGCGAAATTTTCGCTTGTCTCCATTACTTGGGAGAGGTGACGAGCAGGATTCAGATAGGCTTTCAAAGTCCCGAATGGCGAGCGTATTATACACAATGAAAGGACGTTACCAATCCCTTCATCCAGACTTGCCCTTACACAACAAGTTGGCATAATTTGGCTCAACTTCGCATCCAGTGTTTGTATAGTTACCGCTCTCAGGAACTTCCTATCGACCCCGAGTATGTGGGACTATGGGATCCCGATGAGTCTGTGTGGAAACTGGTATTCATTCTGGAGTTACTAGAACAGTCGTAGATCTGATAGGAGCAAAATTTGCAGTCGTGAAAGACAGTGTTGCATGCAAAGCAGGCGGCCAAAGCGTGAGATCATTCAAATACAGATACTATCGATTGCGCGTCTACAGTGCCCTTCCTGAATCACTGAGGATCAAGCAGTGCTGAACTGAGTTGAGAAATGATAAATATCTGGACTCTACAAGAGGCTGGATTAATGACCATCTACCCTTGCTAGTCTTTGGTAGACAGAGTGGAGACAGGAGGAGATGAAGGATCATTGTGTTTCATACGTGTCACACTCTCCTCAAATATCTGAGTCCCCAATGGACATCTTAAGGTGCTAATATGCCTTAGACGACGTAACGCAGCGGTCACGGTGCATATATTAAGAATGTACAGTCATTAGTACGACCGACAGGTGGATGAGGGATTGTCGTTTGTGTACCCGTGGTAGACTCGTGTGTACAATGGTAGACTAGAAATCCAGGCAAACACCATGCGCTCTTCCGTGTCGGCACAATGCCCTGGCGTTCGTTCTTGAGACTGTCATCTTAACTGGAGATCTATCTACTGGAATTTGTGACAACTTACGTTAAATACACCTGCCAACTTATCAAATCAGAGTGGGTGATATGAACATCATATATACAACTACAAGATACAGGCAATTGTTGACTCGAGCTTAATTTATGGAACAGGCAACAGGCAACAGGAAACAGCCGAAGGAGTCTTCTCAATATCTAGCCAATACTACGCCAAAGAAGGGAGTACAGAATCCGATGGTCGTAGACTGATAGAGCCAGTCAGAAGCTTTGGCATGTATAAGGATAGCAAGTCTATCCAGAGAGAGGCGAGACGCCAGAATTATGAAGACACAAGTTTCACGAGCAGCGGTGAATGTCTAATGTAGAGACTGCCATTATCGAGGAAGGAAAGAGAGAGAAGAGCAAGTTGACTTTGGTTGCTCTTTGTAGCGCGTCGTCAAAGGTCGAATAGCAGCGGGATTTCAGTGGGGGTTCTATTCAGTGTGAGAGCATTTATGCAGGTTAAGTGGATTGGAACATACGTGAATGCATCAGTCAGTGAAAGCTGACTTCGTTCAGTTTCAGTAGAAACTGAAGGTCGGTGTGCTTCGACGTTGTGAAGGGAGGATGCGGTGGAAGGATGAGGGCTTCTTTGCACGGGCTCATGATTATCATCAGCGGTGTGGCGTGGCAGTGAATCGGAAAGAGCAGGAAGCAAGGGATATGAAGGCGAGCCATTACATGATTTTTTCGTAACAAAATCTTCGTGGAGTGTGCACAATTGCTTCCATCCACGTTTCGAACTGAACTAAGAATACAAATTATACGCAAGGGATGCAGGATCAAATAGATCACTTACGACAATAGAGAACCTGTGGAGGTCGCGTAAGATCTTAGCAACTTTTGTGCGGCGATCTGGCAACGACGTTTCGTTCAAGTGTGAATCAGTCAGTGTACCCAATCAAGCAACAACTTCAATTCTCGATATCGCAAATGCATAGATTTTCTGACTGACTGCTGCCGCAGCTCTTGCGGGTATCCCGTATATCTGTGACATACATAACGTAGATGAGAGAAATTCAATGTACTTGAAGCTGACAAATACCTACAGATGAATATTATGAACCCACATATGGGCCATAATGTTGATGGCGGCAAGAAACTTTCCATGAGGATACTTAATACAACCCCCGAGCTCCGATACCGACAGCAAATAGAAACGTCAAGAGCTGACAAATACGACTTGCCAAGGTGTCCAACAACCCATTTCTAAGAGTATTCTTAGACGGATGCAGTAACATCACTGAAAAGACTTACCTTCATCATTTATCGAACATCAGAGGTAAGCTGTGTCACATCCGCTACCATAGAGATCGACAAATCAGATATCTCCTTTGTTAGGTCTTCACTGAAGGCGATATCATCAACTTCAGAAAAGAGAGTATCCCGTCGCCGGGCAACGCTCGTAATAGCCGTTTCGTGACCCTTCGCTAGAGTGATGATGTTTGCGACTGTCGCCAGAAGGATTCCGGCATCGGTTTTTTTTTTTTGCAACGCTGAGACAAATGAAACAACAGGACGCGTAGAGGAGAGTATAACATACAACCATGCATATTTGTATAATCGCTCATGGGCGGTGAGAAGCGACTGGTATGATGGGATCAACGAGTCTCTTGGGACTCAAAGTCGACGTAGAGGCAGTAGTGTAGGCGTTGAAGAGCCGACTCTTCAATCGAGTTGCAAGGGAAAAGATGCTTCCAGCATCGTAATTGACGAACGCTCAGATAGGTCATGGTTGGAAAGGAAATGCAGCTGTCCTGCTTGTCGCCAAAATACGGGCACGTGTTATGCACGTGCTCATCGCGTGGTGGCACTAATATTCGAAGTCATAAATAAATTAAACGTACCAGGTATAAGACTACTTTGCCTACGAAATTATTAAGGCACCTGGTAACATTACCTTTCTTAAGATGAGTCGACTATCAAGTTCCACTTCTAGAATTTATAAACATAATTCAATTCGACACCCAGAAATAATAGCACCTTAAAATCCCTGAAAAAAAAGCTACATGACAGATCAAAGCATCGACATAAACAGACGGTATACAACAATATGGTTATCAACATGAATAGTAGCGCTGATGTTGCAGAAACACGGGGGAGATGGTACAAGTACATGCATCAAAAAAGATTAATGTTGCAATCAGCCAGCCCAGCCTTTCAGTGAGCTGCTACAGGAAGAATTGGGCGAACCGTACACAGGCTCGGTAGGTCCGTACGTCGTCTGACTCCAATTGTTCGCGTCGTAAGATGAGATTTGCTCCGTGGAAAGTGACTCGGAGGATGAATATCCCGATTGATGAGCATCAGAATCGAGTTGAGATGGCGACACCACTGACGCGAGAATCCCCGAACCATGGCCAGGGAACACGCACTCGCGATTGGGCGTATGTGTTCCCTGCCCATGGCCGTAGAAGCTCGGGGGGTCAAACAAGACCCCAGGATGTAATATCTCCGGATCGCGTAGGTACGGCGGTGGGGAATTGTCGGGAGAGCTAGGAGTGTGACTGAGAGGCAGTGTTGGCAGGGGTGCGAAGGCCGGAGTGCTGCAGGGGACGTGAGAAGAAGACGGAGATGTGCCCGAGAATGGTGTCCATGGGGTTGGGGTGCTACTGACGTTAGGCGGGGATGGGTTGAATGGAGATGAGATATATGAATCTAAGTTCGGGGGCGCTGCGGATGACGAGGCAGTTACCGGGAGATTAGACGGTATGGGTGACGCCATGGACATAGGCGACCAATGCGGAGCCGGTTGGTGGTACCCATGCATACGGCTTCCCGCAGAAATTGTGTGTCGAACACGAGCGCTGCGGTCAATCACAGAGTGGGAGACAACACGACCTCCAGGAGCTCTTGTCATGTCCATGTCGATGGGCACTGATCTAGCAAGCAATGTCGACCTTCGACTTGTCTCGGTGACTCGCTCATCCCGAAAAAACGGCTTTCGAACGGGCTTGGTGCCGTAAACCTTTTTCTTCGTCAACCCATGAACCTGCTGCAGATGAGCGACAAGACTCGGCGCCTCTGCTGTTGGTTCTGGCAGGAGATGAGGGGGGGAACTGGTATCCGGATGGTCTTCAGTGAATGAAGAATCGAGCGTGTGGTAAGACGCTGAAGAAGGGGGCTGCATTTCAGGTGAGATAGAACACGGAAGAGAAGCTTCCAGTTTTTACGTACATTTTTGAAGGATTCTGGAAGACATCGGTGAAAAATGTTCCAGTCAGTGTCTAGGAGTGGAACGATATTTGCCACCAACCTTGAGCAAAGAGACTTGGTGTAATGGTCGGGGGTTTGCCAGAGAAGCGTACGAGGAAACGCTCCGATTCTGCAGGAAGACACAAGGTCTCTTCGACGTTTCTCTGCAGCATTGTCTGTTGGTCGAAACGATTCGCGGTTAAATGTCTTCCGAATGCGATAATAAACGTACCGTTTCATTAAACAGCGTGGTCAGTCCAGTCATGTCTTGGTAAGCGTTTAATATCATGTGGCATTGGATATTGGTCTAGGAAGATGGATGACGGTGTGAACGTCGGCGTGCTTAATCATCGAGGATTTAAAAAAAAAGTACCTCCGCGAGTTTGTGCGCAAGGCCGAACCACGAATTGTAAAATGGGACATTTGACGTGTGCTGCTTGGCATCTGTGCCTTCCACCGGTGAAGAAGCTGCGATGACGAGGATATTACGAACAGTTGACGGCCCTTGTATATTTGCCGAACACAGAAACTATATGACAGTTTTCATATCTGACGTATACGGGCGACGGCTATACTTACTTCAATTGCGCGCCAAATATCTGAACTTGAGAGAACATTTGAAGAACAATGATTGAATTGTAGGTCCTCCAGACAGGTGTCTAGACTACCGCATTGCCGGGGGACTCCAGGTCCCGTGAACTGGTCACCAGGAAGCAGAGTTTCCAGAACGTAGGTCGTATGCTGGTCAGGATATCTGAGCTGGGCCAGCCACTGCATGCAATAACAAAACATACCGGAGTGCCCGGATACCTGGCTTCGAGCTTGCACAGGACAGAGCGAAGATAATGATCCCGGAGATCTGGCCACAACCGTTCTAAAGCCCAGGAATTCTCAACGAGAATGAGTGTTATCACTGAACGTGGTTCTACTGATTTCTGTAGTACCGAGGTAGGTCCTACGTGGTCGAAGGGAGGCGACATTGACACAAAGCGGTCTACGCCGAGGACCGAAAAAAACGTTGAAGCAAGCCGTTTAGCTTACGGCAATGGATGGCACAGCGAAGGAAATGGTAGAACGTCCGAAGAAAGTGTGCGAGCCGGCCTTAATAATCAGACATGAAATCGTGGATCCTAATAAGACTTTTCAGCGGACTTTCTAATTATGACAATCGCTGAGCAGCACGAGACTCGGGGCGAAAACGGTTGGAATGATTCAAGGGATACAACGTTATGGCTCAGACTGTAGTTGTATCCGGGTCACCCGGTCAAGCAAGAAGTCGATATGGTTGGGAAACAGTCTGGAACGTCGCTTTGTTGGTGTATTTATGTAACCTATATAACCCATGTAACCCGTTTCTGCTGATCAGCGGAATGTACACGGGAGACTCGTGTGTAACGCACCAATGAGGTCGTATTACTTCAAACACCGAGAAGTAAGTGCAACGAAGAGACGGGCGCGTCGCCAAGTGAGAATCGGTCCTTCAGACAGACGAGAAGTGTCAGAGCCTGGCGTAAAATATTGTTCGTTACTTAAAGTTTTCAAGGGAACATCTCACGAGGCCGAGGATGGCAACGCTCTGCCACGAAGATGGCCCTAGATGGATGGTCCACGTGCCTGCCATAATGACCGTCGCGGACTTGAAAATTGGAACGCATTGTCGAAATGGGCTGCAATACCGGCGATCGATTCTATGCTCGAGAAGCACTACGGCACGGCCACCCTGACGGTCCACGAGAACAGAAGTACGGTTTCAACTTCTCCTGGTGGTAGTACAACCTTATCGATATCCATGCCTTACTTATTAAGGGCTTAGGCACTGAGGACATTAGATATTGTTACGAAGACATCAGATGTTTCTGATAAAGCCGGATTAAATACAAATTCTGACAAAAGGCACGCTGGAATAAGACAATGTCTTTGGATGGTGTACGGATCTCACCGAAGACAGATGGTTGCATTCCAGACGGATCACAAAGAATCCCATAGCAGGTCCTGCAGTGGTACATCCAACTCTTTAGCTAACCCTAATACTACATCGTACGAGACCCCGCATTTGAACATCGGTGGTCCATCTAACCTTTCGACCGGCGAAGTACGATGAAGCAACCTTGACGATGTTAGATCTATGATCTACGGATGCAATTGGCGTCAGAGTCGGCAGGCACATTCATCAGGACGACCCTCGGTACTCACAGTAGAGCAGACGCCGACCCTACTGACTTCCATATCGGTGTACTCGCCAGGAATTGAGAAGTCAATCTTGGAGGGTCTGAAATTGTCATCGTTATCGTTCTCTTCAAGCAACGCGCCCAAGATGGCTAACATGCGGTCGAGGGGGAATACTGCTGGTCCCAGAAAATGTTGAGGGATCTACAAGAAAGTCAGTTATACCAGAGGAAAGGGTGAGGAATGATAACCTTGATAGGACCGCTTTTGATTTTCGCAGAAGGTGCCTTGGTGATCCGTCGACGTTTGCGCTTCTTCTCGTCCAGGCCCCTGCCAAACATCCTCAGGTCTGATTTAGCCGGATTCATCGAGGCCAGGAACGAGGAGATGAGAATAAACTTGGACATTCTCGTTAAATTCCGATATGGTTCTGCAGGCTTCTCTTTGACCGTTACGCCAATTCGTGGCTTACTCAAGTGGTCGACTCGGTGAACCGGAAATACAATTTCTAGCGCCTCAGGAGAAGGTTTATTGGCGTCTGCCCAGTCCTGCGCATTGCTGAAACGGGGATAAAGCTGTTCCAGCGCAGCAGTAATACTGGGTTTGAAATAGCGATTTAGACGCATGCGAACTTCCTCTGGAGGTGTAACAAAATCATGGGTATCGTCGACCAGCATCGCGTCATCGGTAAATAGGTGTTCATTATCATCCCGTTCGGTAAGATTGCTATCGTCTTTTCCCCGTTCCATTGCATGATTGTCCAGTATAGGTTGGACAAAACCCGGCCATCGCGCGGCGGCGGCGTATGCAAGTTCATCAGGATCATTGGTGAAAGGGAAACACGCGTCGCACAGGATTGATGCAAAAGACGCGTGGATGCCTTCAAGGGCTGGGTGATACGGATTGAGGGAGAGGTTTGGTTCAGTCTGACAAGACTGAAACACGGAACAAAGGTGCGCAACACAAGCTAGGTAAAGTTTACATCAGACGCACTAGTTGTAAAAGGGAGGTAATGTTACCTTCTTTTGTTGGAATAGATATATCCACAAAGTAAGGGTCCGGAGAAGCCCCAAGAGAAGGCCTCATGTCGTCCCACCTTCCAGAAGAGACGAAGATAATTGTCACATCAATACGCGTCTAAAGATAAATCAGTCGCCTGCATGCTTCCAAAAATGGGCATTGCCTTACCATTTCTGCAAGACGCGTCAAAGGAACGATGAGGTCTGGTAATCGATCCTTGAGACGTTCCACACGCTCAATCACAATTACAAACCGCGTGACTCGAGGTAGATTACTGTCACTATGGTGCAAGAACGAATAAAGCGTCTTTAAGCCGCGCAAAAACGCGTCCAGTGATTCATTATAACGCCGGGTATCATTGGGTCCTGACCAGTTCGTACACCCCTCTTCCCAAGAAGGCGTCCATTGTGCGAGTCCATTAAGAATCGCGTCGAACAACAGTCTGGCTGAAAAGCACGTCACAGCATTGACATGAACAAGGTGCATAGAAATGGTGGTGCTGGTAGTGGATGAAAGCGCTCCAAGTACAGCTTGTGTGGTCATACGGGGTGAAATTGGATCATTTATGAAGATAAATGGAGAAGGCGAGGCATGAAGGAGGAACGACACCTCACGGAGGCGGTGATGATGGTACAAAAGAGGATTCGAAGCCATCAAGAAATAATATATCCAAACAAAGAGTCCATAAGGCTTCATCGGGCCGTCGGGCCGCGGCAAGTACGATCCATGCGAGTACACAAGAAACCATACAGATCTATAGGCGGTATCTAAATAGTATTAAAAAGTCCCGATGAATGAGAAATTAGGAAGACAGAACCCCTTTCACCCAGTCGGCAATTAAGTTTCGCAACGCTTCCGAATGCGATAACCAGGGCATATGGTCGGCTCCTTCAATATCGACAATCTTGAGATTCTTCCAAGGCCCCAAGGCCCTGGCCGCTGACCTCCCATCTACTATCAGATCATCTGTACAAGCTATCGCTAAGAGCGGTAAGAATCCGTTCTCCCCAGCTTTGAAGAACTCGGTTGCATCTTGCTCACGGGTGCATACGAAATTGGTTATAGCTCGAGGCTGGGTAACGAAATTTCCCAAACAGAGGGATTGGAGTTCGAACGAAGCATATTTGGAACACCCCTTGACAAATCTCCGAGATGCATCTTGGAATTTCTCTACATCATCTGTCTGATTCAGGGAAGGCAGGCAGCCGAGTGCGAATTGTGTTCCAGCCTTGCTGATTCCAGGACCCATGAAAGGCACTCCGGTGAGATGAATAGCTCCAGATAGGTACTCTTCATTTCCGGGGTGATGCGAGAGGATGTCTACGATGTGAGTGGCTGAAATCACATCAGCTTCACACGGCCTTGTAGTGAAATCCAGCACACCTACCTCCTAGACTCCTATGAGAAGTGAGAAATTGCTAGGACAGAATATCGTATAAAACATACCATCCTAATACAAAAGGTTTGCTTAAACTGAATCCTTCTACAACGGCATCAAAGTCCTCCGCAAGACGCTTAGACTCCCATGCAGATGGAGAAGTGGGCATTCCACTTCTGCCATGACCACGAGTATCATATCTCACCTGTCGGCAAAATCATCATTAGGGCAGGAAAAAAAAACGAACTGAAAATTCCTACCAGATAGAACAGGTCGGTCCACTTGGTATCATTAAATATGTCATTCCATACAACGGAACTGAGCGAAACTCCGTGAATGAATACAATTGCAGGTCTGGAGGGATCTCCCGACGCGTCTGCATAAATTGTAGTACCATCAGCAGATATGAGCATGAGCGATTTAGTGAGGGGGGACATGCTGCAGCGGTATTAGGGATGATGGGAAAGGCAGAGGGGCATAGAACTCGAACGGTATATATAAACGCTGAGAGAGCGCCATGAAGATAAGTCCATTAGTCCAAATGACGGCTGCTGCGAATCTACAGGGTAAATTCAGGTTAATTGAAGCATGTATATCCGGCTGCTACAAAAGAGTGCTATGAGCCAATCGTTCTTGGACAACTCATTTTAGTGGTACCGACCAATATAAATAAAAGAAAGGCACCTTGATTAGATGCGGTCACTTCACATTGTAAGGACACAATGCGGGCATCATCCTGGGATTCGTGGAAGGCTGATAGAACGGAAATAACAGGCACCGACATCAGAAATATCTAGGATATTTCAGGAAATTTCCTAACAATCGAGGCCGGGTTATCTGGGTTTCCCGGCGGAAAAGGGCGGTACTTTGACTGGGATTGACGTTGCTGCAACCGTGAGGGCTGTTAGGTGGCCGAGGCGCGAATAAGGCATGCAAACTCCCCAGACTAGAGCGCTCACGCAGTGAAGCCTCGTGGAAAGCGTCGGGTTTGGAGTGGATTTAATTGCATTCAAGGCATCTGTTAGTCCACGAGCTCCATCGCCGACTCGGATTCACTGGCACGTGGTCGTATGCGGAACTTGCCGGGCCGTGCCAATACCGTGACAGCCTTTGTTTGACAATTTGTTGAACTTGTCGACTTTACAGAATCCAACTTGAACGCCTGAGTGCCTTAGGGAACTCAGGAAGTACAAATAACATTGCGGCGGCGCTGAATACAAAGTAATCTATGTCCTCGTATTCTTATCTCATGAGTCTCCAGGTGGTCCGAACAAGACGTTCTTGTATGTGATTATCATCCACCACTTCAAGTTGCCAGAGAACATTTTCTTGAACAGGAATAACTGTTCATTTCGTTCGCGCCATTGTCGCCTCAACATGTGCTCGCACTCCGCCTTCCCAGTCATCCCAACATATACTCAGAATCGCAGTATCTCGTCCCAGCGGAAATCCGTCCTCCTTAGGATCCCCTTTTCTCACGGAAATGCCGTTCCCACCGCGAGCCTTGGATGTACGCCACGCTCTATGCCACCTTAAAATCCCTTCTTGCTGGAACCCCATCCTTTTTGCCGTCCTGACGCTGGCAGTATTGGCTGCATTGGCTTGCCATACCACTCGACGCAGACCAAGGCCACCTTCACCCGGCACATCCAGTGCATATTTCATGAGCAGTCCGACGGCGTTGGACGTTACATGCGTTTTATGAAACGTCGGAGCGATAATCACGAAACCTATTTCTGCGACTAGATCTTCGGCTGACGAGTTTAGATAACCGATGACTCCTGCATACGCCGACTCCCCCGACTTGGTCGTATCGTACACCGCGAACAAAGTCATTCCAATGTCGTTTTTCATCCTCTTGTTCCAGAAAGAAGCGATGAACTCTTCTTCATCCTTGAACGGACCAAAGGGAACGAAATCGTAGAGGCCGACATCAGAGCAGACTCTGACTAGTAGCCTCGTATGAACAGCGAGCTTGGCAACGAGATCAATAATTATGTTTTTCAATTCTTTGAAAACCTACATCAAAAGGCACCAACTTGACGCGCTCACTCTCCAACGTCGGCGGAATGGGGAAGCAGAAATTCGCAGGAGCCATCTGTGAAGTGACGCGTTGGTCTAAAAGCAAAGGAAGTTGACAGCCTATGACTCAATCCATTCGTTACCCCACGTGCCTCCGGAATGAGTCATTTTGGTGCAATAAGCCGCCCCTCGAGGAGTTTAGTCTGCGGTTCCGTCTCATAGTACGTCGTTGGCTTGCCTTCTAAACCCTTGGATATCACTTTATCAAATCTACGGACAAGTGAAACCCTGCTGTGAAGCCTTGCATTACTCGAAGACTCCTAGATCTCTGTTTTTCTAGTCGTGGGCTCAATAGTCGCAATGCAAACGTTGTGATCAATATGACGGGGGACGTATCGTTTGTTTTCTATACATAGGTCAGTTCGTGAATAAATGCTGATCTCCAAGGACATACCTAAGCTCGGGATTATTGCTGCAGATTTCGCGCGAGAGGTTTTGACGCCGCAACTTGGTCCCGAAGAAAGCGTTCATGGCCGTGCAATTCCCATGCGCAAGCTTCTACTATACTACTGGCACCGTAGCGTTTGAAATCTAATTCAATCCATATGTAGGAGCGAACAACGACAAAACCAAGCCTCGAAAGGCAATGCTACCGTCTTGTCTTTAACCTAAAGCTCAGAGAGCAAGGAAATTATCGAGCTATCCTAACCACTTCGTTCCATCATGTGCGTTGGATTCCTGCTCAATTGAGCATGACAGTTTAATTAACCCAAATGAATTTGCATTGATCAGAGCTGGATCAGAGTGCAAGTTCGTGTCTCAGGCCAGCTACTCGTTACAGGAGCTCACTTTACTCTTTGCTTGGTGGAGCCTTCGGTTCTCCCGAAGATCCTTTTCTCCAAAACATCATCGTCCGTTAACGTTCCTGAGATGTTTATCATTGCCGGCTGGGGGGTCTGAATTTGCATTGCAAGTTAAGTTAAAGGTGCTGCGGAAAATCCTGGAAGATCATTCCCATTTTAAGTTGTGGGCAAAGTTCGCGTCTTCGTGAATCATAAAGTAGGTTGGGTGCATTTTTTATGATTGGCGACTGCAGCAGCTCTAACAGCGACGCGTCAATATATCAGGGGCGTTTTGAAACCGACAGGGGCACGTTCTCGGGATCTTTCTCTGCTTCATTGCGGACCCGTTAAAGAATATTCACTTTTTTCTGGTATCATCTTGATACCGAAAGTCACTACTGCACTGGCTGTCAGTCTAAACTGATGCTGTCCCAGGCGCTGCATTCAGAAATGGGCTGCGAACCTGTCATGAGGACCAGGTAGTAGATCGTTATCACTGCCAGAACGCCGACTTCCAATTATTTTGCAGGCAGCAACGTGTCGTCAAACGATTCTTGTCATTTGGAATTTGGAAACTGGATAGACTTCAGAAAGAATTATTTCGAAGAGATCCCTCCAAAGATCATGTTCGAATACATGCAACAACCGATTCACGCAGACCAGATGACGGGGAGAGGCCCCTTCCTCTCCTCTTATACGAACTCAAACCGTTCGTCCCAGACAGCTGAAAGACGCTCTTTTCCTGTGGCATGCTATGACAGATGTCAAATTCACACTCTCGTTGCCAACGCGTGCCTTTTCCTCGTGTATCATGGACGGTAATAGACGCCAAGCACAGATTTTTATCCAGGGGTCTATGCTAAAACACCTAATCCCTGCCGTACTATATAACGGACAGTGTCCCATTATATCCGTCTGCATTCCCTCCCTACGAAAAATGTTCAAGGCTGCAGCTGTCCTTGGTTTCACCGTCCTTCCTGCCTTGGCCTCCGGTCCTCTCCCCAGGAAAATAGTGGCTCGGGAGCTAGTGGCAAGAGATGACGGTGTCATCCCAGCTCTCCTGCGCACTCCTTTCCCCAGATCGTTAGACGGCCTCGTAGTTCGTCAAACCGGTACTTGTGAAACTGGATACCTCCCTTGCAGTGATGGTCCGTCGTGCATTTTTTCCCTTTTAAATTTACGCCACTTGTATTAAAATTCCTCCAGGAAGCGGCTGTTGCCCAGTCGGGTGGGCAAAAACTCTGCTCGCACGTCCCGGGGTCACTCGTTCTAACCAGACCATTCCTTTCCAGCGAATACTGTGGGACGTGGGGAGGTTTGTTGGGATGCTGTCCTAACGGTGAGACCTGTGTGGCCAACAATAACCAGGAATGCGACTACGTGGGATACACGCTATGCTCTGGCGAGGACTTCTGTTGTCGTAAGTCTTCTCTCGTTCTACGAGGAAACGGGTCCCAAGATGCACTGTAGCTGCTGGTGATTTGTGCTACCGTGATAGCACTGGCTCTCCTGCTTGCAGCGATCTATCAAGCGGAGGCACATCGAGCTTCTTGATCTCAAGCGCCTTGGGGACTACCTTCGTTTCTGGTACAACTAAGGCTGCGGTTACCAGTACCACAGTCTTGCGCAGCAGCAGTGCTTTAGGATTCACGACAAACGTCCAGGCCGGCACCACATCTAGGTATGCTGCTATTTCCGCTGCGGTCGTTTCATAATTTATATTGTGATCTTCAAGTCCCACCGGTATCACTCGCAGCGTTGCTACAACGATCGCTGCGGCTGGAGATGCGTCCTCGTCCTCGTCCAGCAGCATCAGTTCTGCGGCGAACAGCCAGACAACGGGTCTTAGTGGACTCGGTCGTAATGGTGCAGGAATAATTGGCGTGTCGTTCAACATCGTTGCATTTGCCGTCTGTTCTACGCTTGGTTTCACCATCTTTAACTAGATGTAGGATACCTCTCCCTTATGACTTTTGCCATCGCTTTCCTCACCGGACAAAAAGTACTACTCTCCTTTCAATTGAACGCAATGTGCCCTTTGTTACTGCATCCTGATCATCAGCAATAAACGTCTCAATTGAGGGTATTTACAATGTAAAAACTTCATTTCGTCGTCGTTAATGTATTTTCAGTCTATCAGTATCTCTTTAATGCTCTGAGTCTTGTATATCTACTTGTACAATTATGACCTTCGTCACTCTCTAGATAAATAGCCATCAATGTGTGTTACTGGCAAAGAGCAACGACTATACTTACATTCTCCCATTTTAGTTCATCATTCTATCAAGGCTTGGCCAAAAGCGAACGACCTGTCATTTCTTAAAAAAAGTGTCTGTGTGTTAGCCCCGCAGTCCAGCAACAAGAAATTAGAGCTCACCCTCAGGTATCTCAAGACCCTGTTATCGCAAAGGCTATCAGCATAATGCCAGAGGATAAGGAAGTACGAATACGCACGAGAAGGTCCAAAACAGTCGGAGCGACGTCGCACAACGCGCCTTCTTCCTCGCCCTCCTTATCTTCTTTGAATTTATACTTGTCCGGGTCTCCGGTCATAATGAACGGCACAGGGTTCGTCGTGTGCGCGGTATGAGGAGCGCCCGTCTCGAGGTTCTTCATCTGCTCCGCATTCCCATGGTCCGCGGTAATGAGAAGAATATATCCAGCCTCCTGGCACGCCTTGTACACAGTACCCACGGCTTCATCGGTGTGCCCGATAGCTTCGACGGCGGCATCATACACACCGGTGTGGCCCACCTGTCGTCCGTCAGCTGGCTATTCGACTGACAGCGAGTCCGTAACTTACCATATCCGGAGGAGCAAAGTTGCACATCACGAACTCATGTTCACCCTTTCTGAGGACTTCTGCCACCTTTTCGGCCACGCCATGTACGCTCATCTTGGGAAGTTTATCGTACGTGGCTACTTTTGGTGAGGGAATCATATGCCGCTCTTCATCCTTGAATTGCTTCTCGACACCACCGTTGAAGAAGAATGTGACGTGGGCGTATTTTTCCGTCTCTGCGATGTGAGCTTGCTTGATATCATGCTTTGATAACCACTCCGCCAGGACATTGGTCATGGTTTGTGGTGGGAAAGCGACGTGGAAGGGGAATTCGACGTTGTATCGGGACATGGTCGTGATACTCTGCTCAATCATTCATATATGTGCGACCAGTCTGAGGGAAACCACGCACCAAATCCTTCGGAATGGTCACTTCCATTGGCTTGTCAGGCAATCCAAACACCGACACGATTTCTCGCATCCTATCGGACCGATAATTGAAGAAGAATAACGAATCACCATCCTTGATCCTGCCAGCGTCTCCATTCACGATAATGGGCTTCAAGAACTCGTCTGTCACGTCCTTCTCATAATTTGCTTTGATAGCAGCGACGCTTGTCTCGGAAGCAGTCTCGCCCACGCCACCGACCAAGCCATCGATAGCGATTTTGATTCGCTCCCACCGCTTGTCCCTGTCCATAGCGTAGTATCTGCCTACGATGGTAGCAAGCTCTCCATAGTCCTCTTTCTTCATGAAATCGAGCAGCTGTTGGCAGTACTCTGCCGCGGAACGTGGAGCCGTGTCACGACCATCTCCGAAGAAATGGACATAAGTGTGGGGCACACCAACCTCCTTTGCTGTCTCCAGGAGAGCAAAAAGGTGAGTGATATGCGAATGAACGCCTCCATCAGAGATCTGTGTCGCCTGTCAGCCCGATCGTATGAAGCAGAATGGCGCGACACACCAGACCAAGCAAATGCAATCTGCCCGTGCCCTCCTTTGCCTTGTTGAAGCTCTCGAGGATGATCTTGTTCTTATGGAACTCCCGTTTCTTGATCGCCACGTCGATTCGTACTATATCCTGCCATACGATGCGGCCGGCACCGATATTCAAGTGCCTATATGCATTTCAATGGACGATCTTGCTGAGAGCGGAGGAGTGCCTACCCGACCTCGGAGTTGCCCATAAGGCCCTCGCTCAGTCCCACGGCAGTACCGTGAGCAGCAAGCCTCCTCTGGCTGTGCTCCTTGCCAATGGTATCCATATTTGTTGTCTTACCGGCCTCGATGGCATTGCCCTCAAGTCCTGGAACCGCTGCGATGCCCCATCCGTCGTGGACACTAACGAAGGTCGTGTCAGGGCATATATGAAGAGAGGAGAATACCACATACATTAAACATACTTTGTTCTTTACGTCTGCTGGCATGTTGATGGTGGGTAGAGCAGAGCAAACCGTTGCTATTTATTTGCCTCCCGATTGGGTCGGTCCGATGCTCCGATCACACTTGCATATGGGGCGGGAAGAGGTGCAGGCTGCCCTAGGCTGACCCAGAGTACATGTGTAGCAAATTTACGAGGACGACGGATAAGAAGCAAAGGACTTATTATAACAGAGAGCTAGAAAAGATAATAGTCTTTGCGATCCTCTCACAGAGAATGTTTTGTTTCGCCATCAGCAAGTTAAGCCATGATCTACTGTACAATATCGATAGCAATGTATGTATGTAAAACACAAGAATAGTCGTAATCCGTCAGTATAGAAAATTGTACAATCATAACCTCCATATTCATTAACTTTCATTCCTTCGTTCATCAACAACCTTCCGCATCCACCGCATCAAGACTGCCTCCAGCATATCTTCCCATTCCTCACTTTTCCCTGCTACGACCTTGGCATCGAACATGATTGGAGGCTCCGATGTACCCCCAGGAAAGCGTGTCTGAGAGGCCTGGGGCGAGCCCGACGGAGAATGACCTGGACCACTGTGGCTCGGCGGTAGTACTTGTGTGGGAACAACTATGGGAAGCATGTATCGCAACTTCAGGGCACTGTTGTCACTCATCAGCATGATTCAGCATACACAGAATCGTACGCACCCAACCCACAGACGTAGATTATCGGTCCGCCGGAACGTCCATCCCTTCTTGGGTGTCTCGGAATTGCCAGACTCCTTCTCAGCTTTTTCGAGAGAAAGTATATCATGTACGCCGTCCTTGTTTACGTAACCCCATGGTTTCTTGGACTTCCGTACGCCGATATTATATGCAGAGCAAAGAAGCTGGCCTGATGATAGACTATCGAGGAACGCCGATCGAGGTGATGCTGGAGCCAGAGCTTCCCGTAGCGGAGGGGGAAGAAGGGCGGCAAGCAATGCATGAGCGCGACCTATAGCCAACTAGTCAGTTGAACGACGTAACAATAATGCAAAACGTGCAAACCTAATTCATCCCCCTCGAATGTATGTCGTTTGGCCCACTCGGGAAGATCCTCATCGTCCGTGCTGTCTTCTATCTCTTCAGCGATATCTTCCACGTCCTCAGGCTCTTCCGTGATCTGGAAATCAAGTATACCAGTCGAAACGCGCCGCTTTCCCTCAGAAACAGGAGACAGACCAAAACCCTTCCCTTCAGCATCCCCAGCACTCACTCTTCGCTTATTCCCCCGCTGAGCAGCCTTACGCGCCTCTCGCTCCCATCCACGAGAACCATCTTTCTTGCCTTCAAACAGCACCTCGTCCACGACGTCCAAGTATGACCCAATAGTCTTCCGTTCCTTCTCCAATTCTTCCCATTTCACGTCCTGACGATACAGCCAGCCACTACCAACCACGAGCTTCTCATCCCACCGATCCCTCTGGTCGTCTTCCCCGCTGTCCGATTGCTCGTCTTCATCCTCCCACACAGGCACGCTTGTATATCTACCTTGAACTTGCATCAGAGTAAAGGAGACCGCTGTGTCCGGATCCACCTCGTGTACATGCAAATCATCTTCCTCCGAAGGCAACTTGTCGGATCTTATACTCGGACTAGCTATTCTTGATGGACCATCGCCATTCCGTGAATTAGCACCATCGCTTTGAGCATCATATGCCTCATTACTCAGCGGTAATCTGCTCTTCTCCTCTAGCACCCGAAGGACGGTCAACACCTCTAATGCCGACCGCCGGATGAGCGTCAGAGGGTCTGGAGATGAACCAGACTGGGATTGAGTGGGTGACCGTATAGCTCTGGGTCCAAGAACTTTGGAGCGAAACTGCGCGCGTATGGTACCTGCAGATTCGTCTGGTAGCGAAACAACATAGTTTCTCACAGCACGAATTGCGGTTGTCGTAATTTTCAGCAAGCTGAGCACATCGAACGATTCTCCTCCAAGAATTTCGGAGTTTAGCGGGAGATCGATCCGCCATGCGCGAGCCACGGCCGTGAGGTCTTCAACCACGCCCGGTAATAGGGATTCCGGGTCTGTCTCGTAAGTCTTGACGAAGGGTAGGAAAGCAGGTCCATGGGGGTCTGGTACTACTGGCGTTGGAGGTAATCTGAGTTCAGGGAGGCTACTGAGGCTAGAATTATTTCGTATATGGGATTTGCCGCCGAGCGCAGGGACCAAACCCTTCACAGGTTTGCCTAAATTACTAGACAAGGTCAGTATACAGAATGCGTGATGGAGCTGGGTACAAAGATAAAAGATAGACGCCCAAGGCACGGGTGTAAATCTGTTTGCGCGAAGACTCACTTCTTCTTGGCGGCAATCCCTGTCTTTGTGAAATAATATTGCAGGTGTTCAATGCTCCCAAGCGCCATAACACTCTGCCGCTTCGCAGCACTCCTACTGAACGGGTTTTGCGTTTTATTCGATGGGTTCATGTTAGGATAAAATGCGGTTTGTCGTCTCGATTTCTTCATAGCTGGAGTCGTGGAAAGTGGTGGCTCGGGTGATGTCCCTGTAGATTCTGGGGTTAAAATTGACGGCGTCGTTGATGTCGAAGAGTCGGAAGTCATAATTAAATAAAATGAGAGTATCAGAATGCAAAATCGTGACGGGAGGAAATTGAAGGTCGTCCGGCGTTTGTTCCTTGTTTCGGTCAAAATGCGATCAAAATCCGCAGCCAGTGCACTGACGTTTTTGCCGAATATTCCTCATTTGGTCGAACGGCCCTTTTTTCGTGGCCACGTGTACATACCTTAAATGGCGACACACGTCCCCTCCTGACTCCCATGGCGAAATCCGATGGTGGAGAAGATAGGCCTTCCCAAGCATCCTTTGGGTCGGCTTTACCCTTGATATGGCTCCAGTTAGGCTCCCGACTTTTCTCTTTTCTTCTGAACCAAGCCCTGCTTCGTATGGCGACACCCAGCGCCTTCGGCACCGCTGCGATTCAATTCGAACTGCTATTGAATACTATTCTATTTCTCAGTCGAGAGGGCGTCCGGATCGCGTTATTACGCGTCAAAAAGTCGGGACCTAGTATATCTAACGTCTCCTTTATTCCCTTCTTGCTAGGGTGCCCCGTAGCACTCACCACATGTTACCTCTACATCAGGTTCGCTGGGGAAGAGACAAGTTCCCAACCATATTTCCACTCAGCTGTAATTTTCTACGTTTTCGCTGCCTTGTTGGAGCTACTTAAAGAACCAATGCATAACGCGTAAGATCTTAATGATCTGCATTGCCGAGATACATTCAAATGGTCGCTCTATAGCACGATGGCGGATCTGAACACAGGAATCAGGTTGCGTGCCGAAGGCCTCGCTATCGTCGGCAAATCCGCCATTACTTTTTTGGTACTCTTTCTCGATCCTCACAGGGACGATAGCCAACAGCACAGGGCCCTTCTGGCTTTTGCTCTTGGACAAACCTTTTATTCACTTTGTGTTTGGGCTATCTACGTTGCCCACTATGGACGACAATATTTGTATCCGAAACGTCCTCCCAAAAATGAGTGAGTCCGTAAATCATACCGCACATGTTAGTATCTAAATTCTTCCAGTACATTCTTCGATCCTGTCATGTTCAAACTCTCCATGACCATGACGTCGCAGTCGGTAGTGAAGCATTTCCTTACAGAAGGTGACAAATTAATCTTGTCATGGTTCAGTCCCCTGCAGGATCAGGGAGGGTATGCGATCGCACTGAATTATGGTAACCACCTTCCTCACTCGCTTCCAAGTCACGGTTTGACTGTCCTTAGGCTCTCTCGTTGCACGCATACTGCTGCAGCCTCTCGAAGAGACATCTCGCTCTCTCTTCTCACAAATTCTGGCTGACAAGGACGATAAAAGCAGTCTAGCTATAGCTGCCAATAGACTCACCTCATTTCTTTCCGTCCAAATACCCATTTCCCTTATCCTGCCAGTATTCGGACCTCCATTTATACCCCTGGGCATCCAGTTCCTACTGCCGCAACAGTATCTACAAACGAGCGCGCCACAAGTATTATCAGCCTGGCTCTGGTACATTCCCATATTGGCTTTGAACGGTCAACTAGAGGCCTTCTTCGCCAGCGCAGCTGACTCGGGCGACCTGAACAAGCAGAGCACGTTAGTATCTCATACACACCTTTTGTTCCGTTGTTGAAACCACTTTCTAGTTGGATGGCAATATTCTCCATCCTCTACACATCGTTAGCTATTGCTTTGTACCGTTTACGGGTTGGCGACGCCTCTCTAGTATACGCAAATATGATCAACCTCACGGCACGGATTCTCTACGCCATGATTTTCATCTCGTCCTTTTTCAAACGTCGCGGCACGCCAGAGCTTCTCCGCTGGACGGCACTCATCCCAAAAGCGCTGTTCTGTGGCGTTCTTGGAGGATCGTTTGTGTTGCTTCGGCTGCTTTACAGTCAGCTAAGCATAGAGAGGACCATTGAAGAAAATGGAAAGGCGTCGCTATTGAAACGGAACGTTGTCGTATTTGTTCTTACGGGAGGCTTCTTCGGGCTTGTGAGCCTTGGAATACTGTGGAAATTGTCAAGTGAATCCCGAAGGCAGCTCAGGTCTAGGCGTAAGGCGGATTAGATACTTTTCTGTATTTCTGTACGAAATTTTGGAATTATATTTACTCCTCCAGGCTGTCCCCACAGAACTTTAGTAGGGCGAATGTATTACAGTCGTAGGATTATGACTGGTCAACGAACCAATTCAGGTAGGATTGGATCCATTTCAAAATCATATCCCATCAGGACTACCCGTCTGGCCTACCACATGGTCATGACTCAGTATCGGGAGTTATCAGCATGTCTTAGCCATGGCGCCGCCGACAGTCATTCAGTAATCAACAAAAAACCCAATTCTTGACCTAGATTCTATCATCACTAGATAGTATTTTTCTGGATCGACACAGAAGAGGTTGCACAATCATTCAAATGTCTAAAATCATTGGAGATAATTGATAGGGTACAGAAAGCTTAACAAACTATCCTACAGACGATATATTCACATATAGCAACCATTGATCCGCCTTGCAATACCGGACCCCTAGAATAATATATCTAAAATACAGATGATAAAAAATATAACAATGCAGTGTGACGATCCATAATCTAATGGTTGATATCATTAATATATCATGACCATGTCCTAGGGCTGGAAACCGCAACTGTAAGTACAATCCAATTTGCACATGAAACGCAACGCAACTCACCCGAAATATTCCCCTTCGGAAACAGTACGCATAGGTATTCCCTTATAATCTGCGGTACCAGACACAACAGTATTTCCCCACCAAGACTTTATGCTGTGCTCTCCCATCGTTCCCCCCATTGGATAATTCAAACAGAAATATATCGCTACAGCGGAAAAGGCCACACCTCCGTCCAAGGCAGCGGAGAGAACGTAGTTGTATTTCGTCCACCATGAGAAGTGATACCGGCGGATGTAGAACTGAAAAATGAATCCGACAGCAGCCCAAGGCACGTAGTTTACGGCACTGGCTGGAGGCATGTATCCGGTCCCAGAAAAGATGATAGGAAAGCTATAGAATCTTATTACTAATTATGCCGTGTCAAGGAGTAATAGAAACCCACGTCAAATAAGAGAGCCACCCGTTTCTTCGGAACTTGCGACTGATGTAGTAGGCAATAATCGGACAGACGAGACCAATAATGAAGCAAAAGACCAGGGCTACAAAAGAGGGCATGTTTGAGAAAGTGTCAAGGAAACCAGAGGTGATCAGGGTAACTTACCATAGTATATTTGGCCTCTGGATAGTTGGCGCGAAGGGCCAATGACGCCCCAGATGACACTTGCCGTCCCGAACACTTCCGTCGAAGGACACGTCCAACCATCTTTCTGGTCAGACGTACAAATGTCGGCAATGTTCGCAAATAACCAAGTCTGAACTCCAAGTTGTGTGGTACCAGCAACGACCGCAGCGAGAACTTGAGCTAGAAACATCACCCGTGGAGGGATCTTCATATAGTGGCCAAGCTTGAAATCCGATGTGAATTGCAGAGCTGGAGGTAAGCTTCAGACCAGAATTTTTATGTTATAAGATGGCTGAAGAACGCACCTTGGGTCATGGTAACATAACCATATGTTTTAAACAACATCATGGAAACTGGGCGACCCGGATGTGCGAATCCAATGACCAGCTCCGTGAAAACGTTGAGAGATATTTGCTGGTTAGTGATGGCCTGGATAATCCCGACAGGAATAACGTAGAGAAATGCTATATTATAGTTAGAGGGATGAAAATATTAGGACCAAGCGTAGGTGCCACTCACATATGACTAAAGCAAGAAGGAAAAAGTGGCTAGACGACGCCATGTTAGATTGCGACATGAGGACATAACAGGAAAAAAAAGACAGACATAGGGAATTTTGTGTCCCACAGCGTGATGCTTACGGCACCAAATATGAACATAACAACTAAAAATATCATTTAGCATCAGAGGGAGTAGAGACAGCCGCCAACTCACTAAATATTATTGCGTACCACCATGAAGGCACTTGGGGGTAGTAGGACATCAAACGTGCGTGTATATCCGGCTGCTCTTGTAAAGACAGCCGTGAATGCCGCATGATATGGGCGCGAAAATACAGACTAGAAAGACATTAAAATGGCTCCCTCGAAACGGAAAACGTGCTTCTCACAACGAATGGGTGACTGTAGCGGTGATGCTGGCGAAGGACAGTCCGTACGACATGGCAAACGTCGTAGAGAGGAATAGGGGACTATAAGCTTCGTACTGTTCTTCATTGAAGGTCGCATCAGGGTTGATAATCCTAGTAACGTTGTACGAGGCTCCGGTATTGTCGTAGGCTCCCCGAGAGGAGATCCTGGGACATAAATTGTTAGATGGGGACGTTCGGAAAGGGAAGTAAAACTCACGGCATATATTTACCATACCATACATCCGTGAACTAAAAATGACAAGCATGAACAGGTGGTGGTTACGCAAACAGGGATTAGACGGACGTGCAGCGCCGGGACGATGATCCCTACAACATGGTCAGTAGACGAGGGACACCGCGCTGAGAGCAACGTACAGTAAGCGAGCACAAAGCCTGCAAAGACGTTGGCTTCAGCCCACCATGGCGTGGCCAGGGGCGAGCTTATGTAGGCGATCTGCATTCTTATCAGACGTACCGCAGATGATGTATGTCCCTTACTTCCTACCTGAGCCCAGTCTAAGGTGATGACACTCATACCCATGCCATGTTGGTACCCAAACATCTCGTTGACCGGAACGCTGTTGGGCGCCATCCACGTTACCCATGTGAAGGTGCTGAGGGCCGTGAAGAGATAACCAGGCACGAAGTACCAGCAGAAAGAACCAATAAAGGCGTAGAGAAAAAAGGCTTCACGGCCTATTCCTGCGCGGTAACCGATGCCCGCATAGGTGTGTGCATGCAAAGTATTAAATAGCGCGCATGTTACTAGGTTCGTCGGCCAGACTGCGATGCGGTGATCAATTAGTAACGAAAATAGAATCATGGCACTCACTCATGGATGGAGGCTGTACGAGAAACCGACGGGCAATACCACCAATCGAAAATCCGATCAACTGAGTGGACATTATCATCATCCATTGGTCTTCATAGATGATTAGAATTTTTTCTGGATTTCTTTAATGTCCCGACTCACGTCCAAACCCAAAGTCTTGATTATAATAAATCCTCTGGACAGCAACGATATCAGTGGCGTAGGCGCTGCTGGCGCCCACCGTTGCCATGATAGTGATCAGGACCTGCAAATAGCATTGAGGACAGCGGATAGCATCAAATTATTAATGTCAGCTCGCACATGTTCCTTGATTGAGAACGGGCCTGGATTCAGCGGAATCCCAAGCACTTTCACTCGAGGGACAAACCTCGCCAGAGCTCTGCCAACGGGAAACACCGTCAATTGTGCGAATATCTATAATAAGACAATGTCAGAGAGTCACTCCGGAAGACGTTTTGAGAGCAAAAGCGTACCCCAGTAAGTGTGAGAGAAGGGTATCGGAAAAAGAAAAATTGGTTCAGGCCCTGGTTGAAGAAGTGGTTAAAAATGTCTTCCTTCAGGGTTTTGATTGTCGCAATTACCGGGATGATCATCGCCCATATTATACCAAGCATCCATGAGCGCAAAGTTGATACGGGTATTGTCGGATCGTCCGAGTTAGCAACGGCCGAGCGCACTTCTGGATAAGGAGAATCGTCCTCTGCATAATAGTATAGACCGATGAGATTACCAGCAAGAGCAGCACATAGGGAAGGAATTCGCACCAAAGACAGAGGCATGGCTTCTTCTTGAATCTGACTCTTCTTCATCTGCTATTGATTCTATGGGTGACTTTTCGAGATTTGGATCATCAAAGTCATAATCTGCATCCTTATCCATGTCTGCATTATTCGAGTCGAAACTGCTGCTCTCGACAAACTTGAGGGAGCCAGCATCTACGGCTGGAATCAGGCACATGATGAGGAAATTCGTCATTCCGGCTCCTTGGGAAAATTTACAATCGACACATACCTTTGATACAGTCCTCAGCATCCACGAACACCGTCACAGTGCTCACCAGCTCTTTCTCTTCGCCACCGCTAAGCATCAGAACGGACGGACCGACAAAACAGATGGCAAGTTGTATTATCCTAGAATAGATGCCGAATATAGGGTTACCGTTGATAAGAAGATCCGAGGCACCAATATTTGCGTGGCGTTCCTGAGGCGCAGGGGCAGTGACCGTCTCGCCATTTCGATGGGTTCAGTATACCGCATCTCGACGGACTATCAGAAAGTTGATGCAACCCAGACCCGGCTCTTTTAATGCGTGCAAAATCCTAGAATCGGGGACTACGGTCTTAATTTTCGGAAAAGCTGAGCAAGGAAGGGTAAGCGTGATGTGGACGCTAGGGTCCGAATTGGGGTGACACTGGCGATATGCTCGGGTACTCCGTATTTGATGACTTTAGTACCGATATCGGTATCAACGAATGCTCGAATGCGCTTTTAATTGGGGAGAGAGCGGAGTGGAAGCTGTGGAAGGGCTAAAGAGGGATTAGGTTTACGGCATTGTTCTGTACCGACGTCAAATTGATATCGGAGCCATAATTGAGCGATCACCATGTAATTCAAAGCTATCTTTCTAGCACCTCTGTTTACTTGAAAGTTGAGGCTTGCACTCTGGCGGTGGAGGGGAAAAAAAGTCTCCGCGTCACGTGACGGTGACTGCAGATAATATTTCCGTGCGTTTCCTTGGCGTTTTAGGAACTACCTTTCGAAATGTTCCAATTGTTTCCCTGGAACCTTTACATTTTGACCGGCGCGAATTAGTCATCCGCCAGGAGTGTGTACAATTTCCAGGTCAGAGGATCATTCATGGAAAAAGCCGTGCTGATCATAAGCAGGCTTGATTGAACGATCTCTATATAAAGTCAATGAGCCAACATTCGAACTTTGCGTCGTTCCACCTTGACATCTTGAGACTTGACTAGGTCTTTTCCCTCTTTGTTTTTCTAATTGCGTTCATTTAAATAGTGAATATGTTCCGGGGCCCCCAAAATGGTTCGTGTCATGTGTAACGTAACGGGTATTACGGGTAAAATCGATCACTTTCGCAATATCTACGGCTAAACTACATATATGTGTCCCGCATCGGTGGAGCTTCTACGTCCATCTATTCCTTCAGTTTGGCTAACCATTGTTCTACGACAGCCAGCGGCGCTTTGTAGAGTGCATGCTCACAACTCTCAGGCTTTCGATCGACTGCCCGAAAATTCGAACGGTAGTAAGCTCGTCATCTGCGTCTCCAATGGGTAACTGTATATAAATTCCGTAGGCATATCCATGTAACTGTGCGATACAGCTATTGTTGAAGTTGAGGCTGTGAATAAATGAAGATGATAATCAGCGCGCACCAAAATCTTTTGTTGACGTAATCAGTATGGTAGCCACGGAATGGTTAGGGTTAGGGTTACCGTGCTTCCTTCCTTTACCGCGAAGGGAGTTACGTCTTGAATGCGGCGTGGTACTGCCATGTTGAGTGCAGCAGAATTTAAGAAACGACTTCACGGATGGCTGAGCTATGCTTTCGCAAGGTAAGTCATAGTCACCGAATAGTACTGTAGTGCTGATGTTCCTATATGGTAGCGAAGTATTCGTCATCGTATCGTTGACACTGTTTTTACCGATATGTCTGGAGCAATTTGCACGAGATAACGTGCGTCTACTCGCGGGATAACTTTCCTTGTTGCTCATCGTCCGGTAGGGATTTCTACTGCCCGACAGAACGACACCATGCTCAACAGTGGCAAAAAATCTGCACGTGAATGATTCCTCTGAGAGATGTGTAGTGAAACTCGGATTTCTGTGGATAGATACCGCTAGCTTCAGGTGCGTGGGCAGCGACTTTCTGAAATGAAACGATCCTGATATATCTTAAGTCTCTACGTGTACTCGATATCCGTCGCACTCCAAGCATTGACGGTGATTTCTGTGGGAGGCATCGCTGATAATTGTGTGCATCCATGAGCTCCTTGGATCCCCCATATCTGACTTTCTGTGGGCAGCGGCCCATCGCAAACGGCTTCTCCTTACCTTTGCCTTACAGGGAGCTTTCGCCGCAGTTCTCTTCCTGATACTACCATCATCTTCGCCGTTATGGTTTCTCTCTGCATTTCTGGCAATATGCGCTAACGTAGGGTTTGGTGTTTCTGTCGTTGCCATGAACGCATATTTGCCATCTCTAGCAAGGGACTCGCCGGAGGTGGCTGAGCTGTGTTCACAACTTGAGACCAGCCAGGATGCCGAAGACTCGGATCTTGTTGATAATGGTCGTATCGCATCTGAAGCGCACACCGAAGGCATTGAAGAGCCCCTTATATCAAGGAACCGAGCGGAAAGTTCAGAACTACGAGTTCGCTATGACAACGAGCTTTCTCGGGCTACCTCTCGTATCTCATCCCTGGGCATAGCTCTTGGGTATGGTGCTGGCATATGTCTATTGCTAGTAGCCCTGATACCTGTGACGAAGCTCAAAGGTAGCACCTTCTCCCTCCGTTTAGCCATCGGATTGAGTGGAATATGGTGGGCCGTCTTTTCAATTCCCGCCGCTGTGTGGCTGCCTGGTCCGACTGCTTTGGCAACCTCGGAAGCCTCTGAGAGTGCTATATGGATCGATAGCTCGGATATCACTGACGGTAAATGGAGCATACGAACCGAGGTCGTCGCAGCCTGGAAACGCTTAGGTGGTATGCTACGCTGGCAGGAAATCAAGAAACTCCGCAACACATTCAAGTACTTGGCGGCGTGGTTTTTGCTTTCTGATGGTACGTGGGGTGTTGGCGATGTAGCTATGAGTCTGAGTAAGTCTTCTTTAGGGTTTACGACTATAACCTCCACTGCAATTCTTTTTGGCAAAACGTCGTTGAATATGCAGCCTTCAGCGCTCATATTGATCGGAGTGTTGACGCCATGCGCTGGGATACTTGGATCTCTGTTATGGCCTATGATCCAGCGCAAGTTTCTGTGGTCAAACCTCAAAATTCTCATCATCCTTGTCATCCTTTGCTCCGCCATACCTGCGTACGGATGCCTTGGATTTGTCTTTCAGGGTAGGACAAGGTTTGGTGGACTGACGTCTCAAGGAGAAATGTTTGGTTTGGCCGTCTATTTTGGTATATTCTCTTTGTCATAGCATTCTTTGACATCACCCTGACGAGGGTTTTATAGGCTGCGTATACGGTGCTTTTCAGAGTTATGCCCGTGCCTTTTATGCCGAACTTCTCCCTCCCGGGGAAGAGGCCCGATGGTCCGTTCCGCGAAGCATCTATATTTTCTGACTGTGACTGACTCAATCATCCTTAGGTATGGACTTTTCTCCATTACTGATAAAGTAAGTGCGTTTTGAGCCTCTTCTGCTCATGTGCTCAGGCTATTACAGTCAAGTTCTTTTGTCGGGCCCCTTTTTGTTGGTGTCATAGCTGACATGACGGGCAATATTCGCTACGCGTTCTTCTTCCTGGTATTTATGATCTGGGCTGCTGTACCTGTATTAACGAGCGTGGATGTTGAGCGCGGTCGAAAGGATGCGAGAGAATATCGGTATTCGTATGGATCAAGAGATGGGCTGATCACACGCTAAATATGTGTAACTATACTTGACACGCCTAATACATGATTTGTACTCCAAACTCCGCTAACATGTGAGGGAGCTGGTTTAAGTCTGGAGATATGTCCGACGCTTACTAATTAATGATTTATAGAATTCGAGCATCGGGTATGTTCTGTGGTCTGGACCAACATTTAGCTCATGTCCGAGAGAGCAGGAGCCAGGCTAACGTCAATGAACAAGCCAATTACTCGGTACATTGACTGCTTCGAATTCACTTTTGACTTTAAAAGCAAAGGCTCCAAACGCATCGCTAGTTCCCCATGCCTGCTTTTCTTTTCCCTCCCATCGTCTTGGTTACCGCATGCATATGCTACTATGTGAGGACTCAAATTAAACGTCCCCAGCTACCTCTTCCACCTGGACCGAAAAAATCACCATTCCTTGGAAATTTGTTCGACATGCCGACTTCATCGGAGTGGGAGGTGTATGACAGATGGTGTAGAGAATATGGTGCGTCTCCTTGTCTAGTTTTATACTGCGTGTCTAAGAGTATTCTTCGTAGATACAGATATCATTCACCTCGATGTTGCTGGTACCTCCATCGTGGTCCTCAACACCGTTGAAGCTGCTACTGAGCTTCTTGACAATCGTTCCGCTATATACTCCAGCAGGTTTACTTGGGTGCTTCAGGAATGTCTTTCTGCAGCTAACCCTCTTCGATAGACCCCGAATGACAATGGTCAACGAACTGATGGGCTGGGACTTCAGTTTTGGCTTGATGGAATATGGTACGTGTTTTGTGGTCTATATTTATCACCACCCGATTAAGCCTTCTCGAATGAAGGAAATGAATGGTTAGTACTGCGCTGCGCTTCTAGATCAGCTTGTTACACTGATCAATGAATTTGCTCCCCCAAGGCGAGCGCAGCGTCGGCTCTTCCAACAAGAGTTCAATCCCACAGCCGCGGAGCGGTATCGTCCATGTGAACTTAAAGCGACGCACGAGCTGCTCAGGCGTCTCCTGGATGATCCCAATAAGTTTATCGCACACATACGACAGTGTGTATTTGAGTTTAAGTTTATCTGGGCCTAGGCGCTAACTATGCTTTTGGAGCCTCGCCGGATCTACTATATTATCTATTGCCTACGGGCTAGAGGTGCGCCCGGAAAACGACCCGTATGTTTTGGCCGCAGAGGCAGGCCTCTGTTCCCTAGCCAAAGCTGCGGTACCGGGGGCGTTTCTTGTGGATTCGATTCCCCTACTTAAGTATATCCCAGGTACGAGGGAAACAGTTTAAGGAACATCACACTGATACAGGAGGGGTATTTTTTTCAGACTGGTTCCCTGGTTCGTAGGGCATGATCTATTCACTTCTTGTACTCACCTTTACGGTCCTAAGGCGCAACATTCAAGCGTAAGGCGAACAAGTGGAGGCAGTATTCGAAGATAATGAGAGAAATGCCCTTTGAGGCCGCGAAGCGGAGAATAGTGCGTCGATGCCTTTCTGATCGAGGTGCTGTGATGTGGAATGGATACAGGCAGAGGGTACGGCGGTTCCTTCTTATACTTCGTATAGCCTGGAAAAGCTTGATCAAGCACGAGATGCGGCTGAAGAAGAAAATCGAATTCAATCAACCGCGGCAACGATGTATACGGGTAAGGACTGTCATTAATTTTCCCATAGGGACAACTTTCTGACTTTCCTTCTCAACCATAGGTGGAACAGATTCAGTATGAAACCATGTTAGGCACCGTACCATGTGCACTCACTTTCTTGTCTAGACGGTATCGGTTCTATGCACCTTTATTCTGGCGATGCTAGCCAACCCCGAAGCACAGAGGAAAGGGCAGGAAGAAATCGAAGCAGTTCTCGGTCCGGGAGAGCTCCCACGGTTTGCCGATGAGGATTCGCTTCCGTTTGTGAGTGCTGTTGTGAAGGAGGTTTTGAGATGGAAGAATGTAACGCCTATGGGTAAGCCGTCAGCTGCCTCTGCCTGAGGAACGTAGATCTCATCTCATGAGGTAGGAATACCACATGCGCTTACTGCTGAAGATGTCTACCAAGGGTATACAGTTCCTTCTGGTTCCATCGTCATTCCTAATATCTGGGCTATGTTGCATGATGAAGTAAGTACCACACATAACTTCGAGACGCGAAATTCCCAAATCCTTTTGGACTAGACAGTTTATCCCGAACCTCATTCCTTTATGCCGGAAAGGTTCATAAAAGAGGGAAAACTGAATCCGGACATCAGAGACCCCGACACCGTCCTATTTGGTTTTGGTAGGAGGTGAGTCCTTTGTAATTCTATACGCCCCCTGGCAACTGAGTGATCACATCTACAGGATATGCCCTGCCCGTCACATGGCCTACTCTTCAATCTGGATTGCTATAGCGTCTATGCTTGCGGTGTTTGATATCACCAAAGCGACTGATGAGTTTGGCAAAATTATAGAACCTACGTATGCGTATGCCCCTGCATTGGCTTGGTGAGTGTTCGCCGAAGGCAGTATTCATTGATCTAATGAAGATTACTACTAATTAGTGTCCCACTGCCCTTCAAGTGTTCTCTGAAGCCACGAAATGTAGTTACCGAGGCGTCAATTCGAGCAACGGCGAATGTAGGAGTTTGAAGGTGTATGAATGATAAACGGTAGTATGTATAGCGCAATATATGTTGTATTTGATGTTGTACACATACCCTTTTTCGAATCTGTCACGGAAGCCTTTGACAATCACTGACAAGCAGAGCCACGTGCATTGAACACGTACCGCCGGCGGCTATCCATTCACCACCACCACTATCGGACTCTGCAAGTACGATGGATTTCCTTCATTCGAATCTCGCCGCTATTCAGCGTAGGCTGGCATTTGTGGCAGTAGAGCCTATTAACTGGAAATTATACGTCCAGTCGTTTTCTTGGAGCGTGACTCTCTGGGAGTGCTACCTGCTGTATGCCTCGTCATTCTGTGTGCCCTAGATATACTGACCCTATTATTACAGTTTGCGCCAATATCCATTGTATTCGAAAAGGGAGCCACCTCCAGCCCTTGCCTCGCATCTGGGCGCGGATGTGTTCGAGAAATCGCAAAAATATGGCAAAGAAAAAGCCCAAGTGGCACTGTTCTCCAAGCTGTACAGCCAAGTCTTGGATTCGTTATTGCTTCACTTTGGGTTCTATGCTTGGTGTTGGGATGCTTCTGGAAGAATCTTGGCCAAGGCAGGATACGGTTCAGAGTATGAGGTGCGTCTGTTGCTTCTTGAGACCAGTATCTAGCATTCGACAACCTTTTCAGATCTTGCAATCTATAGGATTCTCATTTTTGCTCTATTTTGTATCGTCGCTGCCTACACTACCTCTCTCCATCTACTCTACTTTTGTCTTAGAAGAACGACACGGTTTCAACAAGACGACACCTGGCCTCTTTGTCGCGGACATGCTGAAATCATGGGCTATTGGAATAGTCTTTGGCTCACCCTTCCTCGCTGCTTTCCTGTACATCTTCAAATGGGCCGGCGACCGTTTCGTGCCTTGGCTCATGGCCTTCATGTACGTATTTTACAAACATGCCACTCGTGCTTCTCGCTTACTTGTTCGCCTCCTTTCCAAAGGCTGTCCTTCCAGATGATTATGGTCTTCCTTTATCCTACCGTGATTCAGCCTCTCTTCAACACCCTCGCTCCTCTCAAGGATGGCGATCTCCGCACTCGCGTCGAGTCCCTGGCCGGCAAACTCAAGTTTCCTCTGAAACATCTGTATGAGATCGATGGCTCGAAGCGCAGCTCGCATAGCAATGCATACTTCTTCGGGCTCCCTTGGGTAAGCTCTATCTCATCTTTCTCCTGCACATTTGACACCTTCATCAGAGCAAGCATATTGTCATCTTTGATACCCTGATGGAACAGAGTTCCCCACCCGAGGTGGAAGCTGTCCTCGCCCATGAGCTCGGTCACTGGTATTATCTCCACCCAACCAAAATGATGATCGTATCCCAATTCCACATCTTCACCATTCTCGCCCTCTTCCCCGCTTTCCTCCACGCCCCACCCCTCCTCCGATCCTTCGATTTTCCCAAGGCCGTGTGTGCCCAACCCCCAACGATCGTAGCCTTCTTGATCTTCCAGATGATCTTGACCCCCCTCGAGGCGGTGATCAGCATCGGGATGAACGGGCTGAGTCGGCGTTTTGAATGGGAAGCGGATAGATTTGCGTGTGAGTTGCGGGATACACTTGGGGAGGAGAAGATGGCGGATATGGGTGAGAGGCTGGGGAGAGCGTTGATTACGCTTCATGTGAAGAATTTGTCGACGGTCTGGGTGGACTGGTTGTATTCGGCATATCATCATTCGCATCCGACTTTGACTGAGAGGCTGAAGGCGTTGGAGGAGTATCAAGTCAGGCGGGAGAAAAAGGAGTAGTGTAAGGAAGTTGTATAGCATCATTGAATGCATTGGATGTTAATCCGCCTTGATCGGTGCGAGCAGAAGCGACGTCCATTGCGCCTTTCATTTTAATATATATCCCCACTCCTTCTCAGACGCTGTTCTACATCTGATAGATTCGAGCTATGAACAAGCGAAAACGTTCATATAATCAGCAGTAGTTGCGTACAAGAATTGTATTGAGTCGCAATAACAAAATTAGCTCAATCTCGTCCTACAACGACCTTCAAAACTTCCGTAAAACGCAGCGACCACTACCTGCGTTCCTCTTGACGTTTCTCACTCCCGACCAGCTGTAAGGAGGGACTCTTCGGTACGGGAAGACCCACAGCCACCAGCAAATCAACAACAGCGCGCTGCAGTCGATCGTCGTCATACTCCAACCCAAGCAGTATAGACATCATTCTCAGCGTATAATTATTGCAGCGCTCCAGAGTTTCAAGCTATCGAGCATGTTCGTCCGTCTCCGTACTTACATGTGTCGTAGCAATCTCAGCACTTGAGGAGATGATATCGACAGATTTCCTATTGAGGTCGGTCACAGGAAGGACTTGCAGTGAGATCAGGAATGGCTCTGAAACGGGGGGGGGGTGAGGTAACCAGCGACAAGTACGGAAAAGAATCACTAAAACCTTGGACGAAGATGTCTAGAATTCTGACCACACCAACGTCCTCGCAGAGATTCCAGCTTCCGTTTTCTTTCGGCGTTGTGAGAACCAAGAGATCCGTAAAGACGAATAGCTGCAGCAGGACATCAGACCTGACAGTCGGGGGGTGTTCTTCGTAGCTCTTGGCTGAAAGTGTGTCGTTTGAAGTTTGGCCATACCCTTTTTGTTGCCTGTCGGGTCAAGGGAACGACAGTTTGGCGTGGGCGAAGCAGACATATCCCAAGAACTAGCAGTAGAAGCCGTTTCAATCGATGAGCCGGTCGCAGAAGAAGCGTTTGACTTCAGAGAACCAGATCGCGCGCGACGCGCATCCCAGTCATTGATAGCGTCCACCAGTCTACTGGAGCAATTTTGAAGACAGTCACCAAGAGATTCAGAAACCTGTGTAGATGAAGAGACATCACAGTCAATCCTGCAAACTTGACCTTGATGCAAAAGCCGTCGATCACGTCTTGCGATATCAGCTAGACCATGGATGGATTCGGTTACATCCTTGATGAGCTCATCATATTCGTCCTCTCGAAGCTTGACCTCTGCCATGACTTTGATAATCAGATCTGTGGATCGTAGAAGACATAAAGTTGGCGGATGATCTTGATGCGTCTGAGGTGTTGCGTCCAAAAGTTGCTACGAAATCACATCATTTCTGAAAAAACACAGCCTGAGCAGCCAGGGTTCTCACCTGAAAAATATTATCGTCGTTTTCATGCCGAGGCCTTGGGGGGTACTAGAAAACGTCTTTATCAGTTGAATCCTTCCCATTCTCCTTGGTTCCCTTACATAAAAAACCATATTAGTACTTACGAGCGTTTTTATACCTGTGGGATATCAATATCAGTTTATTTTGGGGATCATGGTCTTCAGTTTTGAGTGCGCTTATCTGAACCCGCTTTTGTTTTCCAGAGACAAGTATTCCAGGATTGAGTTCTTGTCGAGATCCATTCTATGTAAGCAGTCCCGTGGTATCGTGTCCTTGTCACAGTTGATAGCGCATTGTTACGTGCAAGCTACGAGGACCGTCCGTTAGGGGGGAGCGCAAACACTGCCGTCATGAGTGTTGTTCTATTTGACAGTAGGTCGTCTTTCCGGTTTATATAAACACCATCCAAGTCCGGCAGCTAGGGTGTGTGCATGTGAGCGAACGTCAAGACTGTGAAGAGGAAACGACTTGCTTGGCCCCCAGACGCGGTGCTGAATCAAGCTCAAGTCTGACGAAGAGATTCAAACCAGGGGTACGTGTACAGCTGAACGCAGCACGCACAGACAATCACATCTCGGGAGAACCCATAAGCATCGGACCCTATAGTATGATCCGCGAGAGCGCTAGGTAATCCCAAAGAAACGACGCCTTGCGTGTATTTCTTCACGTAAAAACTCCGAAAGGAGATTTTGAACAGAAATTTTCTGGTCGTACGTTTTATTGCTGCTCCCGTCACAGTATCGGGGGATGCGTTGTTGACACGCATTGACTATAACGTTGCAGCGCAACCGTAACCTCTGTGCGGCGAGTCAAGTCTTGACGATCGGCATTTTGGCCGTTGAGCGGAGGGAGAAAGTGGCGCTCCTGGTCTCGCGTTGTGGGGCTGCAATTTTGAGAACAAAGGTCTCGAACTCGTGCAATGGTCTTCTGGAATTTTTTTTTTCTCCTAGGTAGTTAAGGAAGGAAGTTTCGATTATGAGAAGGAAAGAAAGGTGACGGACGGGCAGCCAACAAAAACAATCTCACGGTCTAGACCCTCGCTCGGGTGGACCTACAAACACCCATACTTATGTCTGCATTTTTACTGAGCAAGCACTCGTACGTACGGCTTACCTTACCTATGGGCCGACCGTCAGCAAAATAAGAAATAAGAACCTCCTGGCACGAGCGCACACCAGGGAAACAACCGGCCTGACCCCTTTTACCGATGCAAGGAGCAATGGAAATGTCGCGTTTCCACATTCTCTCAAGGGACATGTCCATCGTATTAGACAATCATAACTCGAGAGATTCAAACTTCATGCGAGTAGGCATCGGATCCCTCTATCTGCGAGTGTGGAGCTCAGAGGCGCACCCAGGAATGAATAGAGACAGAGTACGGGAACGCGTGTGGCTGGGCGACTGGAGGACGACGTGTGGACTGTCGTGCGCTGCTCTGGGTAAGAAGCCCGTTCCGAGAAGCGCTAGTACTAAGGCGAGGTGGACGCGTGCCATGGAACCACTCGGGACATGTAAAGCCGAGAAGGGTAAGTCCTCCAGAACGAGACCCCACTTGGCGGCGACATGTCCAGTTTGCAAGGGGGAACTTGGGAAAGGAATGCAAGCCGGGAGCGATGGGATGAATTAAAACTCTCAGCGCGAGGATTCGCGTCATCGATAAAACCTCAATTACATAACCCCAGAACAACACTGACATTGATATCTAATAGGTATAGAAACAAGACACTGTCAACGAAGGATGAAGGGAAGAATGTAACGGGTACGACTAGGTCCTAAGAAGTCAGCGCGAAGAATGCAAATACCAGATGGCAAGTCCCACCTTGAACTGACAAATGCACTCTGATACCATCTCCCCGTGCGTATGGCAGGTTTACTCACTATGAAAACAAACAGTCAGCCCGACGACGTGCCAACACGGGCAAAGCACTCACAGGAGCGACAAGGTAATGTCGCCATTGACCTTGGCCTGGATGGCAATCTCCACCTCAAGGTTGAGGTCAAGACGAAGCTTCAAAGCTGCGGGAGGTGCAGCCTGGCGCTCAGTGCGGCCGACGATCTGTCCGCCGAGGACGGAAGAGGATTGGGTAGGTGCGAATTTGGTAGCGGTTTCTGGGGCAGACATTGTGATGCTGGAGAGAGGAAGTCGATGCGGTGGTCCTTTTTATACATCTGGATTAGGATAGGGTACGTTATCATTGCATCGTTTTGGGGTAGCAACCTGGCATGGAAGCATAATAAACTCGTTGCGCATGTACACCAGATTTGATTCGGCGCGTGAGGATGGCAAGCCTATACAGTTTCCAATGCGTGTTTCTGAACCGTGAGATCGCAACGACCTTGCCCTCTACTATCGACACGCACACATCGGGCTCGGACTGATACGAATTCTAGACACGTTTCTTTTTCAGCACGCGTACGGCCCTGAGTCTGTTTCTCTGCCGACATACATTACGAGAAGCTTGGGTCTCCAGTCGGGTTGGTAACCCATTGTTCGCAGCCCCAGTCACCGCCCGCCACCACCGTTGGTCTCTACCTCTCTCCTTCCGCTTATCCATCCAACCAATGCGCTGTCGTATGTCTGAACCGTCATCTGAAGATGCCATCGTACATTGCGTCAGAAGCACGTGAATCCATCTTCCAGGCCTTCGTACATGCCCCATCTTTTGAATGAAATAACAAACCCTTACGTGTCCACATTCCTCTCGTATACAGTCTTCTCTTCTCCAAATTTTTATATCTGCATGCTTCAAGTTCGAGACTTAATTAACTTGCTACGACGAGGCACCCGAGTTGCTAAATGCACCATGGCGCAATCATAACGTTGCTCTCGCCCTCATCCTAATCCAGAACTCGAGATCGATACTTGTTTAAAAGGAACCACCCCGTCGACTTCTCTCTCTTCAGCATCAGAATGTCTGCCCCAGAAACCGCTACCAAATTCGCACCTACCCAATCCTCTTCCGTCCTCGGCGGGCAGATAGTCGGCCGCACTGAGCGCCAGGCAGCACCCCCCGCAGCTTTGAAGCTCCGTCTTGACCTTAACCTTGAGGTGGAGATTGCCATCCAGGCCAAGGTCAATGGTGACATTACCTTGTCGCTCCTGTGAGTGCTTTGCCCGTGCTGACACGTTGTTGGGTTGACTCTGTATTTTCACAGTGAGTAAACGTGCCACGCGGACGGGAAGATGTCGGAGTCAAGTTCTCTTGTCTAGGTGAGAGATACTTCAATGCTGAGTACCGTCCATTGTCGATGCTGATGCTCATCCTCTTAGCGCATAACCACTTTGATTACCTTCTCCTTTTCTCTGACGGTTGTGTTGGTATTTTGCCGGCGTTCATACACGTAGTATTGGTATGAACAACAAGACTCAACACCCTCGGGAGTTGAATGTTGAACGTTGAGAGTCGGGATGTGTTTGACCTTAGCAATGGGCTAAAATTTATGATCGTCCTTTATCCTGCAGCCGCTTGGCGCTTTGATCTTCAGTTCGAACTGTTTTTGCCAAAAAATGGTGTCACCCCGGTGCGAAGAGAGAACAAAGGACGTCCCTTGTTTACTGTTCTCGTATGGTACACATAAAACCCTCGCGCCAGAGTCCACAATGCCTTCCACCTTTTTCTCCTTCTCTTTCTTCCAGCCTGGTGCTTTTTCTCCATGATGTTCTCCTCCGTTCTTTTCGCTACTTCTTTCTTCCTCTGTGCACGCGGCACCCACAGCCTCCCTCAATGCCTCTGCCCTCCTCGCGAATGGCCAAGCTGCCCAGTCCTAGAACGTCGCGTTCCAGAACTTCAGCGTCAACGATACGTGCTCCAGTGCGTCTCCCTGTCTGATCCTGTTCCTCGCACATTCAACTCATCCCCCCCCCCCCCCCCCCCCCCCCCCTTCGCCCCCCCCCCCCCCCCCCCTTCGTACTATATAGCCGGCGAAGTAGCGTGTATATCTAGCGACGTTGGCGCAATGTGGGGACAACAGCCAGTGGACGACGTCCCCTTGTTCGGGCTCGGCGCAGTGTTTTGCGCTCCCGTCCGTGAGGGAGAACGGGACTGTACGTATTACCTTCTCTCTTGCTTTCTTTATTTCATGGGACTGATGGTTCCCTGGTGTGCAGTTCATACAGTGCACGAGCGAGATGGACGCCGTATCCATCATCGATGCCACGGGCACTACTGGGGGCATCTTTGGCACTGACGCTGACACGTCCGATTCCACGACCAGCAGTGCCAACTCCACGGATACCACGTCTGGCACCGACAGCGGGAGCGGGATCGTCACCGTGACCATCACACTCACTCCCACCGCGACGGTGTTCGTGAGCACCGAGGTGCCCGTCACAACGACGCTGTCCCCTGACGAGGCCTCGAGTCTCCTGGCGAGCTTGACGGGCATGGGTGCGTCTGTTGTTACAGATGTTAGTGCCACTGACGCAGAGGTTGCAGAGTCCTCCTCTGCAGCTACGACGATCTCTCTCGTTCCTGCCTTAGCTGCCACCTCATCGTCATAGAGACTTATGGATGTCACAGATGTATAGTAGTTGGTTTACTACGAGGGGTATACTGTACTGTATTATAGGTTTAATAGGAGAGGTATTCAGACTGGACTATACCCGGACCTCGCATCCAAACCAACCAATTATTGCCGACTGGAAAACAACTCAGCGCAACGACATGCATGCCCCCCGATAAGCAAGTGCACTATCGATGGATCCGCGTAAACGTCCAGGAGGAACGTTCCACTTGAACACCACTCTTGCTCCTGCTCCGATTTCTGGCGCGTTTACTCCTCCCCTCTGAGGATCCAGATGACGAGGCGCACTACCAAGCCCAAACAGTTCGTCCTGATCCATAGGGAAAAAAGCGTAATGTCGGCCGCAAGAGTCGATTCTAGATGGGAGAGAAAAAAATCGGCGCTGGCCCAGATTCGAAGTTCGAACATCAACGAGCAGAGCATCAAATTTCAATGGTATTGGTAACCCATCTATTGACTCGACGCCCAAAATAAAAATGCTAGATCTCCATATGAATCGACCCAGGTTCGAACTGAGATTCTGTGCGGCAGACAGAAGCGATAACCAACCTTGCCATCGACGCGTACACGTTGAGGTGCTTGTGAGCTTCTATGGTGAAAAGCCATGGACAGGTGTTTGAATCAACGGGTGCCGGTGTGGACATGCTAGGTGCCATTGCCGAGATTCGTAACTCGCGCAGGTGGAACAAAGTGCCAGAGACGTCCCGAGTGGAAAATGAGAGAACAGAAGGTGGGAATAAAGATCTCGTGGTGGGCGGGTTCTGGGTGTACGTGAATACGGCGAGCAGTCCTAGTCAACGATAGGTTATTGCCACAAGTCTCTAGCACCTCAACAAACACTGGCGCAAAGCGCCTCCAATTCTGAGCCATTATCTGCATACAGAGTCACAAGGCTCGTGTAAAGTTAGCTCTCAGCCTCTGACCAGTCACTTTGTTATCTTCTAGCTTTGACGCATGTGCCACCATGATGGGCATAGTACTCTTTATCCAGCGTGTGTCCGAATCTCCTGTGAGTATGACAGGCAGAAATGCCAGGTAGATTACTCACCGGCAGACATACGCGTCCTTCTTCAAGACATAAATATCTGAATACACTTTGAGCATGACAAGTATAAAATATCGAAGACTACTTACCGGTGAGCATATGCATGCCCATTCACGCGACCAAGACCACCGCCTCGCTTCGCTTCTGTCACAAGAGTGAACGAGACTGACCATGCGCTCCATACCTCTGAGGGGTACAAGCGCAGCCAGGCGATCCACGCGCATACAGGAGCCTGCTTCTGGGAGGGTCAAACTCCACACTAAATTGTTGTCAAAGCCGGTTGCCGGCTCGAACGATCTTTACAATGGACCGAGCCGAGATATATATATTGCAGGAGATAGGTCTACATGGACACTGTCAGAGAAGAACGAGACGGAAAATGGCACTCATGTCAATGAAGAGGTCGATATTGGAGCCCAGGAGGGAAATTTGCTCACAATGAAGGTCCTAATCAAGATGGTAGCGTGACTGGCCCCAGGCACCTGGATACATGTTTAATACAGTGAACAAGAGACGCGACCCAACGTGTACTCAACTTGAAGAATTTTGTCGTGATTCGATGGTAGTCCTCGCGACTTGCCGTTCAATTCATCTACAGCTTTAAGGAGAGAAATATGAAGGAATGAACCAGAAAAAACGCGCGGGAATCAGCAGCGGCAACGAACAAATGAGGGTTACCTATAAGAGTCAGATCTAATAAAGCTATGTGCGATTCTTGCCCTTTCGTGTCTCGCCTGCAGCAACTATGGATTCATCAACCTCCTTCCTCCTGAGTGAAAGCTACAATCTCTCAAGGCTGTCCGTTCGCAATGCCTAGAAGGGTCACGACCATTGATTGACTCCGACTATACGGTCTATATCTTTGTCGAGTTGGAACAGCTGCAATCCTCGTATAATGCTCGGCTTCAAGATCCATCGGTGGCGATATAAAGTCCTGCACCAGGATACACGGCAATCCTGTTCACTGGCTCAACCAGGAACCTATCCAGGGTCCAACCCTTACAAGCAACAGTCGGACGAATTCACCAAAATCTTCGAACTATGTCTACGTCTTCGATTGATAGATCTCCAATCTAGGGACAAACTCCTGTAAAGCCCATGCGCGTCCCTCGGTAACAAGACGTTGTTCTGAGTCCATGGACTGTAAGGCCGAGAAGATTTGCGTATGCAGATTCAGAATATCCTCTAACCAATCGAATAGCCTGGCAATCCCAGAGGGCACGCCTGATATCCACGTCTTTGAATCCTGCACGCGAAGCGGGAGCACAAACAGTCGGACAATGCACGTCAGGCAACGAACAAAGGTTGCTTCCGTCTCTCGAATTCTCCGTGCTGCACATACTCTGACAAGTTCTGGCTTGCCGATGATTCGTCGCTTTGCGCTCCGCTGCCAGATTTTGTACGTGATTTTCTCGGCTCGGCTACGCCCGGGCGTGGCTGTTGCTGCTGGTTCTTCTGCCCAGATGATTCTCGAGCACGTCCTCCGCTGAAAGTACGGAATGGAACATCCGCTCCTAAGCTCAACTCGTCGCACTCGTCGTTATGCCAAATTTCGCTACCCATCGCAGGCAAAATACTGTCCGCGTGAGATAACACCTCCTGGGTTCTCCGGCTAGCAGTCTCATACACCTCATCTGACTCCAATGGAGGAATGCCAAAAGCTCTGCGCTCGCGAGCGGCCGCAATTTGCGAGTGCTCGGCCAAAGTGACAGCATCATAGTTCTGCGAATCACGATCCTGATAATATCTACCAAGGCTGGGAGCTTCAGAAGGTCTCTTCTCGATGGGCGATTTGGGCCGAGCGTGAAATCTCAAAGAAGGAAAGTGAGACGATGGGGAAGGAAGACCATGCTTGATGACATCTATCGGTCCGCTGATAGCCAAACCTTCTTCGTCGCTATAGTCGCTCTCTTCATCGATGACTTTCTTTTCATTGGGATTGGAAAGCTGTAGCCCCTTGACAATACTCATAAGCTCTGCCTTTCGTCGATGGTGAGCTTGGTCTGCAGCTTCAACATCAAGGACACCATGGTCACGGACATCACAGCCGTCGTCCACATATTCTGAATCCGATGAAACATATGAGATGATGGATTGCGTGGCCGAGGCCTCTTTTGGGTTGCTATGAAGGTCCTCAGTCATGAGCAGCTCGCAACCTTTTCCCCGACTTTTCCTCGTAGCCTCAGGCGGAAGTCGAAACCCTAACCCACGCATATGGCTTGGCAGATCATCGCCTGCGACCTCGAATGATTCAACGGCGCTCTCAGAGCTTGAGCTTGAAGCGAAGACTTCGGCATTGGCTACGACGTTCTGTGCATCGTAATGATATTCGAAATCGGATTCATCAGAGAGCCGTCCTAGAAACCGGACGCTACCCGGTGATTCTCCTCTGGGCTGGGGAACATTTGAAACGATCTCTTTTGGCTTTCCAGGTTGGGGTGTCGAGGGAGGATCTTGGCTAACTTTAGGATTGAGAAACGTGCCAGGGCCCGTCCTAGACCGTGTGCGGGAAGCTAGGACAGGTATGTTGCTCTCAGTCTGCTACAAGCGGTGGATAAATAGATGCACATAGGCGTAATGAGCAACACACCTTAACCATAGGTTTCGGTACGACAGATTCGCAGGCTGCTGTGGAGGACGATGCTGTAGAAGACGTCGCCGAAGACTTCCGGCGCAGCAGACTTTGCACAGATCTGAGGGGGCGCGCTCCGGTAAATGAGCCTGGTGATGATGACTTGGCGTTGTCAGTTTTAGGCGAAAAACCCTTGGGTGTAGGTGTTCGTAAAGCTATTTTAAGTGCTGGCTTGGGCACACCTTGCTTCACCTTGGGTGCCATGGGTTCCTCTATGGGCGACGGACACGGCAGCTGAGGGGTAACAGACGTACGAAGTCATGGTGAATACGGTGAAGATAGCGTTATGCTTAAAGACGCCCAGTCGACATGATAGCTCTTGACAGAATGCTGGGGGGAGATGATGCTGCATGGGTGTTCGCTGCTCGCGACGGCGGACGTGTCATTTTATCGATGGTGTCTCGTAACGACGGTAGCAGACGTGTCTCGACCAACGGCAAGTTCATCATCTGGCTGTCACGTTTGTTGGGTTTTTGACGACATCATTGTAAATCGTTTTTCCGAGCGAGGTTGGAACTCGACAGATGAATCCGGGTCTGGCTGCGAAACTTGGATGTAAACGTCGGGCGACGAGGGTACCTCTACAGGACGATATATTCCATCGCTTTCCGCGCTAGACTGCTGGGCATGTCTACTGGGAAAAGTGAAGCCTCCAGCTGCAGCATAATGCGATGGCGGTAAGAAAATTGGGGCCCCTGGTGATGGCCGATAGTGGGCCGCTGGGGAATGTGCCCTAGTATTGGAACGTGCTACTGGCATCTTCGGCGGGAGAAGTGAAAGAGCTCAGGATGGATGCCCACTGCCGTTCACAGCGTCGTGGGATGAACACCAGTGAGCATCAACAAGGTCGTCGCTGTTATAGACGATGACGAAGGAAGAAGCTACCTACCTTTTCAAATTTGAAAAGGGAATCGTGATCGGAGTATCGGACCGATGGCTTTAACCTTGGCGACGGCGGCGCCAAGCGTCACTGCCTCTTTTGACACCAGCCTTTTCATTTCAACGTTCAAATATTCAACGTTCAACGTTCAACGGCGACTCTTTGCACAAGATTGACTGTTTCAATTCCCTTAACCTACATTCATGTCGAACGATTGTTGCAGTGTATTTTTCTGTTGCTGTACATGCTTCTGTATGTTTTTTGCGCTTTCTGCATGGAATACTTTGACACTGACCTATGCCATGCAGCGATATGTGGCCACTCAAACCTCTGCCGATGGTGTCTATTCTGCTCTCCCAGAAAACGTCCCACCGCAGAGGAAGATGCAGAGCTAGACCGGCAGTACAACGCGGTGCTAGAGGAGCAGAAGGCTGAGCGCGAGCGGGCTCTCAGGGAGAAACAGTATTCCGGGACACCCCAGATGTCGACGGGACACAAAGGGCATTCGCCAACCCCAAGTCGAGGCCAGAATTTTTCTCCTCCGCCAGTGTACACTCCAGGCCCAGGTGGCCATCCATCGCCGAACCATCCTCCAGAAGATCGCCACCGTGGACACAGTCCCCAGCCTTCTCGCGGACACAGTCCTCGACCCTCTCGACATAGTCCTAGGCCTTCAGCTACTGATGCCCATGCCCCCCTGCCTAACCCCTACGACCACCATCATTCCTAGTTAGCATCAGGATACCATGAAAACAAGGCAGTGATTTTCAACTTGAAACACTTATAGATACCATTTACTTACCGGGACCTCGAAATGTCCAGCTTATTGACCGGAATGGACACCATGAACGTCTTGACAACTCTCCGAATCTTATTCAGCGCGAACGATCCTCGTATAGTGTAGTGTACGTTACTTTATAACTACAGGATATCTATAGAGTACGATATACAGGAAATATGGGGTATTACCAGCTAGCCGAGGTTGCGACTGCAACTAATTACTAATAGAAAGGGTCCATTCCATGTTCTCTATTTGCGCTTCCTTGTCAAAGACAACGTGCTGGAGTCCAACCACCGGAAGTGATGCTCTTTTCCCGCCCGATCCTGCAATTGACTGACTATCGTGGTATGCTCTGGCTTGACAATATGCCGCAGAATAACACAGTCCAGGCACGAAACACGTCCGTGCACGGACGCCAGCGCGCGAGGATGCCAACGCGAGGTAAGCATATCGACCAGCGCCTCATGCATGTTAGGCGATGGATTCAACCCGAGGTCCAGAGACGTGAGTTTCGGCAGCAAATTGGGGACCGAGGGACGCTGCGATTGGATGATAGGCGGACAGAAGATAAGTGATCGGACGAAATCCTTCCTCAGCGTCTTGCAATTCTCCATGTTTTCTGCGAGGTCGACATCGGTCGTCTGTATAGACAGCTCGGTAAGACTGGGTGTCAGCCTTAAGATGGCTATCATTTCCTGGTCTCCAATTTCGATCTCTTCAAGGACTAGTACGTTTAGCCCTTGCAGAGGCTGCTCCAACAATTCAAGGAATTGTTTGTGTACGCGCACAAATCTGGGCAATTCCGCGGTGTCATTGCAGGTCAGGGTGATCGATTTGAGCTGCAAGAATGTGAAGGCACGGATGAGGAGGGGAATGATTTCGACGTTGCCGATGTAGAGAGTTTGTACAACCAAGTCAGTCTTCGGAGTCTCGAGCTTGCTAAAGTCGTCAATGTTGCCTTCGAATTCCAGGTTTCGTACTTGTGGAAATTTCGAAAGAAAGTTGATGAAAAATCGATGTTGACACTGATTATACATTGATAAATTGGTGATTTGGTTGTAAGGAAATGTGTGGGAAATAAGCTCCGGGGTTACATTGACACTCAAGATGCGAAGTTTGGGAGCGTCTGCGAAGATGTCCGTTGGTGCTGCGAGAAGACAGTTCGCGTTAAGACTCAACCCTTCCAAGTCCTGGAGATGATGCTTGACATGCGAGAGCCTTTGGCCAAAATGAATAGATCCTATTCCCAATATCCGCCACCTGGGAGCAGCGTCAAAGAGAACACGGTAACACTGGAATGCACCGGCCCTAGCGGGTGTATCTCGGTAAGTATTTAGGACTTGGATAGTGAGTGGAGCATCGCCTGCGCGGGACATATACGCCCGGAGACACTGCAGCGTGAAGGTGGATGGCGTCGTTGGATTGATAGAAAATACCGCCCACAGGCTTTTTGTTGAAATTGCCAATCTACGCCAATGGGAGCAAACCAGGGAGATTATCAGTGCGTTCAAAGTCCGCGGTGCGTTCATGAAATTAACGCTTTCATCGGCTTCCTTGCAACATTGAGCGAAGATTTCTGATAACATCTCGTTTGGAAGGCGCCTGATGGGGGCCAAGATGGAGATGCATTTATCCGCGTTTAACTGGAGTTCCCTCCGTTCAGTTTCTCGTTGCGACACCAAGGTGTAGAGACGGAAAAGTTCATCGTCGCATCGCTGCACCTCTTTCTCTATGGCACTGAGAGATTGTTTTATCTGGCGCACATCGGCGACAGAAGGAACGTAGTCAGACCTCGTCTGCAATTGCTTAGGAGGGACTGTGTTTTCTGTAGAGAAAGGCGGTTGGTCGCCGAAAGACATTCTGTAGAAGGTTCGCTTTTTAGAGGTTAAAAGAAAAATATTATTAGAAAGACGTACTTTATGAAAAGACGCGTTGAACGCGAAGGCCAGACGCAAAATTGTCAGTTCTGATCAGGTATGCCTGAGTGAATAAGCCTACCGGTCGTCTGCTGTGCTAATTAATTGGCACTGTTGGTCTCATTCAAAGCGTAATACGAACTGTTGGAATCTGCGAGAGAATTCGAGCAATCCGGCAATCCGGCAATCCAGCATGCTGCGTAAGGAAAGAATCTGAGGGAAATTGAATTAGGTAGAAATTACTAGAAAAGGTGTAGTCTAGTAAAAATATGAAAAGTCAATGGGGAAACTCCTCAGGAGTTTGTAACCCAAAGACTAAAGGTCTTACAAGCGGTACTCTGGATATAGTTCAAATCTCAACACGAACAAATTTGAGTATGTCCTCAAAAAATACCAAGCATTAATGATATTTCATGGAAACGAAACATACAGAGTAGAACTCGATCAAAGGAGGAACGTAATAGAAAAGAGAAAAGTGCACGACGTCCACTACAGAAACCGAGCATGATTTTGCCAAGCAAAAGTAATCAAAATGATACTGCATGTCAACAGTTTTATGTCAGCCTTTTCCCTGTGCGAAATTCCGGCTTCCAGATTTCTACAGGCGTCGCTCTTTTCTTTTCCGTCCACCGCCTGACTGTCATGACTTCGAATACCGGGTTCGTTGAGCGCGTACAAGACTTCGCCGCAGAGAACAAGAGGGCCATCCTCATTGGAACAGCAGCCGCTGCTATCGTTGTGGGCGGAGCTGTCTACTACGCCTCAACATCCAGGCCCTCAGAAGGGACGGACTTGGAAAAGGGTGACAAAAAGGACCGGAAGAAGTCGTCGAAAGGAACGAAGAAAAAGAAGTCCGTCAAGGACAAGGATGGTCCTATTCTCGAGGAGCGGAAGTCAAAGGTCCAGGAGGAACCCGGCGGTGAGTACCGTATTCATCTGAATATTGCACGTCGTGACATTCCTCAGACGACGCCGTGCTGAACGACGAACAAATTGCTGCCTTGTCGACGGAGGTCAGTACCATTTGACGTCTGACTGACGACTGTGTCTTATGTGAGTGCTGTAGGAACGGACAGCACTCGCGACTTCGTACAAAGCCAAGGGTAATGCAGCCTACCAACAGCGCCAGTTCACCACGGCCGTCGAACTATATACTCGCGCCATCCAGGTCTCCCCAAAACCTGAGCCTGTATTCTACAGCAACCGCGCTGCGTGTATGTCTTCGCAACCTCTGCACAAAACACATCTCAGTAATTTTTATAGGCTACATGAACAGCTCCCCTCCAAAATATGAACTCGTCATCGAAGACTGCAACGAGGCACTCAAATTGGATCCGAAATACATCAAGGCAATGAATCGCAGGGCCACGGCCTTTGAAGCACTTCAGCGATACGAAGAAGCCCTCCGCGACTTCACCACCTCTACGATACTCGACAAATTCACTAATAAGTCATCCGGAGAATCTGTGGAACGTGTATTGCGCTCCCTGGCTTCAAATAAAGCGGCCGACATCCTCGCACACCGGCAAGCTCGCCTCCCTTCCTTCACCTTTATTTCAGCGTACTTTGCCGCGTTCAGGCCCAGAGCGCACCCGACACTACCAGAAAACCCATCACAGGGAGATAACACACTTCTGCTCGCTCTGCAGGCCCTCGACGCGTCAGACTACGCCCACTCAGTGACCTTGGTGAACGAAGCTCTCGAGCAGGGTATTTCGTTTCCCCTCGGAAAAGCGGAGGCTCTCAATCTTCGTGGGACTTTCAAGTACGTGCACTTATAAACTTTTCTTATCTGCGGAAATTCATTAGACGTGCAGATTCCTCACGGGCGAGATCGAGGGTGCAAAGTCTGACCTTCAAGAGTCAATTGACATCGATCCGTCGTTCACGCAGAGCTTGGTGAAGATTGCTAGTGTGTACATGGAACAGGGAGACCCCCAGAAAGCTTTCGAGTGTTTCGAGGATGCAATCAAACACAACCCTGATGATCCCGACATTTATTACCATCGCGGTCAAGGTGCGTTGCTATTCCCTTGAAGATTCCGTATCTTGACATGACATGTCAGTTTTGTTTATCCTTAACAAGTTCAAGGAGGCCGCAGACAACTATACGAAGTCTACCGAACTGGACAATAAGTTCGTATTCAGCCACATACAATTAGCTGTGGCAGAGTATAAGCAAGACAACGTTGCGAAAAGCATGGGACTATTCCGCCGGACGATGGTTGCGTTCCCTCAGCGGAGTGAACCGCAAAATTACTAGTCAGTCATTTGGTTTTTCATTTCTTCCTTGCTAATATTCTGTCCCAGCGGCGAGCTATTGCTCGACCAACAACGGTACCCCGATGCCGTAGAGAAGTTTGAGCGTGCCATCGAATTGGAGAAACTTAAAAAGTAAGCCGTCCAAGTACAAACGGTCTTGTCCTTTACGCTAACACGACCCTAGGACCACTTCCCCGCCGAATGTCCTGCCTCTCGTGAATAAGGGTCTGGCGTTATACCAGTGGAAGCAAGATATCGGCCCGGCAGAGCGCTGCTGCAACGAAGCTCTCCGAATTGACCCGGACTGTGATGCCGCCGTGGCCACCCTCGCCCAGCTTAGCTTACAACAAGGACACCTCGATAAAGCCGTGGAATACTTCATCAGGCAAGCTGAGCTTGCGAGGACGGAACCGGAACTGATCAACGCGTTGACGTACCAACATGTGGGTTTTAGCGCCATGCTGGTTTCTGCATATTGACGACATCCTTCACTTCACAGGCTACATCATCGCAATTGGAATTTTTGAAAATTTATCCGGACATGGCAGCACAACTTAGCCCTCTCGCCAGGGGCATGTCATGAAGAAAAAAAAACTCGTCCGAATACTTTGTGACTAAATCTGCCACCTATACTCATGACCATCTACTTTATAACGCCTGTTCTCTGGTATTCGTCTCATTCCTAGCTTACAGTTACTGCAATGCACCCTCTACTCTCGTCGACTGAAACCTGAAGCTGAAGACGCGATCCGATCCTGTAAATTATGCGTCATAATATGTCATAAGCTCCAGGGCATTATAAAAGGCAAGTCGAAGTTGTAGCCGTAAGCCACGATGCCTTCACCTTTCATTCTCGTTCGTCCTGCGTCGCGAGGCCTGTCGTTTGACGCGTCACTTGCTTACTACAACCACCTTGCCGGTCTACGCGACTCATCTGGCGAGCCGGAAACACTCAAGCAGAAAATCATTTCACAGCTCGACGTGGATCCGGCACGACTGAATATCTTACCTCTTGATCTCGGCATATCATGCGCAGCAGAAAGCCTTGCAGCATCGCTCAAATCGCCCAGCGAGGCGAGTCATTCATCCAAACTGCCTTCCTCATTGGAGGCATCCTACACACCGAGAAGCAACCCCAGGATCTCGACCTAGGTGATACCAAACCCACGTTCGATATCAACTTCATCTCCCATCTCCTCCCCATCAAAACACTCTTCCCGCTTCTTCCCTTTGTCGCAGATGAGAAGATCGATGGGACCGCCTAAATGGGTACACGTCTCTGCACGCGTTGGGTCAATTTCTGACAAACGCCTCGAAGGCAGCGTTAAACCAAGTCGTCAAGACGTTTGACTTGCACCTTGCACAGAAGAACATTTCCTGCGATTTGTGTTGGTATGCATCCCGGGACTTGAGTAAGGAATTTTGGGGAGGAGTGCGTGAAGACAAGTTATTTGAGCCGGGCGACACAACCGAGAAGGCTGTGCGCGTTGTCAACGGCCTAGGGGCGGAGCATCGAGGTCGCATATGGGACTGGGCATAGAAGGAGGTTTTGCCTTGATATTTGAGTTGTTACGGTGTAGATTTTTCCAAAGCCAGGACTAATTACAGCATCGCCGTTTCGGTTGGAACGACGAACGGTGTTGCTATGGGATTTTCAGATTCGCTTCCAGCGTGTTCCTTCACAAACCAGCCTAAGTGACGTCTAGTTCATCCTTGAGAATTTTTGTTCTACATCTCAAGCTTCAATGCTATCAATTTCCCACAACTTAACCTGCCAGACTGCGAATAGTGTCTGTTCGTTCAGGCAGGCATTGTCCAACGGAGGGATTCGCTGCTCCACTATCGCCTAAATGCTGCAATATTCTACTACGGGTAGCAAGAGAACGAATTATAATTTATACCATAGTGGGTATATATATATACTGTATATATTCCAACGATTTCCACCAGAGCCAGAAGGAGTTACAAACACCATCCCAACGCAGCGCTTATCTCTCGTACTCCCCGCCGTTCCGACAACGTGAGTGCCAAACTGAGGCACTCGTGTTCTCGCTCACGCTGAGATTGAGCCCCGTATGCCTTTCCCAGGAAGTACCACACCTCGGGTACATCCCAACTGGGCCCATTCGCCAGGCGCGAGAGCATACCGGCCGCAAGGTCGATATTGTCCGACATATTAGGGCCCGGTGGTGTTTCGCCGGAAAGATACAATCTACACAGGTGGATGGCAGCGGGAACGTTGTCCGGGGAGATGAACAGCGCTTTTTGGAATGCGTCAATGGCATCTTGAGATCGACCCAGAGCGACGTAATACAGACCAAGCTAAAGCGGAGGATCAGTAACAATGGAAGGACCGGACAAGAAAACAAGGGTACCTGCACCCAAACGGCAGGGTTTTTCTCATCCCGGACCTCGGCTTCCTGGATGGCTCCCCTGGCCTGCTCAATCTTGCCTAAACGCCTGAAAGTCGCCGCAGACATTAGCCATAGATCGCTCAGAAGTCGCGTCTCACGAGCGGTCCGCTTATTCGATGTCATTGGCTGAGGTAGCGCAGGTGTAGGTGGTGGTGGTGGCGACTCGTTGAGGGTGGAATCAGATGGTTTCATAAGCAAGCTCAATCGTCTTCGCGAATGTATCGACGAAGCTTGATAAGCAGTCTGACGCAGTACTGCATGAAAATCTAGAGAAGATGTAGGAAAAAGGAAGTGTAAAGGAAAAATTAACTCTACCTGGCGTCGAATTAGACCGTAGCAAGCTTCCGTTCCTCACGACTCCGCTACCAATTTTCTTCGAGATGTGGCTTATCCTTGCGCCGCTCTTATGGACCCTATTTTTGAGCATCTTTTGGACTTTTTTTGATTTGGATGCGTCCCTCTCATGGTCGTCATTACGTTTGGCAGCCTTCTCATCGTGTAAAGCCATGGACTGCACATATTCTGGGTCCTGAGATTGTCCATCTGGGGTTGCTGGAGATATGGTGATAGGTATGGGTGGGACAGACGGCTCTGTCGACCCAGAATGGGCTATCGAGAGTCGGCGCTTTTCTTCGCTGTTTTGGTCGAGTGCTTCTGAGACGGTTGCACTGGGTGAAAGAATTAACTCTGAAGGCGACTTGAGCTGCATCGTCGATCTACCGCCATCGAAAGAGCTTCTCGCTGACGGATATATCATGTAAGGTTACAAGAGACGTCGAAAAGTGCAAAAATGCCCTCACCTGTATCAGTTACAGAATTTCCTATTCTATCGGCAACCCATACAAAGATCTCAGGGAGCATCTGCGAAGCACCCTCGGCACCTTCGACGATTTCCGTCAATGCAACCTGGGTCATTCGGAGCTGCAAGGAGTCTTCGAACAATTCTTGCCGCGAGGGTGAAGGATGATCTTGGGCGGGAAGGAGTAAATCGGAAGCAGGGGGAATATCATGGTCGTTCTCTCCGAGGAGGTACACAGGTTGCACTTCTGGAATCTCTTTCGTACCATTAAGGGCAGGGTGACGATCATCGTCAGTGCGAAGGAGACCATCAATCACCCTACCATTGCCATTGACTGTAGTCGAAGGGACGCCAAGTAACTCATTATCCGGGTCCATCTGGGCAGGTTCTGCAGGCAGGCAGGATCCATTGACAACGGAGACTTCTTCCTCGCCAATGGCAGCTCCCGTCTCCAAGGCCATTTCAGCCGCTTCCCATTGTTCAGTTGCGGCTGAAAGAAGTCCTAGCAGATGCCAGTATCGTACCTCCTTAGAGTTACCTTCAACAGCTAACCCCGCATTAACAATAGCCTGTTGTAAATCTTGCAGCTCTCCAGAGCGCGCAAAGGATAACGCAAGGTGGTAGTAAGTGGATGCTGTCGGCGAGGCTTGGGAAGAGCGGATCAAAAGCGCATGAGCTTTGGCGAGCCGTTGCGACCGACTATGCGGGTCTTGCTCTTACGAAAATTATGAGTACAGCCCCCAGAAGCACAGGAATATCAGAAGCATACGTTTGAGGGCCATCACGGACTGGCATACGCCTTCTGCCAGTAGAAGCCTTGCAACGAGTATCTGATTATTTTCATCCAAACGCGTTTTCGCTTTTTCTACCAAGGTTTCTGCTTCTCGCACATCCTCAAGCCCCTCGATGCCATTGGCCATCGAAGCGAATTTGCATAACATCCGTATCCCATAGACCAGGGTTTCCACCCAATTCTGATCCGTGTCTGTGTCGGCACCCACTCCGGCATCACTAGTTTGCCATGCTTTTCCTACAACTTGAACGTACAGGCGAAGAGTCCGCTTCGCAAGATGTATGTCACCAGATACTCGCAGTAACCGCATCATATGCCGCATAATCCTGAAGGAGTTAAATGTCATACGGGTCGCCCACCAAAGGACCTACGAAGTACATCAGATCGGAAATGAGGATAAAGTCCGGGCTTACATCTAGCACCCATCCAGTATACTCTCCCACAGCACCGCTAACCTCCCAGATCCCAACGCACAGATCCACGAATTCTTCCACTTTAGTATTTCGTTCCCCAGCCCTGGGAAATTTGGTGGACACGCTCAATATAGCTCGGTACTCCTGTACTAGAGATCGAGCGGTATGCAGCCAGATTGGCGGCTTATCACGAGGAGTGATACTAGGGTCATGACCGTAGCGAATTATTAACGCACGGAGATAGAGAACGGAAATGGCGGAGCGATGAGTGGTACGGAAATTCGAGGGCCAGTAAGCACTGCAAGACGAATAGTGGTTCAACCACGTCCACAATGACGCGCCTCTATTGTGAACACTGGACGTCCGTGAAGACAGAATGATGGCCCTCCAAATGAGACGTTCTACCCAGCGCCACAGCTCTCGAAAGCGCGTAAATGATGCAAAATCTAGTTTACCAGTGGAGGTAGGAGCTACAGCGGATGTAATTTCCGATTCCACGATAGTCAGGAGGGGGATGGCTGCGGAATAGGACATCAAAGCACGTTTTGAGTTTTCGGGAAAGAGCTTTTCATAGGACATCCCTAAGGGGTCTAAGCAACAAAAAGAGTTTTAAGCAATAATGTACTTACCTTGGAGACAGAGACTTCGCAAAGTTTCCGTCAGTGCCCATGCGCGGCCGTCCTTAATTTCGGGAATGGAAAGAGAGACATCGGAAATGATACTCGCGCCAGCTGAAGATATTGACAAGTTGACTACGGAGGTGATAGTCTCGGGCACTCGCAGCGTCGAAGGGCTTGCACGCAGAGTCTCGGGAAGGGGGATATGATTTTGGACGTGGACGACATCGGGCACCTTGCTTAGGTGCGAAAGGCATTCAGTGGGATTTCCAAGAGCATACGCGTAGTAAGCCAAGGCAAAATTCAATGTCTTGCAAATTTTTGGTGAATAGCAAGGTAATAACAAGAAGAGACTCACGTCGAAATTTGACGACTCGAGTTTCCTCAATATGTCGTACCCTGCCTGCGCCTCCCCTTTCCGTTCCTCCGGAAGAACAGACTCGTCTCTGAGCTCCAAAGCATACTCTCCAGTTCGTGGCGCGTCGTCCTGGTCGCCGTCCTTGGAACTCGCCGCAAGCAGGAGAGCCAAAGCATGTGTTTGTGATGCTACTTCAGTGACGTCTTCGTATCCTTTGCAATGCTTATTGAATTTTCGAAATAATTCGGACCACGATAGTGCAGTTCCGTTCAGCGCTTTCGATGGATACGACGAAGACCACTGGCCACCCGTTAATGCTGCTCTGAGCTGGGTCCAGTAGTACTTGTCCTTGGGGGTTGACATTACAGCAGAAATTGACCAAATTTAGTTCTACTTTGCCACCAAAACTATTGCCACCGCATAATGACGTATTTTTGTGCCAAGACTTTCGCTGCATTTAAACGTCTCTTCTCGTACCGTGAAATGGCTACCTTTTCTTCATCCAGCGAAGATCCTATATCTCGTGTCGTCAACGTGAGGCCCGACGAAACTGCGCTTCATCTAACATCAAGCCAGGAATTCGAAGACTATTATGATATTGACGAAACGGCACAATGGATTTCGGATGGAGACTATCAGCGAGTAATTATTTCCTTCTTTTACTATCTTTCTGAAGGCTCAGATATGACGAGGTAGCTCTCCAATTTCCTGATGAACTCCTTCACGACTCCGTACGGATATATCGTAGTCTGAAGAACAAGGTCGGCAATAAAGACCTCTATATTCTAGCAGATACATCCTACGGCAGGCATGCTACCGTTGCATCTCCTCGAGAGCAGTCTTTGTCTAACTATTCCCTAGCTGCTGCGTGGATGAGGTAGCTTCACAACATGTCGACGCCACTGCAATTATCCACTACGGGCATGCATGTGTGAGCCAGTTCGTCGAGTTTGCTCCAAGGTCTTAGCAACACATCTAACCAAAAATCCACAGGACATATCGTTTGCCTGTGATGTACATCTTTGGCAAAAAACCAATCAATATTGACGACTGCTTGGAGAAGCTTCTGAGCATGGTTTCTGAGCCTCAAGACTGCGTTTTTGTTGTCCGTCACGACGTCGCCTACGCACATGCAGCAGGCAAGATTTATTGTTACATCTCCGGCACCCCAAGCTTACCCGTTTCATTGATAGTGAAACTTGTCGACAAACTGAGACAAACCCTCAACACGGATGTAAAGTACTCTGAAGTCCCAAGCAAACTGTACCCGGAAAATCCAGACCCCACTGTCTCTAAGCTCTCTGATGGCATCTCGCGAGTGCATATAAACCCTACCGATGAACCTCAATCATCTGATGGTGGACCGTCGAAATCGACCATATTCTACATTGGTGGAGAGAGCCTGGGCTTAACAAATTTGCTAATAACCCATTCCTTTTGTGACGTTAGTTCTGTATCAGTTCGCCGTTTTCTAATCTATGCTGACCCGTTAAGTATCTAGGTGATATCCTACGATCCTGAGTCCAAAAGCACCCGTGTAGAATCGTCACGAACGAACAGGCTTCTTATGAGACGTTATGCCGTCGTCCAAAAAGCCCGAGACGCGGACATCTTTGGCATCTTAGTCGGAACATTAGGCGTCGCATCTTATCTGCCTCTGATCAAGCGCATTAGGGCGAATCTGAAACGCGCTCACAAGAAAAGCTACACCATTAGTGTTGGGAAGCTGAATCCCGCTAAGCTTGCCAATTTTCTGGAAGTCGAATGTTTTGTTCTAGTGGCTTGTCCTGAAAATAGTCTTATCGACGCTAAAGTTAGTCCGTCCTTATCTGTATGATATGCACTGAAACGACTTCCAGGATTTCCTGCGGCCGATCGTAACTCCATACGAGCTTGAAATCGCCTTGCAAGCAGAACAAAGTTGGACAGGCCGGTATGTCCTGGACTTTGAGAAGCTACTTGCTGAACAGGGTTTGGTTCCCCTTCTTCCATATGCTTCTTGTTTCTCATCATGTTTTTAGATCGATTTGAGGTGCCGGACGGAGGAAGTGAACAAACGGTAGGCGATGATCAGCCTGTGTTTTCACTGATAACGGGCAAATATCGACATGCAAAGCGATATGGAGGTACGATGCTCCTTCTGAACGACAAGAACCGTGGACCCAACCTCTCCTAGATACATTATCTAATACCGATATCGATAGCCAAGCACTAGCAGTACGGAACGGGGACAGTTCCATTGCGAGGGTCCCCGACAGGGCCGCAGGTATAGCTCATATCCATCCCGGTGTCTATTCCTTTCCCTGACTTCTCCTATAGGCAGCTTCTTACAAACCCGAACATATCGTGGTTTGGACATGCGAGTTGGCGAAGACTCGCCGAGTGTACTAGAACAAGGACGCGTCGGCATCGCCAGCGGGTATACCGACGATCATAAATGACACTGAGAATAAGAAATCGACGATTATTGAGGACGATTCGACGTCGGTGCCTTTTTGAAAGAACGATCGGTTTAAGAAATTTCCTCCCCCGCTTCCTTCCCCTTGAACGTTCATGACCTATCCGACCGTCGCACCTTCTGACGGCACATACCAAATTCCAGGAGGAAATGAAGCGCCCTGATAGCACGTTCATAAGATGTTAAACGGCCCTCCAAGCATCCCTACCAGGTTCAAATCTATTTGATTGCAAAACAGGGTCAATGGAACCTTTTTTTTTGTGAAAAGATAGTAGTCCCTTATGACGCCTTCGAATGGCACATGCCCTCTTCTTCCCTGCAGATGTTGATGACGATAAGCAAAGTGCCAAGTCCCCGAGGCCCGACTTTGCAGGAGCAGGTTAATTTTCACGACGCCGCAAATGCACCCGGGTGCCCATATCAATCCACTACATTGTCTTATCTTTCCCACACGTACAATGGATGGATGACGAATCTTCCCCGCAAGCTGTTCCAGGTGGAGATGGCCCTCGATATTGTTCCCCAGTCCAAGAGGCACAAGTCCCATCCAGGGCATGATGAACCTAAGCCCAATTTGAAAGTCCTCATTGAACATATTTGCTCCGCATAGATTCACTCAACTCAGGTGCATGAAAATATGATTGTAAAAGATCTGCACGTTTCTATTGGCAGACAACAAATGCCTATACTGTATCTATGATATAGCTTGTGTACAAGTCCAATGCGATAAGTTATCCCTGGTGTTACAGTGAAAGATCCACCTAGCGACAATAATGAAAGTAAAGTGGAAGCAAAAAGAAACCAGATATACATCAAAGGGGGGCAAAGCAACTGAATTAGCATCCAGACCACTCCCTTCTCAATTGCTCGGCCCAAGCCATCAGAAAATAAAGCACCCCGGCCGGTAGCATACATCTCACGCCGACCGCTGTCCAATCCCATCTGCGCCCGCCCCATTTTCCGCCGCGCCATCTCAGGCTCCTACTCTCCTCGGGAGAAATCTTCCCATTGACGACAGCGCCGTCTTTTTTCGGTTCCTGCCAAAGATTGCTCGTGACCCATATCTGCACGCTCCTGCTCGCGCAGGTAGTAGTGCCAATAATAGCCCATACGATGACAGGCCGTTTGTCGTGCTCCAGAATGGAAAGTGTCAGATGAGTAGCAGGCCAGCAGATTGCTTGGAGTGCGAGGAGGCGGATGAGTGTGGCGAGCGGCGGATAATAGTGGCGCCACCGGGTCAAGAGCCCGGTCGTAAGGCAGAGGCACTGCCATCCGGTCAATATAGCCTGGTGGTGACGCATCAGTCGAAGGCTCCGGGTTCACAGGAACAAATTTGACTTACCCATAGGACTGAAATAAAGTAGTCTACACGTTCAGGGGGAGCACGCCCACTGATACGGGAGGTGGGAAGGTGGGAGAATAAATATATGTTGTAGATGGCACCAACGATGGCAGGAACGATAGACAGCAACCGAGAAGATTCAAAGAGCAGTGGAGTGAGTGATTGTTGAAGTATATTGGGCGGAACGAGAGGGCTTGATAGAGGTTTTTTTCGAGACGTGGGAAGGCGATGAGGCTAAGAAAAAAACAATGCAATTAATATCATGTTTTGATAACAACCACCAACAAGGATAAATCAATGAACAGAGTGCAAAAATGAAGAACCGATGAGTCGGTGAGAAGAAGAGAAGGATACACTCACTGGTTCATCTGCTTCAGTTTCTGTCTCTCCAGCCCCGATATGACCGGGTGTTGTGCAAATGAGCCTGTCCCGCACTTTAGGAGACCCGTTTGCGAAGCCGAAGATGCGAGAACGTTGGCTGGTAGATTTGTTGGTGGAGTGATAGTGGGTGTGGGACATAAAGATCATCTTGTCGTCTTCCTCGTCTCGACTATCGTCGTCGTCGCTATCAGCCATGCGAAGGGACGAACTTCTCCGTCTCAGGAACTGAGTGGGATGACGCGAAGAGGCGGGAAGTGAAGGTGCCGATTTGACCTTCTTTCGAGGGAACCCCGACGCGTTAGACGGTCGTGGCAAGACAGGGGGGTACGCAAAAGCAGGCGTAAAGAGGGTCGGAGATGGTTCTGAAGAAGTATTCGGAGAGCTTGGTCCGCTAGATATGTCGGAACCAGGACTAGATGCGAGAACTGGATGAAGAGGGGGAAATGGTGTGGGGCCCTTGGGAGAATAGGGAGGGGGCGGGCAGTCGAGTACAATGAATGGATAATCCAGCGCTGTAAATTCGAACGAGCGCTGCAGGTTACGGAGTGTCGATGGACTCAGAGTAGGTTGACGCGCCAACGGTGGTCGCGGTGCATCTGCCGAGTCTGTGCTCGTCGTGGAAGAAGTCCTTGCTCGACGCCGGTAACCTGCAGATCTGGTGGACGACATAGCGAGAAGATAAGCGCTTCTGTATACACACACTCACATTGTAGTTCAAGTACTCACCTTACTTATAGGACGCTGTCCCTGCACCTATTCCAATCAGGCAGGTCCGAGGTAAACGATGATTTCAATCGAGATCCTATACTGCACCAAGAAAAGCTGAAGAACATTGATGATGTCGGAGTTATCATTAAAAAAAAGTAGCAGCATACCTTGAAATTGTTCTGCCAGCGAAATTCCTATCTCCTTGTCGTCACCATGCGTAAAGGCAGTAAGCAAGGAGTGAATGCCCGTATTAGGACTATATGTCGTGCTGACTAAGCTGTTTTTCCATTTGCGGAAGTATTATGCTACCGATCACTTTTTCTTTCATTCATCCCAGTCCGAGTCCGTCCCTTGTCCGTCCCTTGGTACCGGAGTAGACTGTCCCTCCATCGTCGGAGAGAGGTTGATGGATCCGTGGAAACAAGCTCGCCGACCAACGCGCCATACCGCACATCCAGATTTACCCGTTACTTTGGATACTACGCGACCGCGGCGCGTTTGAACTGGGCAAATACAGATGTTTACTACTGTATCACTTTTCTCCTCGGCGTACTTCTCTCGGATAATCATCTCGTTATTCATCACTCTTATCATCAGCGCAAATCATTGTCCTTCTCACTCTGGCTTGTCTTCGCAATCGCAAGTCCTGAATATTTGAATTCTCACTTACAAGCACGTGCGTCTAGGGGACCTTCCTACCTTTGTGGCTGCGTGGCGTTTGGAAATTGATGGTGATACTTTGCAGCCTTGAAGCCCTGGTAGCCTCTCTGAGCCTGTCTCCGGCCCTGTGTTGTCTTCTCGCTGCTCACAAAGCCCGGTGCATTATGCAGGTCTGCTGATTCCCACAGCCGATAGCAGCGTTTTCTTGTTTGTACAAATACAACATTGTTTTTTACAATGTTCGGACCGCCGACGTTTCCGAGCGAGCGGTACGTAATATCACTTCTAGGTTTGGCCCACCGGTTCCGAAAATGTTTCAAAGCGCCCTGGTTGGGAATGATAGAGTCGTATACCTCGAGTCTTGTAACTTTATTGCATCGCTGTTCATTTCTTTCCCCGCTCACCATCCTGTCCAGAACCTGGAATTTCGATTTTGCACCATCGTAGGGCCAGTCAATTCATTTGTAAAAAAACCGGGTGATTTGGTCCTTCCTTGATGCAGCATACCCAACGGGGTAACTATTTGTTTTCCAATCGTCTTACTTACCATTGCGTTCGTCAATGCAAGTAACCATATACCAGCGATCGGCCGCCTGCTCCGGTTTATTAGCGCGACTCGTGGCTGACTTACTCCGTATCTTTGCAATGTCTTCTCTTACTAGCTCACCCCTTTCTCTACTATTTTTTTTTGAAATCCCCGTTAAGCCAATATCTCACCTTCGTTGACGCGGATCCAACGTACCTACTAGCCCGTTCTCGCCTTCAGAATAAGTTGTCAAGTTCCATAGACTCCGTTCACGCGTTACCATCATAACGCCTTTCACCAGCCTCGTGCGCTCAACTTTGGCGGTCAGCGCCCGTTTGATACGGTCAGCTACCCTCCCTTAGCGGTCTTCCGGGGAACGCGCAGCATACATTCGGACTTTATTGTAGCTCTATGGCTGTAAAAAAAAAAAAAGTCGATTTATATTGCCTCCATATGCTTGAAGCTCGAACAGATAGCTAAGCGGCCAGGCAGCAGATGGTGGTGAAACAAACCGTCATTTCTGCGTTTGAATAAGACAACGAACCGGCGTTATATATATATTATTTATGGAAATATACATCTATACAATTCATAGACTTCATTCCATCACGCACCAAGTAGAATAACAGCAACTTTTCACACAAAGGTGATTACAAGCATTGACAAAAATCAATTCAAAATTCCAACACGCAAGCAAGGATGCTATATAGCGATTGTATAGGATTTGCATTCCACTTTTGGAGGTCAATAATTGTCCAGAGCGCCTCTGGGGCGCGGTCGAGAATTGCGGGGATGCGTGATCGGCGGCCCCCAAAACTTGCATGTGTTTTCTTGGGGCTTGTGATTTTCTGCTTCCATTCATAAATACCACCACCATCGTACAGTACTGCTCTTTCTCTTTCCTTCCCTTCCAGTATCTCGCGCCTGCCTCTCAGTGAGTACTACGCGATGTCACCTTTACCCTGGTGGAAGCGATATTCTCCTTCTTCTGGACTTTCGCCAAGATCGCATGACCGGGTTGGAATGCAGGAAAGGGCTTCTTGGACCGTATAGAGAGGCACGAACAGAAAAAAGATAGACCGAAAGGGGTGCGTACTTCTTGAGACTTGTGCGTCAAATTTAGACTGATTTTTGTCTAGAAATCAGTTCTCCGGACCGCCAGGATCATACTGGACTGTTCGTGCTCTAGGCTAGAGTTGGCCAGAGATGAAGTCCAAACTGGGCTCTCTATTTTGGTGTGTCGCCTCTCTCTCGAAGATAGCATTGATTAATTTGTAGTTCGTAATATGTAGTGCTCGACCATAACTTCCGGGTACTACAACTCTCCGAGGAGAACAGTCGACTTCTCAAGCAGGGGGAAAGATCTATGTTAGAGATATCTTTTCTTTACGGTGGCGGTGTCCCTTGTGGTGGCGCTTCCGTCCCTTCTTCGACCTCGTTGGCTATAGAAAGCACATCTGCTCACACCGCATGGCCGGATTGCAGGGTTGTGGGCTGAAACAGACCGCGTTTGAATGTCTAGTTTCATAGAGGACAGCTTGACACCAGAGAGATGGCTCGGAACAGGGATCCTGCGAAAGTGGGTATCTTTTCTTCACAAAATGCCGAGGCTTATTTTACGATAGGCGTCATCAATTGCTTCCATACCGCCGACCGTTATGATATCTCGAGTCGTTCCTTGCTCTGTCGTTAGGCATCTCCGCGTTCTCGGGGTTGAAGTCATCACAGTAGCCCTTTACACCTCAAGCAAAGACCATAGCAAGCTACCCTACTCATTACCCTTGAACACACGCCCCAATGAAATGCTGGAAGCGAATAATGTGTCTTCTTTGACCGGCGAACAAGAGAGTACATCGTTGCATTGAATTGAAAGAAGACGGTATAGTGGCCCATAAAGATAGGCAGAAAATGTCAGGGATGGTCAGCGAAGGAGATAGAGATCCACTCTGCTGGAAATGTAGTCGTAAGTGCGCTTGCCAGGTGCTTCAAATAAGACTTCGACTCACTTATGACAGATACGTTGGCTACTACACTTAGCGTGATACCTATGACTCATGCCGTCTTTTTCACGTCACCATCGATTTCAGCCGTTGCCCATATTTCTAGCACCGGATGAATGGACATATTCATACATCGGACTAGAGAACGATGTACACGTCATCGCCATCGCTGACGCTGGTTTTGGGGGAGTTATGGTACTCAACTTGGACTCTCGGATAACCCGAGGTGGCGTCGATTGTGCGTCAGAAGAGCAGTTTGGTTTACTCCAGTATGCGGTTGCCCTAGCTGCAGACCGTGGAGTTCAGATGAACAACGCCCTGGGGTATCCAAGCGAAGGTGGACCGTAGGGGGACGGAGACTCGCGTCAATCAAATTGGGGGTCCTGTCACATTTGTTCAACCACTTGTGAAGGATGGATTTTACAAGGAGGTTGTAATTTTGGCCTACCCTGCACTTCCGGAGGAGATCAAGCCAGTATTCCGGGATGATATGATTGGCGTTACCTTAGATGGAACGTCGCAGCCCTTGACTGTTACACGAGGCATCCTCCGCGATGGCGTGAACATGGAGGCTAGCGTCCCGTGCTTCCGTTCTAGAAATTGAGATGGACGGCTTCACCGCATCATTCATCAGCATCTATCGTAACATCAAAATACCCACGAATACATTCGACCATAGCCGCGATTTCCCACTATCATGGATTCCGTCTTCCTCTAACCACAGAACATGGACCAAGGTTGCAAAATTTTCGGACCCGGCACTGCGGCAGGTACCTGCGATAGCGACCTTGTACTTCCGGCTGGTCCGGGCGGGTTAGCTGTCATCGAAAATTACGTCCGGGTCAGCGTCTTTCAGCGTAGAACTGCAGAACCACAAGCAGTGTACCAACGTTTAACCGAGCTTTTACAGTCATCATCTCTAATACCATTTAGCGACTGTCTCATCGAGCTTCGACTCGGCTACAGGACTGGAACTTCATCGACGGCCTCTGGACAGTTGTCCGCTTTGGGCATACAGTAACAGGTTAGGATATGCCCGCTACTTCCGGTGCCGACCTCGCCATCGATCTGTTTAAGAAACGGGCCGGAGATTTTTATGCTGATGGCCTGCATTAGGCCTATCGTTAGCGCGATGGATAATCTTCGACCTTCAAGGGGGTAGAAGTCGATAGTACGGTGAATATGCTATAGAGTTCAGTCATTACCGTGGTTTTTGGGTGGCGACTAGGCGGATCGTCGAGTCTGTCAGGGCCACCGAGAATTTACTATGCGATCTTTGCCTGACAGTATGCCTACTTCAAGTCGGTCCTGCATGATCTTGGTTTGGAACTATTTGCAGAGCTGTATGGGGATGGACGTTTTAATGCACTACAGATTGCCGCGTATGTGGATGCAGCTTATGACTCTGAGGAGTTATCATCTCGGCAGACGTATGTGAATGATGGATCAGCTTAGTGCCACCTCTGCGCATACTATGACACCGGTAGAGGGCACATCCTTGTTTCCGCGGAATCATTCAGTGGCTAGCCGGTTAATATTGTCTCGACGGAACGAACGCCCTTACTCTTTGAAGACGCCTGGCAACCGTTGCTTCTCGTTAGGTAGCAACCGGTTTGATTCAGCAATACACCCACCAGCCAGAAGTTCATGCCTTTTCAGGTACGCATACGCGGCATTCGTATCTACCAAAACTGATTGAGCAGTAGAGATGGTTGTGGGCCCGTTTGGCGTCAATATAGATCGTAGGACTATGGTTCAATATGTCTACAGGATGGGCCGAGTATCTTCGTCAGGTGCAGCACATGTTGCACCAGGGGATCCAGTCGTTGATGTTGCGTGTTTCAGTGCCTTGGCTTGGAGTCCGTTTCAAACGTAGGAATTGCTTCCTGCCGCACAGATATGATTGGCTTCGCGCAGCTGATGCAACTGATGGCAGTGGACGGCGAGCGACAGCACCGAGTGGAATTGGTTATAAATTGATTGTCGTTCCTGAGCTTCGAGCTGTATACCGCGGAGTGGTGGAAGAATGTTGGAGCTTGCTGATGGAGCTGTCGGCATCCTCTTAGCCGGTTTGGCATCAACCCGTACGCTCGGGCAAGGCGGCAAGCCGGAATCAGCGCCCAAGCCATTCAGTTGAGCATCTCTGGAGTTGTATAGGCGGCGGGAATTGTTAACAATTGACAAGACAATACAAACGTCATTGATGAGCCTAGATGCTCAGGCCGATCTGACATTCACTGCCAAAACAACATGATGCCGCCGTTTATTTCATCAAGTAATTGATGGAGAGGGAGTCTATTTTGTAGACGGATGCTTTGAGGGAGTCGGTGGACGTGGTCATCTCCGTTCGAGTGCTGGAAACCCTCTGCGAACTCAGACGGGGGTTATATTCTCTGCTATCTCTTCATCAATTTCCACTCGAACATTGGTTGCATGAGTCCTTGAGTCACTTTCCGTGCATTTCGTGCCCCTTGTTTGATGCGGCGCCGTATGCGGACATTTCTGAGAATTGTGATCTCTGTTTGCTTCAAGCCCGGGGTGTATCGATGTGGTACGGTGGGATACGTACGTACCCTCACAGTGACGCGTCAGTCTACCGTGATGGCCCAGGACATTCTGCAGTCGGGCTTGCCACGGGTGCAGATGGCTTAATCATCGTGAAAGGGTCAAACATTGATGTAGCAAAGGATTTGTCCAGGTGACGCTCCGAAAGCGCATGTCAACGGTCGTGGAGCATTTGCCGTGCCGTATCGTCCATCCTAGACTGTTCATTCACCGCGGATTCTACGAGCCAGATGAGGAATATTGACGTTAAATATGATCAATGCGAGCTTGTCAGCGGAAAGGGCTTTTTGGTGATTACCAGGAAGGTCTTCCTGGCGCCGTATCCGTTCAAGATAAAGAATAGTAGTGAAATCCTGCTGCGGAGGAACGACCTGTATCGAATTGGTTCCAACTCATTCACGGGAGACTCTTCAGAGATCGCCGACATCACTTTCAAGATGGATGTCCGAGTTCCCTAGTGATAATAACATCCAGAGACATATTTCGCTGTTTGAATTCCAGTCTCTTCGTCACCACGACACACGACAATTTTTTTATCTCTCATCTTTCTGGAACGGCGCTCTATTCGATGGCATTTAATATCCTCTCTATCCCTGAGGAGACACGGTTCTGCATTTGGGCTGTGCTGAGAATCTTGCATAAGGATATATCAATGACCAACTGGCAGGGCTTACTTACCGGCCGCCCTACGAAGGAGAGACGTCGCGTCTTTCCTTGTCAAGACTCAGAGTCTACACGTTGAGTCATCAATCTTTGGCCGAGTTGCACAATTGGTGTCGAGAGCCTTCCAGAAGACATGAGTATACACAGAATTTCGGTCTATCGAAGATCCCGAAATGGTTTCTTAATAACGAGGAGAAACCAGCAGATGATCACTGTTATACTTCCAGTGACTCGCTTTTGGTGGGTGGCTGGGATCAATACTGATGTATGTTGTAGCAAAACGGAGTCTATGACGTTACGTGTCCTTTTCACCACTCTCATAAAAAATTTGGACCATGTGATCGCGAACCTACTAAATTCCGGACCGATAGAAGTATACCGTAATCACGATAGCGCGAAGCAGTTACACTCAGCCACCCATATGCTTTTGTAGTGCCATCGGAAAATGATGGAAAATGTCCCTCATGTGGTCTGGTGGTGTTCTTTGTCGCTACCGACGGTCCGCTTCCCAACTCGGTATATAAGGAGCCTTCTCTCTGGCGTATGACCCACTTTACTATTCAGTATCAAGGATCATGATACTCGTTTTGGGATTCATTCTGGTTTTTTTCGGCTCCGCGCTCTCGCAGACTACAGTCAGTGTCAGCTCGACAGCTAGCCATCCAATTCCGACTACACTATGTGCGTGTGTAGTCATAGTTTCATTTTCACACCGTTCCATTTTTGATACTTTGCCAAACTAGGGGGGCAAATGTTCGAGGTAATGACATTCAAATTCAACGCTACAAGCCCACAACCCTCTTAATTCAACAATTATGAAGGACATAAGCGTAAGAGCTTTTCATATTGCGCTTTCTTATTGTTCATGAAGTCCCAGAATGTGATCCTCATTTTTTTATCAATACGTTTTTTTATGGAGTCGATTCTTTAGAGTGGAGATGGAGGCCTTTACGCTGAATGTAAGCTTTATTTTACCGTCAGGCTCCATGTCATCAGTACTCATCAACTTTTCAGTGCTTCAAAATCGGGCCTTTCAGCAAGTCGATGCCGGTAAGCTGATGATGCCATACTCGCATCACTGAGATCTAGAGTCAAGTTTATCGTGTCAGGAACCTCCGCCGCGCTCAAAGCATGGTATCCCGTCAACGGCTCCCTCCTTACTGTCATCACCGAAACCGAACCGGTATCTTCTGCCCTTCCTAACGCACTGAACATGACTATTGCAAGTGGTACAACTGGACCGGTCGGATTCGGTAACAGTGGCTACTTTGGTAGGGGGTTTCAGCTCAATCACTAACAGACTTCTCATGATCCGCCAACGTAGGCATAAAATTTACGGCCGGGAACACGTATAATGCTTCTTTCTACTATCGTTTCCCCGAAAGTTCTGATTTTATTGGAGAAGTGGATGTCAGTATCCAGAATTCTGATGGTGATGTTTTGGCTTCGGCCCCCGTTTTGGTTTCCGGCGCCCAGACAAGCTGGAAGCAAGTCTTCATCCTGCTCACCCCAGGTACAACACCGGATACAACTGATAATGTCTTTGTCGTCACCACCGATGGCGCAGCAGCCTCAGGCTTGACAGTCAATTTCGCTATGTTTTCCCTCTTTCCTCCTACTTTCAATAACAGGTCTAATGGAATGCGAAATGACATTGCTGAAGTAAGCGAGAATCAATTTCGAATGACGCAGAGATCATCGCTCAAGAACGTGTCAGACTCTTCAAGCAATGAAACCTTCCTTCTTCAGATTTCCGGGAGGTAACAATCTCGTATGTTGACTCAAGACCTTCCTAATACCTAATCTAAATCATCTTATTGAAATTTTTCTAGGAGGTCCGCATCCCTCCAAATTTCTGAGGAAGTCTGCAGGCTGATTTTGCAGATTATCAGGGTTCTAATACAGCAACACGATGGGTATGGAACGCTACCTTGGGGCCTCTGGTCGATCGTCCAGGTTAGCCCTAGCGAGCTAAATTTCATGGGATCATCTTGCTGATTTGCGCTGCAGGTCGTTTGGGAGATTGGGGATATATCAATACAGAGTGCGTTTTCGACTCATTTTTTTTAGAAGATCTGGTCATGATCGTAACATTTAGTGGTCTTGGTCTGTTGGAGTACCTGTTGTGGTGCGAAGACTTGGAGATGGAGCCCATTATGGCTGTCTGGGCCGGTCAGTTGTGTTTCTCGCCTTGAAGAAAAAATATTAATCCTCAAACAGGATATGGGCTTGGAGGGCAGTCGGTTGCAGAGGACAATCTAGAGCCCTACATCCAAAGCGCAATTGATCAGGCTCGTCTTCGTTTGACACTTGTCCAGACATTCTGGTGATCTTAAATTTCGCTTCCGCGGACAGATATATTTTGTTATCGGGGATCCAGCAACTAATGACTATGGTCGGTGCTGACTACATCAAACATACGGCTCTAGATAATCATTCTTTACATTGCAGCTGCGCGAAGGGCGGAGCTCGGACACCCCGAACCGTTCAATCTGACTTACGTGGAAATTGGAAACGAAGTACGACCATGCGTTTGCGTATTGTGACTGCATTAACACTTCGCAGGATTTCGTGTCCGCCGCGACCAGCACGTTAGCGGACCATTGTGCACACTGTATCTAACTGACGAATTTTGACAGATATGGGTATCGATGGAACTTGTATGTTACGGCTCTGCAGAGCGAATTCCCAGACCTTCGTTCGGTTTCATTCTTCACAGTTGATCAGCTCAGATACTCATGTAGGCTTAATGTTCAGATTTCATCGCGACAACATATGCTTTCAATCCGATTCTCGACCCGACGCCTACAGAATACGACCTGCATGTTTATCAGAGTAGCAGTAAGTTCCAGAGCATAATCTTATTCTTGAAGTTGAGCTCAGACTCATGTAGCTTGGATGTCGGAGAATTCGTTCTATTATGATGTTTTCCAGGTAAGTGGTAATTTTGCGACGGATGTTAAGGTCTTGAGTCCCGCGTGCAGCGGAATGGGACCAAGTACTTCGAGGGCGAGTATGCTACTACCACAAATGACCAGGGTGTGTTTGTTCTGGCTACAAGGTGAAATCCCCCTCACTTGGATTTAGGATCCACCCTTCAATATTCTACAGTGGAAGGTAAATCAATTCCCCCGACAAGATATAGAAATTAACACGTATATAAGCTGCTACCGCTGATGCGGTCTTCATGACTGGATTAGAACGTGAGATTCGTATTTATTAGATATGTCTATTCTATGTGTCACTAACTCATTGTGTAGGAAACTCCGATATCGTATTCGCCGCTTCTTATGCTCCTCTTCTTCAAGTAAATACCTCGTATTTTCACACACTAGCCCAATCTGCTAATTTTATAACAGGATTATAGCCAAGCTGACTGGGTGAGTGATTCGCTTCGTGGACTCATTATTTCAGTCTGATTTCTTTTCGTCTGTAGCATCCAAATTTAGTGGTTTTTGAGTGAGAATTAGATGTTTTAATCCTGCCAGGTTGAAGGCTAACAGCTGTCCAGCGCAGGAGCAGTCTACCCAAGTGTCAGCTATTACGTCCAACAGGTAACTACTCACCACAACGTTATCGATCTCAGCTAACATCCAATCAGCTTTTCAGCTTATATCGGGGAGATGAATACATCCCTAGCACGCTTCCAACAAGCAATGGTAACGTGTTTTGGAGCGTCGTTCGAAAGACGTCTGTCACTCCCAACGAGCTTATCATCAAGGCAAGTTAGCCGCCGCGGGCAACGGAAGTACGCCTTTTATTGACTAGACCCTCTCCAGGTCATCAACAGAAACGTCAACACAACGGATGTGACTTTTGAGTTGCCGTTCAATGTATCAGACACAGCTACTGCAATGGTGCTCACGGGGGAAAAGACGTCAGCCAACCTTCCTTCTGATCCCGACCTTGTTCTTCCTCGAACATCTTCCATCTCAACCGGTTCTATCTTCGATTATTCGGCTCCTGGATTCAGTGTCAATGTTCTGGTTCTTGACATCGAGTAGCGTACACGCTTTTTTTACGACGTTGACAATATACATAACCAAGTGGAAACGCCTAGTTTCATGATCTCAGCTGCAAGACTGGTTGAGCGCGCGGGCTAAACGCTAATAACCAGTAATCGGGGTTAATAATCAAGCGCACACCGATAATGAAAAGCAATAAGTTATATAGCAGCAAAGGCTTTTCCAAGTGCAGTAGCGGCGTCTGAAACCAGCTTCGCTCCGATCTTGAGTACACTTGAAGCTTCATTAGTAAAAGATTTCCTATTCAGTTTAAAAAGCTGTTACTTACCCTAGAGAAATGTAGCAGATTGCGAATGGCCAATCAGAACTTTGGTAGTGTAGTTAAAAGATATACAAACCGTCCATTGCCATAATTGGGTGTGGTGCGCCCTTGTACACCACTGTTTCTACCTCTACGCCAAGCTCTTTCAGTTTTTCCCCATACTGAATACCCTCCTCCCGTAAGATATCCAATTCTGTAACGGCGATCCAGGCTTTTGGTACCTTCTGTAAGAGTTCTTTCGGTGCAAACGCAGGCGACGCGTCCCATTTCGTCCAGTCTTTGGGATCTGGAAGATAATTTAACTTGAACCAATTCATCCTAGCTGGAGTAAGCCATGCGGTATGCTCGTTCTCTTTCCAAAGGTTTTCGACGGATGCCGTATTATCGGTGACGGGAACAATGAGGAGTTGGAAGATAAGTGGGATGGAAGGCTGCATTTCGGCGGCCTTGAGAGCGAGAATGGCTGCGAGGTTTCCGCCGCTTATTGAAGAAAGATAAACGTTATTCCGTGCATAGGTAGCGGGAAACATACCTGGAGGATCCACCGACGGCGATCCTAGTCGTATCTATGTTGAGCTGAGATTTCCCGTTCTCAGTGACCCAATGCAGAGATTCAATAGCGTCTTCTACAGCACATGGATACTTCTCCTCGGGAGCAAGTCGGTAGTTCACAGAGATGACAACGCATCTCGCATCTACGAGAATCAATTTAGCATCATATCTGAATCGCAACGCAATACTCGGTATACTAACGAACACACATATTGGTGGCAAAAGAATTCTCACTGTTGATGTTGCCGAAAGTCCATCCACCTATTATATCTGTGATAAAAGTATCCCGTGCGATTCATATTCCGTTCTCACCTCCGTGAAAGTAAATAAGTAACGGCCATCCCGCTCTTGGGGCGTCTCCCTCGGGAGTGAAAGCCCGCAAATCACAGAACATTAGATTGAGGTCCTGAGTCTTTCCGACCGGCAACAAAGGTGAACCACCAGGAACTGCAGGCACGTTCCTCAAGGCAGGATCCCATGATGGTAGAGTATGCGGAGGCGTTATATTGATGAGTGCGCTGTTGTGAAATTCCACATATTCTGGGTCGAGACGGGGTATTATGGAAGGATGGAGGGGTTGTTTGGGTTCGGACATTGTGTAGGCAGTACAAGGAGAGAGCGATAGCGATAAGTATTTATGATCGGGGGCGATCAGTGACTCTTGTTTGGCCGGTCCGGTGTTTCCGACGGCCCGTTCGAATCGAAATTGGCCTTCTACGGAAATTTTAGCCGGTGTGTATAGCTAGCTACCTTCAGTCGGATGCTTTTATATCATGTGAATGCCAGGCATAATCCCATATTAAAGTTAAGTCGATATGATTGTTATAGGTGCTGACTCTCTCCTTCCACTAACCCTCTCGTGTAAAAGCGCTGGCGTTGTTGTTACATGTCGCGGCCGGCGCAGACCTACAAAAATGAAGTACGAGCGCACACAATTTAGTGTTTACTCCACGGTATCAAAAATAGTCCCGGGGTCATGAACAGTGTCTTCAGGCATGCCAACTACTACCAGCGATCTTTCTTCACAACGACAACACCACCGGGACTCGTATCATCAGCATGAAGCGTAGGTAGGTAGTACGTCGATGGAGGCCTATCGAGCTCCGCACCCTTAAGGACATGAAGTGGAATGGGGAATTCGGGCAGCGGGGCTTTCTCCATATCCACGTCCTCACGGTGCTGAAAGACCTCAGGAGCGAAATTAGACGATGCTAATGCGGATTCAGCGTGCACTGAAACAGGACAAATCAGGAAGTAGTGAATGTAAAACGCTGATGGACGTACAATACTGTGCCAGCCCTTGATCAAAGTTCCGTAGACAAACGATGCCTAGAATTACGCAGGCGATGATGACAATCATGTATGCGACCGTGAAGCAGGCAAAGTTGGCCCACATGATAAATGTCCTGAATGGAAGTAAGATATTCGTATGGGATGCCCACCAAAGAAGGTAATTGAGTACCATCGGTAGACTTGTGAATCGAACACGAGGCTCTCAGCCAAGAGGAACAGGAAACCGACGAAGATAAATGAAAACATCCATTTCTTTCTCTCGTACCGGACAGCGTACCACCCCTGTATATGGTCAGAGAGTATAAGGACGTCACAATGAGGTTCTTACCAATACTATCCACGGGACAACCATCTGCAGGACGTTAAGCAGGAAAATATAAATCATCAATAGATAAGATACGTACGACAGTGTGGAATATGAAGATGCCTTCATAGAGTATCGTATGTTCGGATATATACCTGATATAAGTGTTGAACAATTGATCGATCCAGAGTCCCATTCCGGCGGGAAGGATGTAGACCTCGAGCTGCAGACATGCTTGTATGGCCATGAAAAACTACAAATCGAGTAAGCAGAGCGTTAGAAGCATCTACCAAATCTCCCTACCTTGCGAATTCTGAGGATGTGAGCCGGTGCGCCAACACATTTGTATGATTGCACCGCGTACACCTGTCATAAGTCGTTAAGGAGATGACCGCATATTAATGACAACCAACCCGAAGAAGTGTCCATATCATAATGGTCAAGGCGCTAAAATTCAATACAAGGTCGGGGATCTCCAGCGAGGACCGAGTACTGAAGTACGTTGGGAAGAAATCGACAGAGCATGGCGTGCCGGGATCACCGAGAAGCGCCTCGTAGACGCTCGAAAGATGTCGCGTACGCCAAATGACGTATGCCGACCATGCTGTAAGCAGTATCCTAGCACCGATCCCAGCCAGACTAAGATAGATCAGTTACATGAGGCGAGGAACAAAGATACTTTACGTACAGATGAGGTACGGAGTCCTGTATCATGGCGAGGACGGAGATGCCAAAAAGCCAAAATTGCAAGAAGACAAAGGCAAGGCTTTCCCGGCGGAAATTGGACAAGCTGCGGCAGAATCGGATGGGCTAAATGTGATTGAATAAAACTACGTACTCTTGGAATGGTAGAATCAAAGTCTGGACGCAAGTCTTGCTCAGGGTGATGTTGCCGCTTTCACCTTCCATGTCGACAGAATTTGGGTCATTCGAGGGCTTGAGGAAGAAGCCTGTGCCTTCCAGACCAGTGCGCCAGACACGGTTGTTCTCAGTGACCTGAAGAAAATGTGAGATAGAGTCCACCGGGTCATTGCGGGGACGTACGTTCTGGTCGCTGTCAATGATCATGGCTAACAGAGGTTGATTAATTGTAAAGACGTCCGAACAAGAACCGTCGTTGTGAGGGAGGTAATTGCACATTCGTAGGGTCGAACCCGCGAAGAACGTATGATTCTTTGGAGGAATATTGGCGACGGTGACGATATTTTTGAGTAATCCATTGTACTGAGAGTCAACTGAGAAAAGCAAGGACTGGATGGTTCCCTGTGCGAAGCAGTGGAAGAAACCAAAGAGAAAGAATGTGGTGGTAAGATGGTTGAGGGTAATACGGGCATACTACCGTGTCGATGCTCGTAAGTATCGCGTTCTTCAAGAGAGGTGAACGAACGCACCAATGCCTCTAGCTTCCACTTTAACGACCTTCCCAACATAGCACACAGATTAAGTCTTGAACTTGCAAGATGAAACGACCGAAAAGCAGCCCAATAGCAGAACAAAATCCCGGGAAAGGGCGTTGAACGCAGCCCGCTGCGTTAAGGAACGACGAACGTGAGTGAAGGAAGAGAAAGGAAGGGGAAAGGAAGGAAGGAATGATGTCGTGACTTGACGCTCTTTCTTCTCTTACTCCCATCATCAATCTATCGACAACGTTCTCTCCCATTTTTAGGATTTATAGGGGCACCAATCTAACCGTCAACTCTTGTCGTGATGCATCATCATTCATTTAACGGTTGCCTCTCACCTACGATGGGAACACCACTTCAGGCTCTTGTAGTGTTCCTTGGGAAAGAACGTACGGTGGATTATCCTACTCCATTATCTCAGGTTCCGAGTTCCGAGTTCCTGGCATCGATAGTCATCCCAGGACTCTGTACACGCTCAAAATGCTGAGCATTACACTTGACAACCATCATTGCTTCCATGTAATTCGCGGACTCGCCGGGCAGACTTACGTCCTTCACTGTGATTAAGCTTCTCTCCGACCCATCTCTCTGGTTGTCTTTTCATTGGTTGTGGGTAATCAGAACATTACTTGCCTTTCTGTTGATAGCCTAGGCTTCATTCTACTTCAGAAGCTACATTTCTACCAGCCTGTTAGACGCTGAAAAACACTGTCTTTGTGATCATGGGCAATAAGTTTCAATGAGAACGCCTTCTTCCATCTACTGTACACATGGAAACCAAAATGTCGCTATCCTGATTGTAGTTTCTATATGTACAGTAGGCTTGATATGTATGTTTTCTCAGGCTCAGTTTCTGCTGGTTTGGAAATGTAAAACAATTTTTGAAGGTCTTTCATCGAGCATTCGCGTTAATCACAAGTTCGTGGCATCTTAACTTCATCCTTCGCTTTTTCTTGCTGCTTGAAGGTCGCTCTCGGTACAGGAATACATATGATCCTTGTAACGATTTTTTGTGGCAATATCGCCATAACCAGAATATGGCCCGAGAGCTGTTATTAATGAAAAAACGTCTTCTGAACTAGTCTTAACCAAGTCTAAGCTACTGCTTGTTAGTTCCATCGGGCCAGAAGTTTGTCTTTAGGTAGTAAGATGTCTGGGAACTCCTGAACCGTGAGTACGTGCCACGTGCTGCGCCAAGCCTTATCTGCACTACCAATTCTCTCCCTCTCTCGTTTTACGTTTGGTGTCTTTTTAACCTGAAAGAATTCCTGACATCGCTATGGCTAGCAGTGATGTCGACAGTTGCTGCGGTCTCCCTGACTGGTGTCCGCAGGAGCGAGGACTCTTGCCGCAACAGTGACTCTCGTGCAGCGGCCCCGACCTCGATATAGAAGAAGCCGATCAGCCATGCTCCTGTTGTTCCAGTGGCAACAGTCTTGAAATCGATGATACGCCGGCAGTCCAAAGCAGAGTCGATTGCGCTGCAAACGCGGCCGAGTCGAAGCAGCAAGTTTTCATTCGTGAGGTTCGATAGATGTGAAGTGTGCTACTAATATTAGCGATGTATACCAGAGTGGACATGAATCTTGTGAAATTTGATCAATCAAATGTCAAACTCTCAGATGTCTCACTCCGGTATTTATAAAGAGAGGGACCTCAAAGCGCCTGCCCAGATCTTTGTCCATGACCACCATGACTACCTTACAACCTACCCTGCAATATGCAGTTTTGAGACCTGGATTACCGCTGGAACTCATGGATAGAATAGTTGACACTCTTTCCAATGATGTTCCCTCTCTCACAGCTTGCGCATTATCCTCTCGCCAACTTGTCCACCGCAGTCGCTATCACCTATTCCGTGCCATACACTTCGATTTCATCCCACATCGATCGTTCAATCGCTGCGAAAATTTCTTGGAGAAGTGCCAAAATGCGGCGCCACTTGTAAGGAGTCTTACCTTGAGCGAAAATGCCCTCCAGGCCTCCGAACCACAGCTGCCTACCATCTTTGCAATGATGAAGAACTTGACGTCCTTGCATCTTGTCAAGGTGGACCTAGTTGGCATTAATATCATTTGGCCTGAGGTTGAGGAATTGGAAATGAAGCATTGTTATGTGACGAACCTTGGCACCTTCCTCGGCGGGTTCCACAAATTAAACAAGCTAGCGCTATGCGATGTATACATTTTTGAAGAGACATCCTCATCATCTAAGGTTTCTCTTAAGCTTAAAGAATTAGTGATTACCCCAGCCAACACCCAATCGGACATGAATACCATCATGTGCCTCCTCCCGCTCCTCTCCATGCCACCTCGTATTCGACGGCTTACCTACCCAATTTACCATCCGGAGCAGAACATCCCACAATACAACGTGATTCCTTATACGCACCTGGATGAATTATTTCTGGTGGGAGTCTCCGAGCCAAAGATACCCGTTCCGGATATCCAAAACGTTACCAGGCTTCGTTTGCTCGTGATCACACCCTGGCACTGGGATGTGGCAGATGGATGCAAAAACTACGACGAGCTAACAGATTGGCTCATACGCCTGCTACACAAAGCCCAAGGGGGATGCTTAAAGGAGGTCCAATTGGAGTATGGCCTGATTGGCATATCTGGGAGTCAGAACAAGTGGGCAGAGCTCGATGCAGTTCTATCGAAGATGGAATTGAGCAAGGTTGAGCTCGTGTTCAGCGCAACCCCAGAAGAGTGGGACAGAGAAGGAGAAGAGAAAGCCGAGTGGAAGCCGGAGGGATTGATGTTCAAATCTGCTGCATTCTTTGAACAAGTTAAAAGGCGTGGGTTGTTGACAGTCTCCAGAAGATACCTAAGTTAAGTTTGTATGTTTGCTACTATCTAGACGCTGCTATTGCGTTTTTGGACATTGAATCAGCTGCATATAGGATACAAATAATACAACTCATGTTTTTCATTATCATGAATCAGAACATATATATGAGACTCATTCTTGATATCAGCGGGAAGCTCTCCGATGCTTAGCTGTCCAACGTTATCTCCTCGAGATATTGTTCCCGGGAATCACACATGAGGGCTGTACTTGGTGTACCATGGTACCCGCTGTGAAGAGCCCCACATGAGGTCGACGTGCATCACATCAAAGGTCGCATCTTCATTTTCTTCAGTGAACACTGCCTTATAACGCGATGGCGTGTGGACCTAGAGACCAAGAAAGCGGACTCCTGCTACATATCCGAAAACGGATTAAAGGTTGGATAGCAATCTTATTTTTTAGTTACCTGGTGTCGTAGTCGTGCTCTGATCCTCTTGGTACCGCAAGTTATCGGCCCTTAAAGAAAGGTGTGTTCCTTGGTATGAATAGTATTTTCATCAAAGATCACACGACGATGGTATTGTCCGACTTGGACTGCCATGATATGAATAGAGCAGTTTGATCAAGAGCCTGGATCACTGGGCTTTGACAGTGAACAGGCTTTGGTTTCTCTACTCTTTGCCTATCCGATGATTGATGTCGTCCTGTAACTATCTCATTGCACGTTACGTAACATTTAAATCATAATCAGCGCAGACCTCTACCAGTGGTATCAAACTATCTGTTACAAATGCGACGCGCTAGTCACCATAGTGATATCACTCCTCTAGACACGAATAAAGTAACTTTAATGAGCAGCTACCTCGAACACGACTTGTGGGAGGCTGCCATTATTCACACGTCCAGAATGATTTGATGGTGGATATTACGTATTATTTGCTTCTTCCTATCCTCCGCAAAGCTTGGTGTGATAATCACCTTCGTCCACTGACCACTTGGTGGACGTCATTTGGTATCCTTATCAGGCTCTCCAATAAATGAAGGTTCGTCGGGAGTGATCACATCTTGATTTCGCCCGTTGTCTCGGTCGTTCCACTGACGGCATTGCGAGTCACGAAAATACCACATGCGCTAGTGTGGCTTTTCCCTCGTCTTTGGGTATATTTATATCTAGTCTTTAGTGTTCGTCGGTGTCAAGATATAAAGCAGCATTTCCGGGAAGACACCATCCTGACGGTGCGAGGCTTCGTCCTTGTCACCAATCTTCCAGCTTCTTCATTGGCGGCTATGTATTGGACAAGTTTGAGCCTCCCTAGCATCGGGAAGAGGTGAGAACGAACACTGAATACTTCCTTTCCACGGAATAACGACTTACTGCGCAATTTTGAAGCAGTAACATCCGGTTCTCGCCATACATCGTAGCCATTGCGACTAAGACATTTGAATAGCTGACTGCAATAGCAATCAGATAGGCAAGGGTTGTCAACAATTATAGAGCCATTGACTAACTACTATTGACCGTTAAGCTAGGGTCGGGGAACGTCACGCACATAGAATGGCAAAGACTTGGCCCGAAGAATGCCCATTGTTACCGATGAAACTGGCACGAGATGGGAACGAAGGTAGCCTGTGATCTCCAGCATGACGTTTTGGGGTGTTCCGCTTTACTGAAACCCAAGCTTTGTCCGCAGATTAGTACTCAGCATCGAGTCAGTAGTGGTATAGTGGAGTCGGTAAATCGGAGCCCGCTGACTGTCGTGGATGCATTCCGGGGCGACCAGTTGCAGTACCCAAGACGAAGACCGAGAACCGAAATTCTGGGGTAATATTCGTCTACTTGCTCTCACAGTCGTAGGCATATGACCCAACAACTGAATGGCTCAGGGTGGAAACGGGGTTGCAAGTCCAAAGTGGAGCCAATCACATCGGTGGGATATGACGGAAATGCGATCACGTGCATGGATCTCGCAGTGATGCGTCACCACTTTATCCTTCTTCCACAGCTGACTCACCACGGGATCGACCAACATGGCCGATTTATATAGTGCGGACTGGCCCCACGGCCCCTTGTTTCCCACCTACCATCATCATGCCGTCCAAGCAAGTCTTCTCGACGCCCGATAACGCTCTCTACACCACCTCCAGTGGTGCTCCCGTCTCCGAACCCTACGCTGCACAGCGAGCAGGTATCAATGGCCCGCTGCTGCTCCAGGACTTCCATCACATCGACCTTCTCGCTCATTTCGACAGAGAACGTATTCCTGAGCGCGTTGTTCACGCCAAGGGCGCAGGCGCTCATGGGTACTTTGAAGTCACCCACGACCTCTCAGATCTTACCTCAAACAGTCTCTTGACGTCAGTGGGGAAGAAGGTGCGCGCGACGGTGCGCTTCAGTACCGTCGGTGGCGAGTCTGGAAGTGCCGACACTGCTCGTGATCCCCGAGGCTTTGCTATTAAGCTTCGCACCGACGAGGGCAACTGGGACTGGGTTTTCAATAACACGCCTGTCTTCTTCATTCGCGATCCCGCAAAGTTTCCGCACTTCATCCATACGCAGAAGAGGGACCCGCAGACGCATCTCAAGGACGCAGATATGTTCTGGGATTATCTTAGCCAGAACCCGGAGAGCATTCACCAGGTTATGATTCTGTTCAGTGACCGTGGGACGCCCGATGGCTTCCACAACATGCATGGATACTCGGGCCATACGTTCAAGTGGCTGAAAGAGGATGGCTCGTTTGTGTACACTCAAGTGCATGTTCGTGCCGATGGAGGTTTCAAGGTGAGTTCGGCCCGTCCGTATATGTGTACATGTCATCACTTTCGTTTCAGACTCTTGACAATGCAACTGCTGGCGAGTTATCTGGGTCCAACCCTGACTACGGCATTCAAAGCATGTTCGAGGCCATTGAAGCTGGAAAGTATCCCTCTTGGACTGTATATGTCGTATGTCTACCTAAATGTCCGTCATCTTCCCCTTCTGATTGATAGTATTAGCAAACGATGACTCCTGAGCAGGCTGAAAAGTTCCGTTACAATATTTTGGACCTCACCAAAGTTTGGCCCCACAAGGAATTCCCTCTTCGTCCGTTCGGAAAGCTGGTACTGAACGAAAATCCGCAAAACTACTTCGCTGAGATCGAGCAGGTTCGTTAGCTTTCAGTCATATATATTCATCAGCTCATCCAGATCAGGCCGCGTTCTCTCCATCGCATCTTATTCCTTACATTGAAGCTTCTGCCGATCCTGTTCTGCAGTCGCGATTGTTTTCCTACCCCGACACTCATCGTCATCGGCTCGGCGCAAACTATCAGCAGTTACCTGTTAACGCGCCCATCGTGCCCATTGCGAACTTCCAAAGGGACGGGCCACAGACTTATGTCAGTCAAGGCGCAAGGCCGAATTACCAGAGTAGCATCAGCCCATTGAGCTACAAGGGCAAAAAGGCGACGCTTGACGGGAATGTCAGGGACGAAGAAAGGATGGCCAAACACGAGAACTTCATTGGGTCGGCGTATAGGGATCTGAGCGAGATTAATGAATGTGAGTGCGAGATGCTTTTCCTGGGGATTCCTATAATTACGTGCTACTTTTAGTGGACTTTGAGCAACCTCGTGCCATGTGGTCCAAAGTTTGGAACGACCAGCAACGTGAGGCATATGTGCAGAATATTGCAGGACATTTCGGTACAGTCAAGAGTCCCGAGGTGAAGGCGAGACAACGTGCGTTTCTCCTCGTCACATTTCATAGTACTATTTTTCACATGACGTTCCTTTAGTATCGGTATGGGCGGCTGTTGACCAAGGTTTGTCGGACCGCATTGCTAAGGCCATCGGGCATCCGTCTGTCAAGCCTCTTCCTTGCAAGCCTGCAAGTGAGGCGGTTCAGTTTAAGGCAAACATTGGGCTGGCGGCAAAGCAAAGGTTGTGATTATAAATGAATGGTTGTTGGATGAAATTTGTACCACTAGAATACAAGGATGATACATGTATGTACAATTACCAAGAGAATCCCTTCCCTATGTGCTGTCAGCGACTTCACATCACTGTATAATCGTTTCTGCTGCTTGCAATCAAATATTTTGAGTAAAATCAAAGAAACAATGTCAACTTGCAGTGAAGTCGAATGAGTGTTTAAACTTCAGCTCTACCTTCTCGTATATTTTTTGGACACATCGACAAAGCAGAAACTCATAGACCTGTATTGTTGGCGTAACGATTTATAATCTAGTTCGTCTACAAATAAAATAGTTTTATGCATGGGTGATAACAATGTCTGCCATAGGAATCCAAGACACCAATGATATCAGTCAGTGAAAACTGTTCGCGTTGCAGAATATGTGCTCATTTATCTTCACTGAAAGAGTGCAGACAACCTGAGGTGTGGACCTCACGAATCATGACCAGATGCATAGACATTAAAGAAGCCATCAGCTCTTATATAGCCAAGATCGCCCACTCGAGTTCCTTTTTCTTGATAAGAGACGGGAAGGTTTAAACCCGGACTAGGGAACCATAAAGGATAGCCGTGACGGTGATCCAGCATAAGAGGGGTGTATATGTGCGCCATGAAGACAGTAAGAGAAGGGAAGAGGCAGGGAAGACCAAATTCGAGGCCACTGAAGAAGTGCCCAGGATGTTTAGACTGAAATACATTCGGAAGTTCCAGAATGAATCACTGCATCATTGTGATAAGACAGTCCGAACACAGACAGCCGTACCTTCACTAATGATATTGAACTCGCGGTCTAAGGAATTCAATACCCGTGTGTAAGAAGCTCCGAGTGGAGCGAGTCCTACGTATCTTCCCTTTCTCCCTATTAATATCGGCCATCACACGGGGAATACAGAAATTTAGGAACATTCTGAGTCCTGTGTATGTTAGCATCAGGAAAAAGCTCGAAAAATTGCAATGCTTTACAATTGGGCTGATCATAATGACGAGCGGATGTTTCACGTGCTCCCAACTTGACCACGACTTCTTGGTTTAAGCACGCAGGCGATAGTCCCACATGGGTATCTTTCAACGATGAGATAGTCGACGACTCACTGAAGATAGGGGGTTTCAAAGCAGGAGGGCTAAGGGTGAAGGACCGCATACTATTGAGTATTCAGAAGGGGAGGGGTGCACTACAATTCCAGTCCCATCCGTAGTACATGCTTCAATAGTAAGCCTAGTCTGAATGACCTGACACATGGGCGAGAATATTGATTTGGGTGGATCGGTGGATGCCATTGTAAACATCACAAATTGATTTTTACGCAATGGCAAGAACCTATGCGATCTGAGCATGTGGACTTGGATCATCCACTGTAGGGTGTAAAAGACTGATGTTGGGTACCTGTCAACAAGACAATGATCAACATGTCTGTATGTACTATGTAAGGATAAGTAGAGAAAAAGATACACACCTCAGTCTTCACCTGATATGTGTGTAAAAGACTGAGGTGTGGGGATGAAAAATGAATGGTAAAATTAGTGCTAATGATCATGCAACTCAATGAAGAGGGATTGCCGGTGCTGTCTCTGTCTCAGTGCTGAGTCTCAGCTGATGCTGATTCATGAGAGACATTGGTGCCAGGTGTCTCTTCTTCATTCCTACTTTCATTCTGCATCCCTAAGTGAGATGAGCTCCACTTTCTCACTGTCAATCTTTCCTGACCACCAATCCCAGGCTTCAAGGCTTTGCCTCCTCCTTCACCTGTTAGTAACTCCTGTTGCCTGGTGAGGCTCCACCTCTTCATTTATCTCACAATTGGCTCACTTGAGTAGTCTTGGCTTTGCCAGACTTAACCAATCCTCATTCAGTATTACTGGACCATTATTGTACAAGTCATTGAGTTTTTTGTCCTCCACCCACCTCTCTCTTGTATTACTAGATAGCCATTCACACATTGCAATTGAATGTGGATCTGGACACTGAGCTAGGGACATCATCAAATATGCCAATCTCCTCTAATCAAAAAGGAGACTTAGATTTGGAAGAGGTAACAGTGAAGATAATAGCAGCAGCAGCAGGGCCTAGGTCTTTAAGGCCTCAAAAGTGCAAGTGCAAGGACCAAAATATTAACCCACATTTTAGACAGGGCTATGTCTGGTCGAATACTTCCACATCATCCATACCTACATCTCTTACTGCTCAATCTATCAAGTTGGCTAATCCTCTACCTTCTCCTCCTTCACATCTATTCAATGATCCATCCTTGCAGGCTATACTACATGCCTTAAAGGATTTTATTGTAGTCGACACACCATTTAATGTCAATCACTTGGAGAATATTCTTTATTTTCATCCAAATGAACCCTTTGTCTCCTCAGTCATTCATGGTCTTCACAATGGATTCTGGCCTCTTGACCTTGGTGAATGAGAAGACTCTCTCCATGACAAGACTGAGAATTATGCCACTGATCCTCAAGATATCAATGAAATACAAGCATTTTGTGATCATGAGGTTATGGCTGGATGTTGGTCACCACCACTACCAAATGAGTTTACACTCCTGCCAGGTATGAAAGTATCACCAATGTTCATGATCTGGCAGAATGAAAAATCCCATATCATAACAGATCACACTTTCTCTGGTTTAAATGCAGGAATCTCTGCTAGCGAGGCAAAGGTCAAATATGATGATATGCATCTATTCAGCGAGGCTCTTTGCAATACCAAATTACAACATCCCAATGCTGATTTCACTCTGTATAAAAGCGATGTCACTAAGGTCTTTTTGAATTTACCAGTGTATCCTCTATGGCAAATTTGTCAAGTGGTTCTTGTTGACAATCGATATCACATTGTTAGATAGCTTGTCTTTGAGAGCCAAGCTTTATCTAAGATTTGGTGCTCAGTCTCAGTCTTGTTGTGCTGGATTAGGATTCATCATCTTGATATCACTGACCTCCATGTTTATATGGATGACTTCTTCATCTGAGATTTCACCAATCACCAAGTTTTCTATTAAGGTCAGCAGCAACCAGCATGACAAGTACAACTTTTGATATTTTGGAAATATATCTCCTATTCCTGTAATGATCTAAAACAGTTGTATGGTTGGACTCTCAAAATTATTGGCTTCTAGATTGATGCCAATCAGAGAAGTATTTCTCTTATATAGCAGTCAGTTATCAATGCCAAATCTGAGATCGACTCATTTCTTTCAACATCTGAAAGAGCACCTATTCTATAGAAATGGCAGCATTTAGGCAGATACCTGAACTGGATTCTGAATGTTCTACTATGGAGCCATCCTGCCTTTTCTTCTTTGTATAGAAAGATGGCTAGAAAGACTCACTCTTTCACAAAGATCTTCATCAATGCTACAGTTAGAGAGGATCTCTCCTAGTTTTCATCTATTCTGCCAGATTTTATGGACACCAGCTTAAAAAATGCATTATCATTCATTTTTGCAGGAAATGGTTTTATATATCAGCTCCATCTACTATTATCTAAAGATATGATTGACATCTTCTTTCTTGAACTTGTCACCATTCTTTCAGCCATCTATTATGCAGTATTTCTACTCAAACCCCCTTATCATCTTTTACTTTTCATGGATAGCCTTGATTCTGTTACTGCATTTGATTCTCTATCAGTATCAGAATCTCTTCACAATAGACCCTTACTCAGAGCTGCAGGCCTGATACTCTATTCAGGAATTGATATTTGTATTTGACATATCGATAAAAAAAATAATATTCGAGCTGATATACTTTTCTGACTCCTTTTAGATAAATATCATTATAAATTCTCTGCTGACTATATCTACACTTTCACTCCACCAAGAGATCTACTGCCGGTGTGATAGAGACAATCTTTCTAACTGTGCTGAGCAAGCATGCTTCTCACATTACTTGCCCAGCTTCTTTCCTTTCTCTTCTCAATAAATGTGTTCTGTTTCTCCAAGCTCATATGATTGAGCTCAGAGCAGTAAAGAGTTATGTAATAGGAGCATGTGACTATATATAGTTTTACATTACTCATACACTGCCATTTGAACTGACACCACTTACTCTCAGCAGATACATTGTCTATACATCCCAGTTTATCTCATCTGGCTCAAAATACTTAACTGGAGTCTATCACTTTCTAAAAGACCTCTATTCTGACTTCGATATCAGTCACAAACATCCCATGGTGCAAGCTACTATCCATAGCTCAAGAAAGATGAGAGATGATCTCATATCCTAAAAACTACCTCTTCAATTATCCCATTTGATCATCTTTTGTCTTCTCGCTAACATCTCAGATTCTTACAATAACCTCTTGTTTGCCACCATTCTTGCTTGCTGCTTCTATGGCTGCCACTGATCAGGTGAGCTCATTTGGAAAAATAACAAACAACTTCAGGACTTTTGCAAAATAATCAAATGTTCTTCCTTCATCCTCTGAAAGAATGATGTACAATATCATCTTCTTTACAACAAGTCTGACCCCTTCTACCATGGCACTGACATCCTACTCACATGACAGAAGCTTGCTGATCCAGTCACACTCCTATCACAATATATAAAATGTTGAGATCTTCTTCATGGCCTACATGCTCCACTCTTCCTCTGCAAAAATGGTGATATTCCATCATGAAATTGGTTCAACAAGAAGTTTTTTGCAATTTTAGGCAGAGACTTTGGTGGTCATTCTGCTAGGGCTGGAGGAGCTATGTTTTATGCATCACTTGGACTTTCAGAATCCATTATACAAGCTCTGGGTCAGTGGTCTTTTAAAACATGGACCACTTATATTCAGGAACACTCTGCCCTATGAGCACAACTACAATTGGCATATTTATGCATTCATTATTCCCCTCCTTAATCTGCAACCTGTTCAACCTTCTCAAACCACTACCATTCCCATCTCTCACCAACCAAAAGCATATAATAGCTATTCACACATTGCAATCAATTTGAAGGCAGTCTCTGAGGCTCTTGTTATAGCTGGTTACATCCCACTCCTTGAGTGAGCAGCAGAGGCCATCGTAAAGGCAGATTCCAAGGATAGGGAGTGTTTTTGCAGGCCTTTGCATGACTCTTGAGGTTGTTACAATCTCTGTTGACACAGAGATACAGAGCTCTGCTTGTCCATGAAGAGGGATTGCCAGTGCCATCTCTGTCTCAGTGCTGAGTCTCGGCTGATGCTGATTCATGAGATACATTGATGCCAGGTGTCTCTTCTTCATTCCTACTTTCATCCTGCATCCCTAAGTGAGATGAGCTCCACTTTCTCACTGTCAATCTTTCCTGACCACCAATCCCAGGCTTCAAGGCTTTGCCTCCTCCTTCATCTGCTAGTAACTCCTGTTGTCTGATGAGGCTCTGCCTCTTTATTTATCTCACAATTGGCTCACTCAAGTAGTCTTGGCTTCATCAGACTTAACTAATCCTCATTCAGTATTACTGGACCATTATTGTACAAGTCACTTTAACAAATTGATTGCAACATGTGAATGGCTATCTAGTAATACAAGAGAGAGGTGGGTGGGGGACAAAAAACTTGATGACTTGTACAATAATGGTCCAGTAATACTGAATGAGGATTGGTTAAGTCTGGTGGAGCTAAGACTACTCAAGTGAGCCAATTGTGAGATAAATGAAGAGGCAGAGCCTCACCAGGCAACAGGAGTTACTAACAGGTGAAGGAGGAGGCAAAGCCTTGAAGCCTGGGATTGGTGGTCAGGAAAGATTGACAGTGAGAAAGTGGAGCTCATCTCACTTAGGGATGCAGAATGAAAGTAGGAATGAAGAAGAGACACCTGGCACCAATGTCTCTCATGAATCAGCATCAGCTGAGACTCAGCACTGAGACAGAGACGGCACTGGCAATCCCTCTTCATGGACAAGCAGAGCTCTGTATCTCTGTGTCGACAGAGATTGTAACAACCTCGAGAGTCATGCAGAGGCCTGCGAAAACGCTCCCTACCCTTGGAATCTGCCTTTACGGCGGACCCCAGAACTAAAATAAGAACAGCCCGACAAAGCCGACTTGAGGTGTCGACTGAACCTCTCGACACATCAGCATTGATATCGGTCTGTCAAAGAGAATGACTGTTAAACATTGCTAGAAAATGAAGGATAATATAAGATTACCTCCATGCCATAGGGGACAAACGAAACGATCAGAGCTTTCTTCAAATCGTCAACGGAGAAAATCTTCACAGTATCGCTCGGCTCCTTTCCAAGCAGTCGCTCCAGGATCTTCGGTTTCTCTCGCACGTATAAATATTGTTTGGTTAGGATTCGACGTCGTGTCCTGCCAACGATTACGGGAATCACCTCCATGCCCGTCCCATCCATGGAAGACCTCTCCAATCCCTACGATTCTAGCAAGAGATAAGTGCAAGGATACCGAGCCATGCATAGAAGTATTATCAAAGCATGTCATCCCCCATGAACGGCACTTGTCAGTTCCTGTGACGAGGAAGAGCGCACCATTGCGTATCTCCCGGCCCTGGCCATTGAAGAGCGCATACCAGCATTGCGCTTTGCATACTCGTGAAGGCGACCAGAGTTGGGGTCAGAACAAACGTAACATACAACCAAAGAACGATTATCGAAGTGTCAAGTTTGCATAGAAAATGAATATTCATACATGTCACGTCTTTGCAGCAGGACGACCATTGTGTTGTTTATTCTTGATTTACCTCAGGCTTGGGGTCGGCTCATCACACAGTCCCAGAATTTCGCTTATAGTTGTATGTGTCGTGACGGTCCCCTGAATGCGCCTTCTACGTGGAAGTGACCAGAATTTTCATCTCTCGTCTACCGAAAGCTGAAGAGCCCTCCCTTTACGTCTGACCGGCGACTGAACTGACTAGAAACGATCCGCAGTCCAATAGCAAGTCACACGGTGGTTGACACGTCCTTCTTTCGACCCTCGTGTGCGACACCCTTATTGTCGAGGACAGGAATAAATATGAAGCAGAAGGTCTGTGGAGCTTCTTCAAGTCAAATGTGACCTGCCAGGTGCTATCTAATTGGGAATAGTATTTATCACTAGTGGATCCTCACAGAACTCCACAATAAGATATCGAGACTACAAAAGCGGGCTCTGCTGGGCCTTCGACTAAAACGTAGACTTGGCCGTGACCGTTGGCAGTTCCTAAACTTCTGCTGCGCCTTGATCCCAATTCACCTGCGTATTCGAATGCGCAGTCGTGTCTTTATTTATCACGTCGGTCAATAGAGAGGCTTTGAAATTTAAGAGAGGAAGATCAGTACATAATTACTGAGAATCAGCCCTGTCTTCGATTTTGATTCTTTACGGTTCTCTCAGCTTATGCGGCCCACTGCCCTCCGACTGTACTTTGTCATTTCTAGTGCCTCCGGTGTACGCCCACGACCAATGCCCCGCAGCTGAATGAATGTGTTTAGAGTTCCTGCCGGGGAGCCTGATCGTGACTACCTGGAAAGTCGAAGTGACCGCATGGACAAGGTTCTCAGGTCGCCCTTAAAGAGGTTCGCTCTTTTTGAATCTGTAACTACTTACGAACTCTTGGTAGATTTTACCGTGACATATGCCGTCGCTGGATCTGACGGGTTGTAAATTCAGTGAATAGTTAGTGGTCTGAGAGTCAACGTTTCAACAAGTCGGTCAGCAACCGATTGAAAATCCTGTTATTCGACGAGAATGTGTGGTTATTTATGCTATATATATATATGGGAAAACAGGAACGATAAAATAATTCTGTGTGATGATCATGCACTTGCTTGTATCGTACAATCATTGAAGACGAAGAAAAATCTAAGAAATATATGTCTATACGGATCATTGCCTTGTAGCCAACGCAGCTAGCAAAATGTCATAGTCGATTTTCGCCGCTAGCAATTAACATGCATGAGCGTCGTAATCTCCCCGAGATGAAAGGGTAGCTTACATTTTAAGATCGCCTCGACGAACTGCTTCGCAAAGATAGGCTTCTCTTCCTGCATCCGTCCCAGTGCCTCCCGACTCAACTTCCACAACACCACATCCCTCTCCACAACCATAGTCGCATTGCGTGGCATATTCGACAGAGCTGAGAGTTCACCTGCAACAGTCCCTGATACCATGGATTCCTCAATGTGCGGAGGATGGGTGTAGGTCTCGTTTTTATGAGACGATCTCTCCAGACCCGAATTCGAACCCCATGACTCAAATGCATATGAAGCCCTCAGAACGCCTTTTTCAATGATATACAACCCATCTGCTGGGTCATTTTGTCGCCATAAAACATGTCCGGCGGGGTGGCATACGCGAGAAAGGTACGCAGGGAGCGGAGTGAGGTCGAGACTTGTGTACGACGACAGCGCACGAGACAGTGTGAGCAAAGGTTCGCGTAGGGATTGATTGGGTGGAGGCGTCAGACGACCATGGTCACGTCCAGACACGGGTTCTCTAGAAAGTCTGGGCGGGGTGCCTCCGAGAGAAAACGAAGGGATTGATGCTTGATCAAGGCTGGGTGGCGTCGAGGGGTACATTTCTACAAGAATGAGTGAATTCAGCCATTGGCACAGATGCGTGTACAACGTGAACTCTACCATTTGCAATCGTACGAGAACCTGCGTCGTATAGGTGCACGATTCTCGGAGACCCGAGCATGTTAAGACCTAAGCCACGTTCGTTGTAGGCCTCGACGTCGGCGTCTTGTCGGCCCGGAAGTACTAAATCATTTTCGTAAGGCCAGCAAAATCTGGGACGAAGGAAGCGCCATACGAAAGGGAACACTTCGAGCAACCTTTTGAGCCTTAAACCAGGCTTTTAGATACGCGTTCTCGGTCCCTAAGAGAGGGATTAGCACTTGTTGCCAAGAGATGACAATTCGGAGTCGACTTACATTCCATGGCATCTCCGAAAGTATCAAACACTTCCACCAGTGAACCTATACCAGCCTCCACAACCCCAGGAGCATCCTCTGATTCCGCTTCATCTCCAAAGAAAACATCGAGCGCCTTTCCCACAGGTCCTTCCCCCCTCCTAACACCACACATTACTAAACATACCCCCCTCTTCTCCAACATTCTCCGGACCCGTACAAGTCCCTCGATGGCACTCATGTCAACCCCTGCCACATGAGTAAGGTCTAGCACAAGGAAACGTATCCCCGGTGCTTCGACCCTGCCCCTCGTACTCCCATACCCATCATCCTTCTCGAACGTATCTCCCAGTACTCTTCTCACGCCCTCTTCGACTTCTGTCACGTTCCCAAAGAACATGAAACCACCTAATCGCATAACACACGTTTGCTTTCCAGACACCTCTCTGATATATGCTCTTTGCACACTCGGCCTTCTCACTGTTGACGGTGCAGTCGAACCGGTATGTAACGCGCGAATGACACTCTGTCGGGATGTTTGAATAACGAAGAAAAGGCCTGAAAATCGGATTTAGTAGAGTCAGCCGTCAGACGAGAGAAGTAACGTACAGCACACAATAATGCCGAGCAGAACCCCAATAACAAAGTCCCACACCGTCATACAAACCATGATACTAATGATCGTGATGTACTCGGACCTGAAAGACATTGATGTGATCAGGGATCGAAAAGGAAGAACAGTGGATATTCAATTACCGGCTCACGCGTCCTCTGGTATCCCATATAGCTTCCTTGACCAGATCGATACCGAGGACGAATATCAATGCTCCGACCACCATAACCGCTACCAAATTGTGCTTAGCGCGATTTGGGGTGAGAGATTTGATCACTCACGAATGTATCCGACGAACCCTGTACCAATAGCCAATAGAATGGCAGTAGCAGCCGCAAGGAGAAGTCCGGCGATGCGAGTGTTGCCTCCGACACGGTAGAATCTACCAAGAGTCCGCAAGTAGTCACAGATTCACACAGAACGAACACTCACAGGAGCGTGTTCACGTAAACAAGGTAGTTGGGCCTGAGGATGTATATCAGCGAAGATATTCCGAGAAAGAAAAACAGACGAACACAGTCCCTATTAACCCAGCAAAGAGATTAGAATAACCGTGTGCAACAAGTTCCTTGTTGGTGTCGATGTAGTCATCGTTAAGGGATATGGCTGTTCTTTAAGGGTTCATAAAGTAGTCAGCGGGATGCATCAACGACTCACATAGCGCGGGCACATTAAGAGGAGGATGTAAGATGTTAAAGAAGAGGCTAAACAAAAGTTAACCAAACAAGTGCACCTGACCGCGTGATGCCACTTACAGCGCGAATTGTGTCGGTAAGGTGTCCCATATTGGCTTGAAGCGTACTTGGGTGAAATCTGGGGAAAAGCTGAACGAGAATCTCAAAGCCGAGTAAATGACACCTACCAAAATATCCATAGAACTTGTACCATCCTGCGTCATTTCCGCCGTGTAAATCAAAGACCCATCCGTCTTTTCTCAAGACATCCATGGGTATGCCGGCGGCCAAGACCACTACGTAGAAGACGACAGGGATCACGATAAAGTCTGGTCACAGGTATGTCGTCTCAGCGTCTCCGCAGTCATCTGACAAGGAGGTACTCACAACCGACGAAAATGCCGGAGTTAGCTTCGCCATCGCCACCTTTGCGAAGTTTCCCGTAAAGCCACATTGCCACTCGCAAGAAAATTGCAAGAAACAAGGGCACTCCCCATAAACTGATGTTGTGCAGAGAAGTGAACATATGAGGAAGGGGAGTGGACGTTGAAGTGGATGTCAGGGAAAGAGAGACTTCGAGCCTAGACGAGATGGTCGCATACAGTTCCATATGCAGAAGCACGTAAGAACGCACCCTGTTTCGATTAGAAAGGCACCCACGCCTCCAATACATCTGAACATGGGATCAGTATGGGAACAATGATTTTTAGGCAGTTAAAAAAAATTACCCGACGAGGATATGTCTCGGGAAGAAACCAATCAGGGTACCGAGCTTCAGGTATCCGAGTAGAAAGAAAGCGATTCCGGTCAATATGGAGCTTAGGGCATAAGACACCAGAGTCGTTGCTAAAATTTCGGTAGGCGACTCGAGATCTGCCGAAATTGACAGCGCGATCATGTGAAAGAAGGGCTGAACGGGGATCGTCAACTGGGGCAAAGAAACGGGGCGAAGGCGACTTACGACCACTTCAATCATCATGCTACCGTTGGCGCCTGCGAACTGACTCGCGCCAAGTGTATAAGTTAATTGAGCGGTCAATGTCGAAAGGAAAAACATGGATACGCCTAAAGGCGCCATCTTGTAGTCGTCGAAGACGCCTGAAGCAGGGAATATAATCATTCCATCTAAATATCGCGGTGAGTGGGTGCAGAAGTTGTATACACAAAAGTACCAACACGAGACACCGTCAAGGACGTTGAGAAGGCTCCCCAGAATGACGGCCGGGATGCTTTTGAGGGACGTCCTGATGGTGTCAAGCAGACATACAAGGACACGAGGTTTTCCTTGGGGTGTACGACTAGGTGTTTTTGGAATTGAATCACGGCGAGACTGTGCAGCGGGGGAGAGAAGAGCAGTTGTCTCAGTAGGAGAGGTCGGAGGAGATGGCGTGTAGGTTAAGTCAACCTCCTCTTCATTGCTTGAAAGCTGCACTGTATTCGCGCGAATGGACATTTTTGTGTGAGCAACTGAAGGAACAGAGGAGGGAACAGGGAGTAACCTTTAAATATTAAAAAAAGAATCAAACGTTAGCGGTGGTCTTGGGAGCAGCTTCTATTACCCTCACCCTGCGCGTGAAATAGACGACTCGTTATTCAACGACATTATGACCTGAGAACTCGTGCACGCGCACGTTTGCCGGCAGGTGATAATAAAACGAATATAAAACTGGACAGTATATGGCTAGACGAAGGTGATGAATCGAACGCTCTGCAAAGAGGAGTTAGTGAGCACGTTTGAAAAGCGAAAATTGGCAGGACGTGCATGTAGTATACCTGGCGACGCACCGCGTTCATTCCAGGTAAAAGTACGAAAAGTACCCCCAGAAGATAAGTTATCTCTGCGACGGGTGAGATGACGGGAATAACCAACAGGGGTGTCCTCACTTGCAATCGATTATGATGTCATTCCGCACCCCACTCAGGAAATGGAACCAAAGCATCCTTCCTTGGTCTAAGTGTTGGTGAAACAAAGTCAGACTCAGATTTTAGCAAGGAATGACTGGGAAGAGAGATGATAAGGGGTGACAGTAAATGTCCTGTTTGGGACAAGTTTAGTATGACCAAATGGCGCAAATTGTAAATATATTCGAATTCCGCGATATTAGGTCTTTCATGCAAGACAGCCGAGCACTCATGAAGTGAATTTCCGAATGCCCTTCTCATCCTCAGAACGAACAGAATAAAGGAATGGTACTTGTAGATACAACCCAACTTCACGTCTCCGCTGCGAGTGTGCTACCCTTTTGTGTGTCGACTCTGGCATGTGCGCGTGGGACACGAGTGGTGGGCTGTCGAGCCAGCCCGGGGCGTGATGACGTTGACAGGACTGAGGTATGTAGGAACGTCGAGAGCCCTGGGTGGTATCCTTCAGCAGTTCAACTTTATTCTCTGCTTCCGGCAAGCCAGCCTGGAATACCGCTGGCCGAAATTTCTGAGAAAAATACAATGTCACACTGTCACGTCTATACTTGCCGTAGGGTCCTGCCGTCATTGTCTGCATTGCCGTTCACGATGTCGACGACTATCAACCTCTATCCGTTGTCTAACTTCACTTTCAGCACTAAGGAGACACAGCCGGAGGAGGATCCGTCTGTCTCCGCGCGTCTGCAGCGATTACAGAACAACTATGAGGACTTTGGTATGCGCAGGACCGTCGAAGGCATCCTTGTCGTCCACGATCACGGCCACCCGCATATACTCATGCTTCAGATCGCCAATGCGTTCTTCAAACTGTGTGTGACTCTTCTTACGCATTGGCCGTACCCTGACGCGCCACTAGACCAGGAGACTACCTCAAGCCCGGCGAGGATGAAATCGACGGACTCAAGCGGCGCCTGGACGACCGCCTCGCACCACCAACTGATTCTCTGCAGTTCAACGCGTCCCATGGGATCGACAACGAATGGGAGATAGGTGACTGTCTCGCACAGTGGTGGAGACCCAATTTCGAAACATTCATGGTATGTCTACTCAAACCTTCCTCACAAGTCTTGCTTATTTTTTTCGCCAGTATCCATTCATTCCTGCACACATAACGAAGCCTAAGGAGTGTAAAAAACTATTTCTTGTTCAGATGCCTGAGCGCAGTACGTTTGTTCCTCTTATACCCAACTTCCTGTACTTGAACATTCTCCTTACAGAGGTGTTAGCTGTCCCAAAGAACATGAAACTTCTCGCCATCCCACTTTTTGAGCTATACGACAATGCAGCTAGGTGAGGTTTCAATTAATACGCATGAATCGAGTCTCACTTTTTGGACAGGTACGGTCCCCAGCTTAGCGCTATCCCACATCTGCTATCGCGCTACAATTTCATCTACCAATGAGTGTATGCGCACCGTCCTTCGTTGCTTTGCCGCCGTAGCCCTATCTGTAAAAGCTACTTTTGTGTTGCTCTCCTGGTCTGTAGAAGTTTTGTAATCTGGAAATTATCAGGTACCATGTTGCGCTAATATAACCCTATGCTTAGCCTTTGCGTGAAATGAGAGGTCCATCTACCTAAGTGGAAGAGTTTTTGCCGCGCCACACATCGCCACAGACTCTTGTTGAACTCATTGCCGTGCCTTATCCTTTCACGATGCGTCAAGTCCTTGATCCTGGTTACTGAGTATTTCTAGTATTGTCACCATTATTTGTCCTCATATCTGACCTTGCGACAGGACAGATTTTCTACAGATTTGCCCAACTCGGACAAAAACTGTTTTCTCACATCCTCTACGTTATCCCTTCACTCAAGCTTCAAGAATCGTCATTTGCTGACCACGGAATGATAAGGTCTTTTTCATTCGTGCCTCGAGGATCGAATGCTGACTTGAGCACTACCTAAAGGCTTCAGCTCTGGGTTGTCTTTGGTCGTGCTTAGGCTTGATTCTACCCTTTGTCCGCGATGTCTTGGATACAGTTACGCGGGTCATCCAGTCAGTAATTCACGTAAATCATACTGTAGGGTTTTTGACTTTTTTGACCAGTCAAGGGGTCCGAATCGGGGTGCCGGTCTAAGCTATGATCCTGCCACCCAAACATTGTTGTTTTACCACGTGAGACACGCCTATTCGACTATTTAAAAGACTCTCCCTTCCCTCTCCTTTCGTGTTTCATTTCCTCCAGCCTGTGTTGAACGCAGACTTTCTTTCTTTTACCGACATGGGTGCTTCGACGATACCTTCCCTCTTCCCCAGGGTCTGGAACATGTCCGTTCCTCACAGCTCTGCGAGGTCCGTTGCAACTATCCGTCGACGAAGCAACGCTATCGAGACGACGTTCCAATTCGACTCTACCAGTTCGACGAGTAATTTGCTCAAGTTTGATAGTCCCGTTGCCATGAGAGTTGCGGTCACTGCGTAAGTTGCTATCCTGTCTTGATTGTCATGGAGCTCACGGTTGTTGTCAGACCTCTCAACGGACCCACATCCTCCGGACCCAACGACATGCCAATTCTACCCGACGGCAGGGTTCTTCGACTGCCACAACGACCTGTTGAGACGCCCCGCACCTACTCGAATTCCTATAGCCTCTGGATGCCACCTAATGCCACGACGACTATCACCATTATTGAACACGGTTCGACGGATGAGGAGGACTTTCCACCTTCACGTTTACTCTCTGTGTCGTCCATCCCCGAACATGAAGTGCCACCATCGCCGGAACGTGTCTTTACCTCCGCGGATGCGCATGAGTCTGTGACGAGCATCAACTGCCACTTGCAAACACGATCGTTCTACCCCATCGACCCGGCACACAAGAGGGCGACTCTTCTGAACCTAGTAGAAGCCACCATACGCCCCTTAACGCCCGTCCCCGCCGAAGACGACTCTGACCATGAAGACGTTTCGTACTTGCTATCTCTGGTGCCGCCTAGTCCTACCAACACCACCACTGGTACTTTCGACGATGATGAGTCTGATGATGAGTACTTGGATGATTCCGCCGGTCTTGGACCTCCTTCTATGGCCGCTCCATTCTTCACGTATCCGGTATGCAACAACGGCGATAGCTCAGGTGAAGAAGGCTGGGACGTTGATGATGAAGACGAACAAGGTTTAGCAAGAGGGCGCGCCCTTTTTGTTGGTCGAGTCCTGAATTTCGAGGATACTCGCCCTGGAACCCCTCTGAGGTCATTTTTGGATATGTCGACTGAGGATTCGGACGAGGATGATTCGGACGAATATCCTTGTAATGCTCTCATATTCGATGATGAGTTTACGGTGGATCAAATCTATCGGGATCGACGGACTCCAGATCTCAGGGAGTCAGTGCTCGACAGGACTGACAGGGCATCTCAATCCCAAGTCGAATCTCTGAGCCGGCGGTCATCGGAATCCGGCTCGCGCACAGGACGCGATAGCCAAGTTCTGCTTGATGACGTCTTCAATCCTGACGTTACAATGGATCTTTTCTCTCACCCCGAACCGGAAGAGCACCCGTACGCCCTCATGGTCTCGTCCACGCAGCGGTTCTACGAGTGTGATAATCCGAATCACATCCCCCACCTTCGGTACGAGCATTGCTGCACGAATTCTGTCCACCCGTACCAACACCCCTCGTTCGCGCCGTTTTTGCCGTTTCTATCGATAAGCCGACCTCGGTCGTCCGCTTCCTCGCTGCTTCCGAAGAGGAGCACGCGCAGCGCTGCGGGTAAGATTGTTCATGGTCTCACGAAGAGCCTGCGCGGCGCTTTCGCGAAGGTTCCCAGCAACGCCGGAAGCAGGGACGCGAAGGGGAAGAAGAGAATGAGGACGCCTGATTTTGAAGTTCCGAACGGCTCCTCGTCGACCTCTCTTCTCTCGCCTTTCCGTCTTAAGAGAGCAAAGAAGTTCTAAAAATGCTGCAATGTTCTTCTATGCTTTATATATGCGGTATGTAGATAAGTCTGGTACCTAACTTTCTTAGTTTCCGAGCCATTTCTCTATTGTATGATTAACGTCCATTTACATCACTCATTCGACCATTAATATGCATACTCCTAAAGTGTATACTACTATTATCTTCCGGCCATGACATGTGCGCCGCGGTGTCACGTGGTGGCTGGTTGAGTTTGTTCTGGAACTTGGAAGACGCCGAAGAGCGACCAACGGCAACCAACGCTCACTCTAATTGCTTGTATCCTTACTGCCTTTTTACTAAAGTTCAGCGAGGATTCCTCTTCTGTACATGTTTCGATCCTGCGGTCCTGGAATTTCCTCATTTCTCTGCCAACAGCCCAGATACAGCGACGACTTGCTATTTCTTGACCTCGCACCTCTCGACTTGTACAAATTACTCCAAGGCTAACAGGGAAGCCTACCAACCCATCGTTTCCTTCCGTAAGAGAGCCTACACTCTCAATAAATTGCCACATTCCGAGACCTGCAAACAGAGCTTGGAATCTTGATATCGGGGATCAAGTGCCATTCAGGTTTTTTCCGAGCGCGATGCTGTGAAATACGAGGACTCGGATTTGGATTTGTACGTCAATCATAGTCAGTGCTACGAGGTCAAAGCGTTCCCTACTCCAGGCTGGGTACGTACCACTTTCGACCGCGGGGGGTCCCAGTCGGAGAGTTTTGAAGCTAACGCTGCCCATGGCGATTGGCTGATGCACTTCATTGTCTTTACGCTCCCACCTGGTCGTACTCCAACCCCGCGATTGCAGGGGGTAGAAGATCCAGCTGATCATCTCGAAGTACTCACCAGCTGACGTGATCCCGCACTTCCGCTCTAGTGAGCTCTCTGAGTCAAACAGCGGGTTTCCACCCCTCAGGACGTTCTAAGACAAAATTTCATAGCTTGTGTCATGAATTTTTATCACTCACTCGCACGCCTACTCATTGTACGCTCGGGCTACGTTCCGTTCCAAGCCGGGCGAATAAGGCCCGCGACGTCACAGCTCGAAAGAAATATCATGACCGTGGGGTGGCTCCGGACGATCCTGCTATTGAGTTACATGATATTTTAGGACGAGTCGGGGATAAGTGTTGTTGGGACGATCTCCTTTTGGCAAGTATGTATTCGCAATTCGGAGTACAGAGCGATTATTGAAGGTGGGTCCCGTTCCGTACGTTGAACTCTGCGTAGATGAGAAAGGAACGAAACTTTTGTTCATGATTAAGCATGTAGTATTTTCAAACTGGGCGGCACAGAGGGGGTGATTGTGACGAAGGTTGGGTAGACCAGCATCGTCAAGACGTTTGACAAGGTATTTCAGAGTCTCAGACGAGGAGTCATCTAAGAGGATAGAGATCAGGCGGGGGAGAGACTGCATATTAAAGTACCACGTCGACGAGCTTGTGATTATAGCCGGGCGAGCCCGGCTTTACTATATACTCGCAGAACTCGCCAGTTCTTACAAAGCAACATGCATTAACAAGCAACAAACTGAACAGACCAACTTGTTGAAGAACAAAGACCTGGTGATACACAGATATGGTACGCTGATGAAACGCAGCATAAAGTTAACTCATACTATTATCACAGACACTCAGGTCTTGCATCTTTTTTAAACGTTTTCGAACGGAAATACACATGTTTCGTAATTCTGTGTTGGTTCTATAAGTATACGTCTGTAAGAATAGCCGACGCACTTACCAATATCACGCCGAGTTAATCCATTTTACGACGTCCGATGCCCATTCCTCACCTTCGCCCGTGCTGAGCGCAAAAGAAACGCTGATGTGATTATGCCCCGCAGCGACAAACTTATCATATGTGAGGCCACGAGCCTCCAAAGCCAACTGGAAACTTTTGAAGGCGTTGATCAACGAGTCAGGGTCTCGTTCCGAAATACCCAAGAGTAATCTAGGAAGAGAAGCTATCTTCTTCTCAGAGGCCGCCTGCAGCAGGCCGAGTGGTAGCTTTTCCTTTTGCTCGAAGCTACCGTAGTATTGCTCTACCGCGTCGGTCATGAACGAAGGCATATCTTCAAATGTGTATGCCCCAGCGAAGAGAACCGCGCCCTTAATTTTGGGATGTAAAGTGGCCGAGTACAACTCGGGGGTGATAAGAATCGTAAACACGTTCATGGCTCCGGCAGAGTGGCCCATTACGAACAGAGCGTCGAGATCGGGCTCGGTAACTCCACTGAAAATGAGCTTCTCGGGGTTGTCGATGGTCCACTGCATGGCATCGCGTACATCCTGGGCTGCTCCAGGATGCTGGACGTCGGGGACGAGGCGGTAGTCAGGGATGATGGTTATGAAGCCCTTGTCTGCAAAGTACGATCCGAGGTTGCCGTATGAGAGATCGGCTGGAGGGGGGAGGACACGAGCGCCGGTACTGAAGCCTCCTCCGTAGCAGAAGAACAGAAGAGGGCTCTTGGATGAGGCAGACGTAGCTGATGGGTAGTAGATATCAAGCTGATCGCAAGAGATGAAAATTGGGATTCAGCGAGTTTGGAGAGACATACTTTATGTCTTTCCGTCGCACCATACTGAAACGTTCTCTTGCTCGTTGCTAGAATCTTTTCTTTCTGAGCGTCGAGGAGCGGTAAGAAGATGCCCACAGCTGTCAAGATCATTGTCAACCGCAGTAGAACAGAAGCTGGATTCGATATCGAACATACTAGGGAACAAGATATCTGGAACGTCTCTCTGCTGGATTTCCGCTACCTTGTCCATGGCTGGGATTTGTGAGATAACAGGGCACCCCGGGACCTTTTATACGGTTGGATTACCGGACTGACGGCAACCTTCCCATAGGGAGTTGGCATTTGAAGAATGGTTGAGCGCTGATACTTACAGCCCAGCATCCAATCGTATAATATCTAAGGAGTAAATGTACTTGGTACTTAGCCGTATAAGGCCATAGGCAGGCTATGTACGGAGTCTTGAGTGGCGTTCGATCTGCCACGGCAAGTCCCGAATATGCCACAAGGTGCAGCCGGAATTCAAAGCATTTACATTTTCATTTTCTGGTTTATTGTCGACTTGAACTGTCGTGAACGGGGATTTACTTGCCGTGAATTCAACGTGTGGCCGACAACGGGCTCAACGCGGACTTTGCGCGCTCTGGGTCAACTCTGGGTCTCTGCCCTGTAACCGAGCTGTCGACACTACCGGTCAGCACGGCACTGATGTTCCTGCAAATGTCTTGGAAACAACTGAGTGTCCTTTTTGTTTGTCGAGGACATGCTTGACGACCCGTGTCTGTGTCACGTTTCTGCGAATGTTGTCTTGCACCATCATCACGTACGTGCACTTGCTTGGGCCGTTTTTAGACCGTCAAAGTATGGCCATAGCGCTGTCGAAGCTTCATCAAAACTGGATCAATTGCCAAAAACGTTGATGACGCGGACACGAACAAAGTTTGTTTACCCGAGGTCGGTAGTTATATAAGGTGGCGATGACTCAAACCCAATGTTTTCTAGTCTCACCCATTGCTGACACTACTATGGAGGTCCTGATCCCTTCTTACCGTTCACATTCCCCATCCCAAACTCCAAGTGTCACCGTCATCCTCAAGTCCCCTGGCTCTGATCACCACGTAGTACTTCCAGGCTTAGCGCCTGATGCCCGTGGCTATGTTCACATCCAAGTCGAGTAAGTTTGCACTGTTACTCGTGTCTTTCTACCTAATATCCTTTGCCAAGGTGCTTGTTCAACGTCCCCCCTTCCGTCGATGATCCGCCTTGTCAGAAGTTGGAACCCGAGTCACAGGGATTTTCGTTTACGGGCATGTTTTCCTGGGCAACTGAGGGGTTGAAGAACAGGCTCTTTGTCTTTGGCAACGCCAGCTCTCCTATCCGCAGCAGAAGCAGCAGTCCGTATGCAAGCACGCCACAGCCACGACCCATTGGTCCCCATGGGGGCCCTGTGATTTACGCAAACAGCCACACGGGCTTCTTCTCATCATCTCCTCCTCCAGTACCAGACCTGCTCTCCTCGCCACCTCCTGTCAGTACAGTGCCACGGGTCCCTCCATCGATAAAAGATATGGCGTCCTCCATCTCGCTCTCGACCTGGGCAGCGGCTAGCTCGATTCCCTTCATCTATCGGCACGGGGAAGTGTTCGTTCCACGTCATGATGATCCATCAGTGGAAGATCATGAACGCCGCCACGAGCTTGAAAACATAATGCATCCTCTCCTTCCCACGGCTACGCCGGAAAAGGTCACGCGAGAACCTGCTGCGCCGCCAGTGCCGTGGTTGGAGTCTCGGCATACTGAGGATTCCGGGTCATCATCATTGACTGATTTCATCGGCTCGCAGGATGATCTAGCAAGCAACGCTGCACCAGGACCGGCACAACCGTTACCGCCACCGCCTCCACCGCCTCCTCCTCCTCCACCACCACCACCACCACCTGCTACTGCAGTCCTTCCTGTCCAGGCTCCAGCTCCTCTTCCTGTCCAGGCTGCGACGGAAGCTGTCGCCGGTCCATCGTCAACACCGAAACGACTGAGGGGGGATAACGAAGACGATTCCGATGCAGAGGAGGAGGAAAGACCAAGGTCGAGGAGGCGAACCCAATAAGCACCTCTGGCCGTTGATTTGCCTTTGAAAAGGCTGTGTCGCTTGCGACGTCTGGTTCATTTTTTATTTTCATCATCGTCATTGGCATCAGCAACATCATATCATCATCATCATTATACGACACACAACTGCACATTTTATTTTCAAGTCAATTTTCTTGTCATACAGAAATCAACGTAGCATTGTCGCAGTCACGCGGCTTCACCTGTACAAACACGCGTTCAGGTCGCGCACGCGTGTGTTCGGTTGATCCGCCCGTGTTGGCCGGAGCTCGTGCATCAACAAACTTCAACGGCAACAACGGCGCGGTTTTAAGATGGATTTGCTGTGACACATGTCTTCAAGTATCAAGTCCTCAGCGTCTCTTGCATTTTTGAAGCAAGAATACGTTCTACGAGAGGCGCAATGAATGGTAGGAGTCGAAACGATAAGAAGCATGCGGGGAACGATACTATGTGAACTGAACCTACACCTCTTCCCGCGTTCTCGTCAGCAGAAGATAGACGCAAGATGCGATCAGTACGCGCCACTTTCAATACAGTCGACAGTTCCAGACTGTTGGAGAGACGAAAAACTTTACAGGGAAGACCTTCGGCAACCGCGTTCAGATTCTGAGAACGTAAACAGCATGAAATTTCTTTTGGCCTGTGGCTTCAAGAGCTTATCGTAATAGTTTGAACCAAGGATCTGACGGTGGATCTCACTAACCGTAATGGTGTCTCTGTTGACCTCAAGCACGATGAATCTGGGCGCGATAAATTTGTGCGGTATGTACTCCCTACAAGACCAAGTGTTCCGACATGTCCCCCAAGGTCGTAACCAGACATCCCCCGGAAACCATCGAGCAGATCGTCTTTTCCTGTAGTCCCTTAAACTCATCTCTTCTGAATGCGTCGATCTCATCACCTCTTCCGTCCTTGTGAACCACGCACGCACGGGCTGGGGTTTTCCCTGGCGTATATCCTGGCGCGACGTGTATGTACCGAAGCGACTATCTCAACTTGGATCCGGGGTTGTCGAACGTCTTCTGTCGGAGTATATCTTTCGACGAGTCGAAGCGAAGCTTGGGACGGGATTTCGTTGATGGAATCGCGAGCCAACTTTTTGGCATCGAGAGATCGTTCTGAATTTGCGGTGGGATAACGTACCCCGGCAGGATACGCGGGCAACATCCCCAGAAACGCAGAGTCACTCACCGGCGCCGGTGAAAACCTAGATAGATGGGGGAATGAGACGTTACATGTCTGATGGGCTCCATTTATACAATTGGGAGACAGTCAGGTCAGCAGCCTTTCACAACGGAGGAGCATCAGGTACCGCAACTTTGAACCCTTTCTTTCACCTTCCAAATATTCTCTAGGCTATCCACAATATCTAGCAGGGTGTCTCCGAGTGATATATGCATCCGCTTCTCAAACAGCTCTCTGTTGATTTTGAACGTAGGGGAAGGTCACTCTGGTGCTTTCGACGGATGAACAAGATGGTTCCTTGGCTCTGGCGACTCCTTGGGCAATGATTTCGATGGCGTCTTTATATAAGACGAGTGATGCGGGGTAGACCAGAGGACATCTCTTTCTATCGACCTCCGGGGTAGGCGGTGATTCTAGGGCGCGGAGGTGTGCACGGACAGATGATACTTCGGAGTACGGAAAAGTGGACGTTGTCAGGGCGTGTTATGAAACCGTAATACAAAACACCACAGACCGGTCAAATTTATCATTCAGCTCACCACCTTGACATGATCAAAATAGGTGCTTTGGTTACTGCTTAATCCTGGATGCTGTCTTGCAAGCGCTCATGTAACATGGCCAACGCCGAAGCATGATTCTCAAATCATAATCGCTAAGTGGTCGGACCTTTGCTTTGCACGATTCTGGAACGACTTATTGCCATCCATTCGATACATATACAGTAATGATACAAATTTATCTCTTATGTCTGATGCTTCGTCGGATAAAAGCTACTTCGATAACTCAGGCGTTTGCTGCAACACAGTTCCCATCCCAGCTGCTGAATACCTTTCTCCAGGAATGTCACTTTCCTCTGCGAGTATACGAATGGCAGCGACTTCCTCTTGGCTGAGCTTAACCTTAGCCGCTCCCAGATTTTCTTCCAGATACTAGGGAACAAGTCAGTGTAAGACAACGGGGTATAACGACACGAATACCCTGATCTTCTTCGTCCCAGGAATAACGACAAAATCGTCACCTTGCGCAAGGATCCAAGCAAGGGTGACCTGACCAGGAGTCGCGTTATGCTTTGACGCGATGGCCTTCAAATGATCAACAAGATTAAGAATCTTCGGGAAGTTCTCCTTGGAATACCTGTAAACGCATCATCACTGCTGCGCTCTCAAGCAGGCGAGCTCAAGGATACCCACTTGGGAATGGTCCTACGGAAATCTCCTTCTTCAAAGTCGTCGGGAGACTTGTATTGACCAGTGATGACGCCCCTAGCCAAAGGAGAATACGCGACGACCGTGACACCCAGTTCTCTGGCCGTTTGCAAGATCCCCAGTTTCGGGTCTTCAATATAGAGAACAAGGGGAGAATACTCGACCTGAATGGCAGAGATTGGATAGATGGCATGTGCTCGACGAAGGTCCTTGGCTGTGCACTCTGATAAGCCGAGATACTTCACTTTTCCCTCCCTGGCGGAGCGTTTCGGCGTCAGTACAAGTAGGAAACAATCTATAAACTGTGAACTTACTTAACGAGCTCGGCCATCGCAGTGACGGTATGCTGAAGAATAGTCAGATTGGGGTTATCGGGAAGAAAAGAATGGACCGACTTCAATTGGTACGTTACGATCGGGTCTATTCAACGGTAAGAGGTGCGACTGCAGCTCAATTTCAGTGAATCACTTACCGGTGTTGATAGTACAGATCGATGTAGTCAACCCCAAAGCGTTCGAGAGATTTCGCACATTGCTGTTTAACATACTCGGGATCGCCACGACTTCCAGTGGGGGTAATGCCGAACTTGGAAGTCAGGAAAATCTCGTTTCGTCTACCCGTTCGTTTGAACCTGAGTACGCGCGCGCTGGAGACAAAGTCCGTTTTTACCAATGCGAATGCTGACATACCATTTTCCAATGAGCAGCTCAGAGTCTCCGTAAATGTTGGAAGAGTCCCAGTGCCTGCAACCTTTCTCATATGCAGCATCCAGAATCTGTACGGGGTGTCAACAAGAGTCCTCATCCGTGAGAACAGACCTTGCCTTGAAACGCTCCTCGTCGGAGCCTACTGCCCCATAGTAGCTGCTGAGACCCATGGCACCGAAGCCAATTGGATTAATCAAAGCATCGCCGATTTTCCTGGGAGGTAAGGACATGGTGATGGTTGGGAAGAAACGGCACACGCTTAGTAGTCTTCTTTATACGTTGACGAAATGCATGACAAAGCCTTTCCCGAAACCAATGGAAACGGTGATCATGTATGATGAAAGTACTTCAGTACTCAAAAAGGGACATGCCTTTTAAAGACATGACGTAAAAATACTTATATCAATTTATTTATTATATAACAAATTATGAAAAAAGGGCCTCACTGGGAATTGAACCCAGGACCTCCTCGACCCAAACGAGGAATCATGCTACTAGACCATAAGGCCATATGTAGTTGTGGCGTATTTCCAATTAAGAGGATGCCGTCAAGTGTACGTTTCAATCTTCAAAGCCAAACTAAGTCTCAATTCCGAGTTTGGTTCAACTCAGTCCAGTCGATATAACGGATTGCCTCCAATGCCAAGCACCTCGATTGCGCGTCTTGGTACTAGACCAAAAGGCAAGAATGAGGCAGAGCGTGTCGCCTCGCGGTATTTCACCTCTCAGGCCATTTCTGTACGTCCCGTCGAGGAGCATAGTCGGTCAGTTCCATCTAAATCGCGATTGCTAGCTTGTAATTTTTGATATTTCTACATCGTTCATCGTCACTCTCGAAAACGGGTACGGAAGTGATCATCAAGCTGAGGGATACCGAAATCGATCTATCCCGTGTGGCTCTCGCTCACAGTAATCTGGGCAATATCGCTCCTGAAGTTCATTCTGGCAGAGTTCAGAAGGCGAATTTTGCGTATGTCTCCTCTTTCGTGCCTGGGACTCCACTGGACCTTTCGAAATCATCGTATAAGGATATTGCGACAATCTCTGCTGACCTCGCGCGCATCCTTACGAGGTGCTCGTTGGGTATTGATTCCTCTGGCATTGCTGGAACCGGGGCAGAATCAGCGAGTTGACTTTGCTGCCGCTCGCTCTCTGCCACATCGAGCTTAGCGCCAAAAACGTGATTTTTATAACATACATCCTCCTTCTCTTTTCTGATACATGCACATAGATAATTTTGAGTGGCGAGACCAAAATTGCGTCCATCGTCAACTGGGAAGGTCCTCTTCTGCTGCCTTTGGGGATGAACGCATGGCATATACGCGATTATTGTGCTATTCCTTCTTCAGAATATGAATCGCTTTCTGTAGTCGAGGCTTTTTGGACAGCTCTGGTCGAATCTTTCCCCGGTCCCTCATCTCACCGTGCGCTAGTCACTGCAATGCAGACAGGACTTGTCCTCAGCATCTTTGATGCATCTCTGGAAACTCGCGATCTGGAGCAAATTGTCTCAGTCTATAATTGGCTGGATGATACTTTTTACGAGGATCACTGCTTCCCGAGGAGTACACAGACCTAGCACAAGCGACCTGGAAGATTCAACATCCCAATATCCACCTCCGAAGAGTGTGCCAGCTCATTCAACGGCAGCCGAAAAGCCGACCCTTGTCGCCAAACTTTCCCGGCCGAAAGCTATGGCAGAAGGAAAACTTGCCGCGGCTAGTTGCTTCTCGCAAGCCGTCACGGAAGCGCATGTCCACGATGAGCAAGGGTGTTACAGTCTGTACGGTCTTTTCGGCCCTCATACGTTACATGCACTCACGACAGCTATAGAACACTGGTGGTCACCTTCGAGAACGAAGACGAGGTCATCGTACAACTCCGAGACTGCGAAATCGACTTGTCTAAAGTCGCACTTGCGCAGTCTACTGGGTCCTGTCGTTCCCAATATCCTTATGCTGAAAATCCTGCTTCGAGCGCGCAAACTGCGGCGCCGGCTCAAGAGGACGATCAGCCGTTCTCCTGTTGTTCGGGTGACGATAACGATGATAACCCGGTAATTGTTGGCAGAGAAGGCTCAATTGCATTGCAAGGACTCGGGTTATCGACTCATGCTAGCAAGTTTTCAATTTGGGTCCCATAATTTGTAACGTGTGCTGACTGCTGTACAGAAGTTTGCGGACGCAGGTGCTGCGGAGCTGCATGTTGCACGAGTCCGATAAGAAGAGGAAGACACTTAAAATTTTTGTGGGAAGCTAAAAGAGTGCCATGTTGTACTGGAATCGACGGAGAGCGTCTTAATTATGCTCCCGTCGATGACACGTCACCCGCCGACCAAGATGGGAAGGAAAAAGTTCTCACTCTCATGGTTGTTGGCATGGACTGTCCAGCGTGTTCTCCAAGAGTTGAACAAGCACTGAAAGGCCTCGGGGTGACGGACATAAAGGTACAAAATAATTTCGATACAAGTAGTGCCTTGACTAACAGTGAACATAGGTGGAATTTGTCAGTGCTCGAGCGAGTTGTAGCTACATCAGTGGCTCCATCGATCCCGAGACTATCCGCCGCAAGGTGGAAAACACAACCGGATTTATTTGCACCATTGCAAGCTTGCGAAATGGCCAACGTACTCTCCGCGTATCTTTCTCCCCCGCCGGTGCCCCAGCCGAGGACATTCTTCAAGCACTTTTTGGTCGCGAACAAGGGATTTTGAAAATTTCTCGCGCGGATGTTCGCTTCACAATCGATTCTGCGGCACGTCACCCGTTAGCGCGTGATATCCATGGAGCCCTGCTTGGGCAAGGGTGGATGGTGACACCAGTTAACGAAAACGACGGTGAGACGGCCATAGACAAAGCAGCGGCGCTTGACCTTCGTCGCTCGATCTGGCGCTTCCTTTTATCTGCAATTCTTACCATTCCGGTCCTAGTCATATCGTGGTCCAGTGGCTTCGAGGGTCAATTCGCTCTTCGTGGTGGGATCGCTCTCGGCCTCGCGTCCCTCGTCCAGATATTTTGTGCTGGTCATATCACTCTCGCTGCAGGACGCGCAACCATCGCTGACCGACGTTTAGATGCCGATGTCTTAATTTCTCTATCTTCCCTCTCTGCATATCTCTATTCCATGGTCAGCTACGGATATAATGTCGCCAAACATCGTGTCGATCTCGATAGCTTCTTTGAAACGAGCACCTTGCTCATCACACCGATCCTACTCGGCCGCCTCGTCTCTGTCTATGCACGGAATGCAGCCAGACGGAGCTCTGTTGGCCTCACTCCTCCTCCTACTGAAGCCGCACATTGGATTGATCCCAAACTCGTTAATAGTGCTCAAGATATTCACACGGCATTGCTAGAAGTGGACGACACGGTCGTTGTTCATGCAGCTGAAACCATACCAAGTGACGGTATTGTCGTCACCAACACGTCAGATATCGACGAGTCTTTGATTACTGGCGAGACCGTCCCTATAACCAAAGGCCCAGGAGCTCCGGCTCTTGCAGGAACAACAGCCCTTGGTCCGCAGTCATTATATATCCGTTTATCGAAAACCGTACAAGACAACTCACTGGCTGAATTACGCCGTTTAACTGCAGAAGCGCGCTCCTCCCGAGCTCCTATCCAAGATACAGCGGATAGGATTGCGCGTCGTGTTATTCCTATTGTATTGGCTGTTTCGGCAATCTCGTTTAGCATGTGGACGCTAGTGCTCAAGTATGCAAGGCATGAGTCCCCAGGCAAGGCAGTCGCAGACGGTCTCTCTTACGCCGTCGCGGTATTAGCTTTGTCATGTCCATGCGCCCTCACTCTATGTGTCCCCCTCGTTGTTCTCTACGCACGGAATGCATCCCAGAAGTCACAGTTTTCTCTGCTCTTTAAATCCTCTGCTGCTCTCCAGAACGCGCGCGCCGTTACCCATGTCATTTTCGATAAGACAGGAACGTTGACGACCGGAAAGATGAGAGCGGTGGAGTCAAATTTTGACGAAACCAGTGGAATATGGATTGCAGGTGACGCCAATAGGCTGATCAAGGCTCTCGTTGCGGGTAGAACATCCTGTGTCGGCCGCTGTGGCCCGATATCTGGCTGTGGGTGCTGATTCAGTCAGTGACCTAGACAATATAGAAACTGTGGTGGGCAAAGATATCCAAGCCAACTGGAATGGCTCTATCGTTCGAGGAGGAAGCGTTAGCTGGTGCGCGGTGCAAGATGTTGATTGCGTAGTTAACATGCTGGATGCAGGAAAGAACGTCTTTGCTGTAACAGTTGACCACGTCTTCCTCGCTGCCTTCGGACTGGAGGATGACCTTCGTTCCGAGAGTACCGAGGTTGTGTCGTCTCTGGTAGCACGGGGAATCACAGTGTCCATTCTGAGTGGAGACCACCAGAAGGCCGTTGACGGAGTGCGTCGCAGGCTTGGAGTCGAGGGAGTCAAAGCGAAGGGGAACTGCCTACCGGAAGACAAACGGAACATAGTTCGTATGACTTCGTGGAGCGTGTCCTGCGCATGCTCATGGAATGCCACAGCAAAAGAATATTGTGGTTTTTGTTGGCGATGGGAGTAATGACACCGCAGCTCTCGCCCAAGCAGATATTGGCGTGTCCCTGGTGTCGGGAACAGCTATAGCCATCAACTCGGCTGATACCGTTATACTATCCGGCAGTTTGAGGGGCTTGTTGCAGACAATCACGGTGTCGCGTCTGACCTGGCGTCGCATCGTGTTGAGCCTCACTTGGGCGCTGTCGTACAACGTCTTGGCCGTGCTCTTTGGATCTGGGCTCCTTGTTGATATCCGCGTACAGCCTCAATGGGCTGGATTGGGTGAATTCGCCTCTCTCGTGCCAGTGCTGGCGATTGCTCAGTCTTGTCGCTTTTTCAAGTGAAGAAGCAGAAAGCAAAGAAGAATTTCGATAACAGTAGAGGATTCACTTCACGTTTCTACACATGGAAACCAAAATGTCGCTATCCTGATTGTAGTTTTTATATGTACAGTAGGCTTGATATGTATGTTCCTTCAGGCTCAGTTTTTTCTGGTTTGGAAATGTAAAACAATTTTTGAAGGTCCTTTGTCGAGCATTCGCGTTAATCACAAGTCCGTGGCATCTTAACTTCGACCTTCGCTTTTTCTTGCTGCTTGAAGGTCGCTCTCGGTACAGGAATACATATGATCCTTGTAACGATTTTTTGTGGCAATATCGCCATAACCAGAATATGGCCCGAGAGCTGTTATTAATGAAAAAACGTCTTCTGAACTAGTCTTAACCAAGTCTAAGCTACTGCTTGTTAGTTCCATCGAGCCAGAAGTTTGTCTTTAGGTAGTAAGATGTCTGGGAACTCCTGAACCGTGAGTACGTGCCATGTGCTGCGCCAAGCCTTATCTGCACTACCAATTCTCTCCCTCTCTCGTTTTACGTTTGGTGTCTTTTTAACCTGAAAGAATTTCTGACATCGCTATGGCTAGCAGTGATGTCGATAGTTGCTGCGGTCTCCCTGACTGTGGTGTCCGCAGGAGCGAGGACTCTTGCCGCAACAGTGACTCTCGTGCGGCGGTCCCGACCCCGAGTATAGAAGAAACCAATCAGCCATGCTCCTGTTGTTCCGGTGGCAACAGTCTTGAAATTGATGATACGCCGGCAGTCCAAAGCAGAGTCGATTGCGCTGCAAACGCGGCCGAGTCGAAGCAGCAAGTTTTCATTCGTGAGGTTTGATAGATGTGAAGTGCGCTACTAATATTAGCGATGTATACCAAAGTAGACATGAATCTTGTGAAATTTGATCAATCAAATGTCAAACTCTCAGATGTCTCACTCCGGTATTTATAAAGAGAGGGACCTCAAAGCGCCTGCCCAGAACTTTGTCCATGACCACCATGACCACCTTACAACCTACCCTGCAATATGCAGTTTTGAGACCTAGATTACCGCTGGAACTCATGGATAGAATAGTTGACACTATTTCCAATGATGTTCCCTCCCTCACAGCTTACGCATTATCCTCTCGCCAACTTGTCCACCGCAGTCGCTATCACCTATTCCGTGCCATACACTTCGATTTCATCCCACATCGATCGTTCAATCGCTGCGAAAATTTCTTGGAGAAGTGCCAAAATGTGGCGCCACTTGTAAGGAGTCTTACCTTGAGCGAAAATGCCCTCCAGGCCTCCGAACCACAGCTGCCTACCATCTTTGCAATGATGAAGAACTTGACGTCCTTGCATCTTGTCAAGGTGGACCTAGTTGGCATTAATATCATTTGGCCTGAGGTTGAGGAATTGGAGATGAAGCATTGTTATGTGACGAACCTTGGCACCTTCCTCGGCGGGTTCCACAAATTAAACAAGCTAGCGCTATGCGATGTATACATTTATGAAGAGACATCTTCATCATCTGAAGTTTCTCTTAAGCTTAAAGAATTAGTGATTACCCCAGCCAACACCCAATCAGACATGAATACCATCATGTGCCTCCTCCCGCTCCTCTCCATGCCACCTCATATTCGACGGCTTACCTACCCAATTTACCATCCGGAGCAGAACATCCCACAATACAACGTGATTCCTTATACGCACCTGGATGAGTTATTTCTGGTGGGAGTCTCCGAGCCAAAGATACCCGTTCCGGATATCCAAAACGTTGCCAGGCTTCGTTTGCTCGTGATCACACCCTGGCACTGGGATGTGGCAGATGGATGCAAAAACTACGATGAGCTAACAGATTGGCTCATACGCCTGCTACACAAAGCCCAAGGGGGATGCTTAAAGGAGGTCCAATTGGAGTATGACCTGATTGGCATATCTGGGAGTCAGAACAAGTGGGCAGAGCTCGATGCAGTTCTATCGAAGATGGAATTGAGCAAGGTTGAGCTCGTGTTCAGCGCAACCCCAGAAGAGTGGGACAGAGAAGGAGAAGAGAAAGCCGAGTGGAAGCCGGAGGGATTGATGTTCGAATCTGCTGCGTTCTTTGAACAAGTTAAAGGGCGCGGGTTGTTGACAGTCTCCAGAAGATACTTAAGTTAAGTTTGTATGTTTGCTACTATCTAGACGCTGCTATTGCGTTTTGGACATTGAATCAGCTGCATATAAGATACGAATAATACAACTTGTGTTTTTCATTATCATGAATCAGAACATATATATCAGTGAATATGCTGAAAGGTTATGAGTCACAGCTGCGGGTTTCAACCACCTTTCATGATCTAGGATCGCAACAAGACTAAACCAACAGCGAACACCTAGCAGTCCTTGTCTTCGATTCGACGAAAACACATCACCATTTGAAGGCGTCGAAATTTGTGTTTGCTGCAACCTGTGGCACTCCAAGCGAATTGGTTGAAGCCGCGATGAGAAGGCCAGTGAGAGCTGATTCGGCTGTTCCTGTAAACAAAATCAATCCGGCTGCCACTGATGGGTAGTCAATGTCTGGATTATCGCACCATGTAGATCACTGCTGGCAGAAGCCGCATTTACAGCCTCGATAAGTTTGTCCGAAGCATCGCTCGGTATCGTGGAGAGTAGTCCCATCCGGGGGAAGTCCACAGAGGGGTAGGACGGATTGCCATATTGAAACGAGGACAAGGCACTACAGCCAGTGTGTACATTAAACTGGGATCAATAACCAACGCTGACGGAAGACAAATCTTTTCAAAAATGGATCTCCAAGACACCAGCTGTAGAGATAGCTTTCATCGAGGACAGGCGTGTCAGTGACGGCAAGATTCGCATTACAGATGTCCATAGTATTAGGATATGCTTGGACAATAAAGTCTCGCGGATCAATATGTGATATCTTTCCTCCGATCTGGAATGCGAGTGCATGGGGAGTGGAGCAACAGAACTCTGTCCCAACCAGCTGGGAGTAGATTGCATCTATGACATCCGAAGGGCCGCGTATGAGTTTCCCTTGCTAGTTTTTATGCCAAGGAAAACATGGACGACGTTCCAATACACTTACGATATCAACAAGACCAGAGACTGTGATACCCGAAGAAGCGAGAGAGGAGTTATTCAATTCAAGTCCGTCAAGGCATCAATGAAGAATTCCCAGGTAATGGGGTATTTCTAGGCATGGGTGTGTGGGTGGCGATCATGGATGATAAGTCTAGGTTCGACATACCTCATTCGGAGCACCTGTTGGCCCGGCCAGACCACGTTCTTCGCTGGAACATGAGCGAATGGGAACCCAAGTGAGACTCATTCTTGATACCAGCGGGAAGCTCTCCGATGCTTAACTGTCCAACGTTACCTCCTCGAGATATTGTGTTCCGTTGCAAGGTCACAGTGAACATCGGGGCGTTTAAGTCTGCCATAGCTATGAGCCGAGCAACGAATGGGCCCATGGAGTGTACGAATTAGAATGATCCAATTGCTGACGCTGAGGCCCAATATGGCTCGTGAGGGCAGAAAACGCAGGAAGCATGGCGTTGAGGCCTGGAAGAGAGCGTGTTCTAAAGTTTCCTTAGCATTGTTGGCGACTTCTAGCAGGTAGTACGTCTTGACGTTGGAAAAGCGATGTGTGCTGGTAGAAGAAAATGTCTGACCAGATGAAACTGTATAGAAACAATTAGGAACGGAAGAAACGTAGGGCAGAGACAGAGTTGAAGGGGAAACCAAGACCGAAAATCCCTGCTGCGCCTGTATCGAGTACACTCATACTTGTATCATTTATCAAGGCAAAATATTAGTCATCGAGACGCAATCCCGCCGGTGAGACTGTATCTTGTCCTATGGGGTCAAAGGCATAGGTTCCTGTCCGTAAATTGCCGTAAAACAACTGGGCTTCAAGACCTGTCGACGAAAAGCCCGTTTGAGGGTATAGCGAGACATCTGTCACATAACTTCCAGATGTGCAAGCATTCGGAATAACCCACAAGTCAGAGGAACCAGTATCTACAGATCAAAAAGAGATAAATAGATCAATGTCTATTACGATTACAGGGATGTACCCGGCACTAGTGGTATAGAGGTGTTCCCAATGGTCACCAGGACATAGGTATTTATGTTGATGATATGTTAATATTACGATGAGAACTACGATGAAAAGTACTTACACGTCAAAATCATCACCCAAACCAATGGCATCGGAAAGCTCATCACGATTTTTCAACAGCGGCCCATGATATTCTTGTGTCTGTCTGAATATCGGCATGTGTATCCCGCTGCTTGTTCCGTCCTTTCTGCGATCCTTACTATCCCAGTCCTGGTTTTAGCCTGGTCTGCCGGTCACAAGAGCCAGTTCATCCTTCGTGGTAGGACACTACAGAGGCGCGTTCGTCTCGAGCACGTATTCAGGATACAGCGGATCGGATTGCTCAGCAAATCGTTCCCATTGTACTTGGTGTCGCTTCCATCGCGTTCCTCGTGTGGACGTTAGTGCTCACATATGCGAGACACGAGTGCTCAGGCGAAGCGGTCGCAGATGGGCTCTCCTATGCTGTTGCGGTCTTAGCCTTGTCATATCCATGCGCCCTCACCTTATGTGTTCCTCTTGTCATTCTCTATGCACGGATCGCGTCCCAAAAGCCGCCATTTTCCCTGCTCTTCAGATCATCCGCTGCTCTACAGCATGCGCGTATAGTAACGCATGTTATTTTCGACAAGACGGGGACCTTGACGATAGGGAAGATGAGAGTAGCCGAAGCAGTTTTCTGCGAAGATAATGACATATGGATTACAGGGGTTGCTGAAGGGCTGATCAAGGCTCTGGTTACGGGATCAGAACATCCTGTTTCAGCTGCTGTGGCCAGATACTTGCCTGCGCAAAGTGCTTTAGTGGAGGAGCTTGATGATGTAGAGACTATTGTGGGGGGAAGGCATTCAAGCCAATTGAAATGGTTCTATCGTTCGTGGAGGAAGCGTTGGCTGGTGCGCTGTGCAAGATGTTGATTGAGTAGCCACCATGCTGGACGCCGGAAAGAGCGTCTTCGCTATCACGGTTGACCGTGTCCTCCTCACCGCCTTCGAACTGGAGGATAATATTCGTCCTGAGAGCACCGAGGTTGTGTCATCTCTGGTGGCGCGAGGGATCTCAGTATCCATGCTCAATGGCGACCATCAGAAAGCCTTCTGGAGCGCTTTCATTAGAGGTCTCCCTCCTTCTGAGAGGTCGCCAGCTCACAAACGCTCCGTGCTTACCGCCATGCAGGCTGGTCTGACCATCATACATCACTTCGGCGATTACTGTGTGGCTAGAACCGAGATGCAGGAGTTTGTTGACATATTTGATTGGTTAGAGGATGTATTCGGTGAGCTGTGCATATAGACGATTCGACAAAATATACCATGTTATCGGCGTCATTGACAAGTAATGGAGCCTTAACCGCTTTTGTGGGACATCAGGCCCGTACTTTAAAACGACATCCATCATGTTGCGATAGACCCTGCACGTTCAGTGGCCAAATAGAGTATATTCGACGTGAGGAGTATGTAGAATTTCTAACGATCCAGAATGTGTCAGATTAAGTAGGCAGTCATACAACGAAGGTCACTCTAGCTGATAGCAGTCTTGACGTGCGTGATGGCTAACAGCATACCTAGTGGAACAAGCGTAGGAACCTGAGTTCACAGCCCGAGGCGAGGGTTCACGAAACAAATAATCCTTTAAATATATTTGGCACCACGATTATTAGATATATGTAGTCAGGGTAGCGCGGCCGAGTCATACTATGCTACGGGGCACGACCCAAGGAAGCAGTGAGCCATCCATCGATAACGATCCGAGTCTCGGTGACTGCTCTCAGCCCGTCCACAGTGTAAATGATGTTCGGCCTCGGCTGCATAAAAGGAGCCGTGTTGAACGTCCTTGAGAGTCGCCGACCCTTTCTAGCCAACAGCATGGGCCTCAGGGAAAAAATCCGGATGATAATGGGGTATGGGGACGAACGATGACGAGGCGTCTACAGAGCGGAAACTTGACGCAAAGTACTTGAGTGAGGAAAAAGGACATAGCGCTAGAATTGGGACTGAAAGGCTCTTCAATGTCATTCTTGAGAGAATATTAATTTAGACATAGAACCGTTGATATCGACCGACATTAGAATCAGATGAATATGAGAAGATTGTGGTTCGGAATCAAAGAGGAGGACCACCGCAGTCGATCATCTCCGTTACGTTACATGTACAAATTTCCTTCATTTACTGACTACCTTACAACATAGAACCCTTCACCATCATTTAATCCACTTTCAAAGGCGTCGTCCGGAGGTAAGGCTACGGAAACGGAATGTCAGGTTACCGGTTACTCTATGAATGGATAAAGAACACACATAGTGGACCTTGTGCTGAGGGAACAAGGTTTTCGCCTCCTCATTGTTAACACTAGCGTGGACGATAACATCTTCACCCTTGTTCCAGTTAACCGGTGTGGCGATACGGTATTTATCGCCCAGCTGGATGGCATCGATGACACGTATGATTTCGTCCTGAGAACAAGATACGTCAGATTCAAGTACGAGCGATGGTCAGACGTAAAACGCACAAAGTTTCGTCCGGCAACAGCAGGATAAGAGATGGTCAGGCGGATGACCTTTTTAGGGTCGATGATGAAAACCGTACGAATCTAAGTTCAATGTGTCAGTATGAAAGACGCGTCAGACACGCAAGTGGCAACGTACAGTGAATGGCAGTCCCTTTGCATCCCTGTTGGTAACATCTTGGTAATCCAGCATGTCGTACAAGTAGGAGATTTTGCGATCATCATCAGCAATCTGAGCCACATCAGAAGGCGCCAACTTGGAGTGAATACAATACTCACGATGGGGTAATCGACGTAGGTAGGACCGGTTGTTTTTCCACCATACTCTTCGATGTCTTTAATCCATTGGTTGTGCTCCTCGAGACCGTTCGCGGAGATACCGATAACCTTGACGTTGCGCTTGGCAAAGTCGGGGGCACGGCGAGCGACTTCACCGAGCTCAGTTGTGCAGACAGGAGTAAAATCTCCTGGGTGGGAGAAAAGGACGCCCTATACATGTATTAGTCCCGGTGTCACCACAAGGGTACCAAGTCGAGACACACCCAAGAGTCGCCTAACCACTCGTGGAACTTGATTTTGCCCTGGGTGGTCTCTGCCTCAAAATCAGGGGCGATGCTGCCAAGTCGGAGGGTTTGATGCTGGTCGGCCATTGAGTTTGGATACGGTGTATACAGGTCTAGGGGTGGGTTTATATATTATTATCATCTCACCATAATGACGTGATTTCGACATTGACTGATTCAGATTCGTACTATTACTATCACACTTTGGTGTGAATATAGACCCTGTAAATATGACACTACTTGCCGAAAGTGGGCTGTTCCTCATTCACTGAGGTGCGGGGGTTCTGACCAAAATCATCAGCAAGACGGAAGTAAATGAGCTAAGACTTGCCAAGAATGATCATTTAATAATGAAAGGTTCTATTTTAGGGGCGATTGATGCCTGGAGGAAGGACCAAGATACGTAAGGAAACGGTTCACGTTCATTTCCATATTCTCAGATTTATACATAAGCTCATCATTCAGATAGGTATGCCTCGGACCCGAAACAAATTCATTGACAATGAATAGTTGCAGCGTCCGAGCATGGTTAATTCTAACCAGGTGACAGATGATCCACCCGAGTTCACTGCATTCAGAATCCTTGGTCACAAGGCGCAATTCTCCCTGGAAAGAGTGTTCAAACTAGGGTCGGCGGTTAGGTGGAGGGCCCCGATATGGACGCTGAAGTGGCATATATGGAGTAAATTGAGGTCGATGCAAGGACGGCGACGGAGCTGTATACCGAGGAGGATACGGAAGATGACCATGAGGGCGCGCTGGAAGATGGGCCTCCCACACTTTCGGTTTCCCCATGTTGTTCGATGGCTCTGTCTGGGACTGGCCCTTCTTGTGCCGCTTGCTGAAGGGTTCGACTTCACCATCCTCCCGTTTCCGTTTCTTCGCTTCCAAGTACTGGGGAAGTGAAGGCTCTCTTCGGAAACGCAGGAGGTCGATAAGATTTTCGTTGGCCGCTTTACAGCACGCCGCAATCTTGGCGTCAGACTGATTGCGATAACGCGTGGGCACCGAAAACTCTCGAAGATCCCGCTGGCCTTTGGTCGGAGACAAGTTGACTGTCATTGTGCACGACCATGCTAAGACATCGAATAAACTGACTGGTCTGTGTCAGAGAATATAATAAGCTTACCATCCCGTTGATTCTTGTACTCAAAGGTGGGCTGCTCGTCGTTTGAGGCCTGACACTCCTTGGTCAATTTCGGCAGAAAGCTGTCTTTGATTCTCTTCATCTCTGGCGTAATCTTGTTGATCTCTTTCGTTACCTCCTTTAACCAAACCCCCACACCCTGAGACACAGCTATAAGGGCTACGGCAGTCTTGGATTCGCCTCGTTTTTGAAAACGTGCGTCCACGATATATGATTTGCATTGTTTAGGATCCGGACGGTCGATTCGGAGGAGACAACCTGACACTAGCAATAGAATAGGCGTACTGAAAACATAAGGAATTGAGAAACGCACGACTATTCTCCGTGAACGGCAAGTATTCAGCTTGTAACTGACTACCACGTGTCGACTGGATGGTCTGATTGAGCCAACCAACGGCTTGAACTTCTGACACGTTTTGCTTTGCCAGTGAAGGCTCGGGAAGAGGGCGAGGAAGCAAATTATAGAATTCTTGAAGGGACACCTGTCCAACAGGAGGTGGTGCTGGGAACGAAGCGCCCCCAGTGAATTTCAAAGCACCTTCTGCAATGGCCACTAGTGCGCACGCAGCCTTAGCTTCGGTGAAGCCCTTATACAGTGCGGCGGTGGAGTATACACGGAATGAATGCAAAGTCGCAAGGATCCGGAGAGCAGCACCGTGACCTGCAAGATAAGATGAGCGATACGACAAGAAGGCCTTGTATTGACTTACGCTCTCCGTCCTTGGCAGTAACATCATACCACTTGACCAAAAGATTACTCTCCTCGCACCAATCCTCTACCGCTTTGACTCCCGGGTCCTTTTCAGGGACCATATTATCGACCTTGTCCTCATTCTCCAACAAAGCGAGATGTTTAGAGAGCTTCGACTCTCCTTCAGCGATAAATTGAAGTGCATCATGCTCGATTGCCCTCTGGCACACCTGCGCCTTTGCTTCCGTTTTTCGGGTAAAAGTGGCATCCGACTGGTAGCTTCTCATCGAACCATTCGGCCGTGTTATCGTGAGGATACACTGCTTATCTACCAGGGATAGTCAGAAACGAAATAGAGAGGCAAGCCTAGAGATACGCACTTGCATTCGTTTCCTCCTTGAGATATTCAAACTTGAGCACCCCCGTGTTCCCAAAGACTTTCTGGCATGTATCGTGTAGGGTCCGATTCGCATTTACTGATATCTGTTCTTCGTCCACAGCAGGCTTCTCTGCCGTAGAAAAATGGAGAATCGTGTACGAGGCATCGGGGACGTCTGGTGGCGGTTTATATGGCAGGGTTTGGAATTCATCAAGTGTAAGGCCTCCGATGGAGGCAAGATTCCAGGAGATGGCATCCAAAGTTTCAAAGATGCCCATCGAGAGATTCCATCGAGGACGGTACAATAGACGAATCTAACCCTAACCATATGATCAGCATTTTTGAATTATTTACAACAAAAATATAGCAAAAAATCAGAGCCTATACTACAAGGATGCTCTATGGACGGTGGTGTTGATACAAATTGTGTCTCTTCAATGTGAATCAATCCTATCATACGTGCAAATGCTTATCGTTCCTCCAGATCTCCAGGCATCGTTGCCACAATCCCAGCTCCTGCGGCTACAACACCTAATCAACGACAACACAGGATGCATTTAAACAGAGCATTACCTTTCCCATACGACCCATCATGCTAATGATTATCAGAACGTATGCACCTCGGAATCAAGCCTAGGCACTCACCAACTGATCATTAGAGCCATGAGCCTGCGAAAACTCAATCGTTTGCTCTCTCAAACCAAGATCCGAGATGTCAACGTCGTTACCTACCTGGCTACGAACGACTGGAAATCGACTATTCGAGGGAGTACTAGTACTGTTGAACACAAGACTATCCGCTACAGCGCTATTGAGCTGCTCACGGAGAGCCGGTCGAGTGTTCAAACTACAGTGAACAACATTGAGTATGGTCTTGCATGGAGGTATAATTTGAAAGAGCTTACATGGCCACTACATGAGATGCGACGTTGAATCAAGAAAAGGCAGCAAACGAACAAGAGGACGCACGCATCGTGATAACATATATCTTGTTTATACACAAGTGTGTGGGCATCCTGACACTTGGCGTAACTATCAGGCAGCTGGATCGAAAAATGGCAACGCACCAGTGCAAATCCGTCTGTTCCACGCTATACATAATCAGCGTTAGAGTCTGTACGACAGTCACCAACAGTCCCCGGTTGATGATATAGGTGAGCATTTTTTGGATAACATTATTTGTTCTGAAAGTTCATTTATAGGTGAGTTAGACACCCAATGATTGAGCCGCGCTTACCGAGAGATCGCTGACCGGTTCTGGGAAAGATTCCAAGACAAGGCGATTGTAATAAGGATATCTGCAAGGGCCGCGGAGCCGTTGAACGCTGATATAGTTCCCTGCGGGAAGTTTAGAACATGCATGCACATGGTAGTCGGGCTTACCACTCTGTCCTTTTTACTAAGTCCCGCGAAATTGTCGTCTTGAATTTGCGCAACAACAAAAGCTAGACAAGGGTATCAGAATGTTCTCTTTTCAAATAGTCTCATAGCACTCACCAGTACACGAACCTGATTGCATCCAAAATAAGGAGTAATGCTCGGAAATCGAACATAAACTCACCAAAACTTCCCAGCGCTAAAAACGTCTGAAAGCCCATAAATAAGGAGAAATGTAATATATACGGACTCACAATGACGGCAGGAACGAGCCAGTTTTCAGAATTGACTAAAAGCACATCTAAGTCAACTCCGTCTCCGATTGCCTGCCTAACCCGACTCACGTTTATATATTCTGACAACAAAGAACAGTTCGACGCTGTAGCAATACACTATTCAGCCTATTGTGTTAACAAAGCGACCAGAACACCTACATCAAAACAACGACAGCGGTCATCATTATCTCTGCGTCGAATGAACTGCCAACAAGGTCATCAAACGAGTACACGAACACTACAGCCGCTGCTTACTGGATGATAATCTCCATTTGATCCGTATTCCCAAAGTTATCAATCTAAAACGCCTCCATTAGCACGCTTTACGAGAATGACAAAACCTAGGTCCCTCACGAGGTAGTGATGCAAAATCTGTGTGTTAACACCAGTCACAGCAGCGTCCATGGCTCTGTCATGAGGTTCAAGAGAAGCAAAGCAAAGATTTGGACCAGGTTACGCACACTAGAAACACCACCTATAAACACCACCGGCATTTAACGGGAAGGTCGTATCTCGCTGAACAGGCAAGACTCACTAGTGAACGCATAAGCCATCCATCTGTATTCGCGTTGAGGTAGTTCCAGGCCTGTACGATCGTTATACCAAAAAGCCTGTCATATTCCAAGTCAGTCAGCGTAAGGGAACGGGAATCCTCAATAATCACGCAGTCGAAAGAGCGTATCCTGAAAAGAAAGTAATGTGACCCCACCCCACCACCGATACTGCGGCGGTACTCACCATAATACAACCCGTCACCCACCCCAGAGACGTTTATGCTAACGTGCCCAATGGGACATGCGTCTGACGCTGACATAGCAAGGGAGGGCATGAACATCCCAACGGCATTTATATACCCTTGACCGCACCATCAATCGGAATCAGAAAATGCCTGCGCATGAGTGTACGGCAAAACGATGCATGGCAAGGTGGAACTCGAATTCTCCGTATGGCTGTAGACGCTATTGAATGCCGGTTATACCGAGGCAGTCTGGATGTCTGGATTTTCCAAGGAAATCACGGCTACCGGAGTAGGTGCATGTCCGTTGTATCGGAGCCGGTCCTTATATGGATCCCGGAATGTTGGTGTGAAATTTACAACCGCACTGACGCAATTCTATTGCCCACTTCCAGGAATGACCGTGGTGGCAAGGATATACCAGCGATAGTGGTCCTCATGGAGTCTGCACATAAATGTTCCGAGGATCCTCCGCCATTTCCCTGAAGACCTAGTTATGACAATGGGCTAAGCTCAACATACAAATCGCTTATCTTATTGCTGCATAGCCAACTGCATTGGCAATACAATCCTCCCGGCTATCTTCATCCATCGTCAGCTGAACGCAACAAAGAATCTAAAATTGATACGTACCCGTCCACCGAGTAAGAGTAGGTAAGAATTGAAATCATGAATGGATGGATCGTACCTTATCATGTCCGCGCTCAAGAACCGATACACCTCTCAAGGCTTCGTGATCGTCCCCGATCTCGTTTCACCGTCTGATCTCCCTCTACTGCGAGCAGCGTGTGAAGACGTCGTGGAACGTACGCGGCGCGGGCATTGGGCGCTCCGCCGAACGGTTGGGAAACAGTTCCCGCCGTATGATGCGGATAACGATGACTCTTGGGGCGTGCAGATGCTCATGCACCCCGAGCTGGGACATCCTATCTTCGCACAGTGGTACACATCCGATGCTCTGACTGATGTGGTGAAAGAACTGCTAGGCTGCGAAGAAGGGGATCTGCAGATGGGTGAGTTGAGGTAGATGACGCTTTGATGATATTGATGCAGTGTGCGATAGAGCTGTTCAACCTGTTGATCAATCCCGTCTCGCGTGATTTTGCTCTGAGGTGGCATCGGGATGACGTGAAGGGAGACGCTAGTTTCGAAGAAGAAAAGGCGGCGTTGGCTCTCTGGAACCACGGGGTACGACATTAGGGCTCCGTACTGGATAGCTCACCGTTGCCGCAACTTAGGTCCAATGGAACACGTAGGCTCCAATCACCCTCGAAAACCACCTGTCTCACCACCTTTTGCTGGAAGCGCACTGTACGAAGATGCCTGTCTTTATGTTGTTCCGGGTTCGCACAGCGTCCCACGAACTCCCGAACACCGAATGCACTCTACCACGATGGATGCACCTGTAAATCCATTCGACATGCCCGGTGCTGCCACTGTGATATTGAAACGTAAGTTCTTACCGCTGCTAGAACAAAGAAGGCTCACCGCTGTAGCCGGAGACACCGTCTTCTACAATAACAATATCCTTCATCTCGGTACGTACAGCTCCAAAGCTAAACGTGCTACGCTTCACGCTTCTATGGGGGACGTCCGCGGCGGTTCCGTGCGTGCTCGCAACGTGCTCCAACATGAGTTGAGTTGGATGAAAGAGAATATCTTCCGTGATGGTTTGACCGATAAGGGAAAGGCGATGCTTGACCGACTGATTGAAACGCAGAAGAAGAATGAAGGTATTACGATTGGATATTCTTTGGATAACTAAATCGACCGCAGGCGTCGTCTCCAAAATTCATAGCATGTACAACAGACGACAATCCTACACGTGTGTAAGAAATGAGTAAATGACAAAGCAAATGTAAGAATCAGAGAACCATATTATACAGTAATTTTGTCTAAACCAGACGTGCGTCCAAGAAGATGCTATCATGCTGTTGCCTCAGTCCCGACGAGAGTTTCTGCCTGTACATGGCCGGATCCTTCAGCGGGTTCGGGAGAGCCATCAGCGTCGGCGTCCGAAGTTTCGTCGAGTCCTGAGCTTGGGGCAACGGGCTCTGTATCATTAAATTAGCAAATGTTCACAACGGAAACCATTATCGCTCACCCTGCTCTTTGATATCTTCCCCATTGGGAATCTCTTCGTTTTCTATGCCAAAGGATAAGCAGGAGGACAAGCCAAAATATAACTACGCACCTTTGTTCGAGCTTCCATAACTTGATGAAGCCTTGCTCTCCTCATCATCAGCCTCCTGCTTTTTCACGGGGGAGGTCCCGGATTCCCCTTCCGCCTCTCCCTCTGGTTCTGCTGCCGGACATGCCTCAGCCCCGTTTACATCCCCAGGCCTTGTTCGCCTAATCCTAGGAACAACGACGCCATCGAACTGAGACGACCGGCTGTTGGGAGCAGAGACCTTCTTCCTCGACGTCTTAGCCTTGACGGGGGTCTTTGCTGAAGCTTTTGCCTTTGCTGCTCTGGTTTTGGCTGAAATTTTCTCAGTTGGTTTAGTCTTCCTGCTACTCCGACGAGGTGACTCTTCAAGAGCGGTAGTGGCACGTGTACGACGAGGAGTAGAGGTGGGTTCTGCGTCTGATGGACGACGACGCTTGGCGCGAGATTTTGGGAGAGTTTCTGGTTCCACATCTGCCGCGTCACTCTTGCGCTTACGACTGCGCGCCGAAACTAGTTCGATAGCTTGTAAATCCTTGATTTTTTGCAGGGCTTTATCCACTACAAAATAGGTCAAAAACAGAGGCAACAACTGAAGGCGACAAGTCTTACGGCCGATTTCGTGGATAAGTTGCAGGTGAGAAAGTATGGTTTCACGTTTTCCAATATATCCTATGCCGATGTCGCGAGAGATGGCGCGCAGCGTCTCTGCTTTGAGGGAATCCCAGGGAAATTTGGCAGACTTGGACATCGTGGTTGCAGACAACGGACGACAACCTAAACAAGGTTTTGGTGTCAAATAATCGGTCAAATATCTTACGTCATGTTTGTTTGAGCCGGAACCCATGACTAAAACTGGTACGAGGTAGTTTTCTTACCTGACCTTTTGTTACCGTCTCCTGTCATCGCCCTGAGTGCGTCGTGCACGTATTCTGTGTATTCTGGCCAACGACGACGGTCCAGGAGCTTTTTGTCGAGGTGCATCAGAGACAGAATAGTGAGTAGTTGGTTGGCTGTGTACCGGCACCTCTCGCTGACCACGATTCTTAGCAGGCTAATGACTGCCCGCGACGTTGTGAACCGGTCCTTCGTCACCCTATGGAGCTCCTTCAAGGCAGCCGTGGGCCGCCTCGACAAATCTCTGTCGCCCAAAGACACCTTTACCCGTCTCCAAAAGCACGAATTCACGTTCACCGACAGCATCTATGTCGTCCATGTGATCCTTGCTGCGTTTTGGTTATTGTTCATTCCTAGCCTCATTCTCAAGTTTCTCATACCCATTGCCTTTGCTATCATGCTTTTGATACCCCTCACCTGCCAATTTTTCCTTCCCGCCATACCAATATTCACCTGGATCCTTACCTTTTTTGCGTCAACGTTTATTCCAAACGAGTGGAGGCCCAGCATTTCCGTTGTTCTTCTGCCCACTCTTGAGTCAGTTTTGTTCGGGGCGAATATTTCCGATATTCTGACACGATTTACTCATCCCGTGCTTGACATCATCGCCTGGATTCCGTACGGTGTCGGACACTTTTCCATTCCCTTCTTCGTTGCTGCATTCCTATGGCTTTTTAGAGCCAAGGAGGCCCTCCATTTCTGGTCAAGCGCGTTCGGGTACATGATGCTTGTCGGGGTCCTCATCCAGATCATCTTCCCTTGTGCCGCGCCTTGGTATGAGCTGATCTACGGCCTGACCCCAGCCAACTATGGTATGAAGGGATCCCCGGGTGGGCTCATCCGTATAGACCATATGTTCCATGGCAGCGGGTACACAATATCCTTCTCCAATGCGCCTGTCATCTTCGGCGCCTTTCCCTCTCTCCACGCCGGGGGCGCAACGATGGAAGCGTTGGTCGTTTCTCATTTCTTTCCCCAAACTACTCGTTTCGCCTGGGTCTATGCCGGCGTGCTGTATTGGGCTACCATGTATCTGACGCATCACTATCTCATTGATGTCGTAGTCGGCGCCTGCCTCGCCACCGTCACCTTCTACCTCTTTCTCCCTGACAATCTCAAAGGTTCAGGAGCGATCGCTGGCCCAGGAGAACTCACAACTTATGGACAGAGGTCCAAATACGATATATATGATCTCGAGGCACCGCGGAGAACGGCAGCAGGGGATGTCATGGCAGACGCAGCGGCAGATTTTGATCTCAGTGAGAGCTCACATGCTTCGGACGATGAGGAGATGGACATCACGTATCGATCGCCGCTCCCCGGGGCTACACCCACGAGTGGAGCTCCTTTTATTATAAATTACGGCGCTGGGACGATCGAGGTGGGCCGAAAGAAGGGCCATCGGCATACAGCTAGTATTGCTAGTCTTATAAGAGGCAACGAGAGAGGTGGGGAGGATGGCTGGAGTTCAATAGGTGGCAATGGCTTTGTGATCCCACCTATACCAACGCGCGGGGCGAGGGACTAGATTTCTGTGTTCTATATATCTCGTACGGAACTTTTTATACAGCTGAGGTAATGCCCAATGCACTTATTTATTTCCACTCTTCACTCTTCGCGCGCGATGTTACAGGGTTCTGACAGTCTGGTAATTTCTCGGGATAGTTCTCCAGGTGCCTCTGTTCTGAATCGCTGTTGTCTGTCTTCTCTGTACATGGAGGGTATAACGAATCAAAGTATGGTTCCTTGCTTACAGCTTCCAACATGCTTCCAACTAGTATTTCTTTTAGGAGATCGGTGTGCAGTATCGGTAAGTATATCGATTGATACCGTAACTGAGCTTGACGCCGTAAGGAATGTCGCGCTGTCTGCCTGGTAGCGTGTCAGTGGTAGAATAGGTCCTGATTTATGATGCCACCGTGAGGAAGCGTAACAACTGATATATAGTAAGTGCTTTATTGCGTAGAAGGATCGGCTTTTCAAGTTGAATGCTAGGCAGTTCGGCTCGTGGTGTATGTTGGGACTGTAAAGAAGGACTAGGTTTGTGCCTGCAGCAGCCGGCTTCGTCTCGTAAGCGGGCGGATGTAAGGAAGAAACAGCATTCCCCGTCTTGTCAACAAACGGCAAGTAGACTCGGATTCGGATTCATATCTAAACCATCATTGCTGCGGTCTCCTTCAACAACAATGCCTTCCCCGCTGCGAACACTAATTTTATCCTTCGAAAGCATTGGTGAGAAACTCGTTATTTTTCGTATATCCGCTCATCGTTCTTTTGGAAAGATTTTTGCGTGCCGAACGACGATGACGAGGACACGGCTGGCGGGCCTTCCTGAATTTCATATATTCGGTCGATCCTACGATAAGCTCGGCACAGTATTTAAACATACCCAGACTGGAATCTGAGTGCCAGGTAGAAGGGACCGAACGGTTTTCCAGGGCACTTTGACTTGACCGATTCATGTCATGGGGGGAATATGTGAGAATTGTTTAGTAATGCAGCAACTGGTCAAGATATATAGAAGAGGAGAGGTCGCACGTACTCTCTTACCAGCTACCATCATGGCTTTAAATCTCAGAAAGATTGGCGGCACCTTGACCAATCCCATCGGCTTTGGTGCTATGGGTCTCAGCGTTTTCTATGGGGCAGTAGACTCCGACGAGGAGCGTTTCAAGGCTAGCTAGCTCTCTTTCTACCCATACGAACGCTTGCTGACACCCAGTACAGATTCTGGATACTGCATATGAAAAAGGTTGCAGGCACTGGGACTCCGCCGACATTTACGGGGATTCTGAACTTCTCATTGGGAAATGGTATGCCAGCATTTACATTTGCAAAACGGACTGTGCGACCAACATGCACATACTCAGGTTCAAGCGGACGGGTAAACGAAACGAGATTTTCCTGACTTCCAAGTTCGGCATCACCGCTAATGGAGGTCGGGGCGATCCCGAATACGTTAAACAGCAATGTGCAAAATCCCTCGAACGTTTTGGGGTTGACTACATCGATCTGTACTATCAGCACCGGTATGTGATTCACTCAAATTGAGCTGCAGTCGCACCTCTTACCGTTGAATAGACCCGATCGTAACGTACCAATTGAAGTCGGTCCATTCTTTTCTTCCCGATAACCTCAATCTGACTATTCTTCAGCATACCGTCGCTGCGATGGCTGAGCTCGTTAAGTAAGTTCACAGTTTATAGATTGTTTCTTACTTGTACTGACGCCGAAATGCTCCGCCAGGGAGGGAAAAGTGAAGTATCTCGGCTTATCAGAGTGCACAGCCAAGGACCTTCGTCGAGCACATGCCATCTATCCAATCTCTGCCATTCAGGTCGAGTATTCTCCCCTCGCCCTCCATATCGAAGACCCGAAACTCGCGATCTTGCAAACAGCCAGAGAACTGGGTGTCACGGTCGTCGCATATTCTCCTTTGGCTAGGGGCGTCATCACTGGTCAATACAAGTCTCCCGACGACTTTGAAGAAGGAGATTTCCGTAGGACCATTCCCAAGTGGGTATCCTTGAGCTCGCCTGCTTGAGAGCGCAGCAGTGATGATGCGTTTACAGGTATTCCAAGGAGAACTTCCCGAAGATTCTTAATCTTGTTGATCATTTGAAGGCCATCGCATCAAAGCATAACGCGACTCCTGGTCAGGTCACCCTCGCTTGGATCCTTGCACAAGGTGACGATTTTGTCGTTATTCCTGGGACGAAGAAGATCAGGGTATTCGTGTCGTTATACCCCGTTGTCTTACACTGACTTGTTCCCTAGTATCTGGAAGAAAACCTGGGTGCGGCTAAGGTTAAGCTTAGCCAAGAAGAGGTTGTTGCTATTCGTAAACTCGCGGAGGAAAGCGATGTTCCTGGAGAAAGGTATTCAGAAGCCGGGATGGCAACTGTATTGAAGGCGACACCCGAGTTATCCAAGTAGCTTTAATCCGACGGAGGGCCGTTCACGAGACTAACGTTCATACCAATATATGTTTTCATTCAAGGGCAAAGACGCTTCTGGACCACTGGACTCCTCGGTCTGAATCTGCACTTGGATCTCATTATTAGGTGATCAAACGCCATTAAATATTAGCATTTATTGACGAGATCGGAGGCATGATCAAGCATGTGCTCCGAGTTGTGGTACATATAAGTATTTACGAACATCTAAAAACAATGGGATAAAATCCTCACAAGCTGATTATCATTATCTGCCCCAGAGCTGTGCCAGTGATGATGCATAAACGTATCCTGTGACCGGTAAACGCTATATCCTCATCGCCCTCAATGATATCAAAGTGGATGATGAAATGCTATGCTATGATAGAGGCTGTTCATTCGCAAAGCCCAACTTCGGGCTATTAGATCTGATGGTGGTGGTTCTCCAATTCAGCGGACCGGCGCTTTGCTGAAATGCTGGTGGGGATTTGCGTCACGGGGAAAACACGAGATACAAATTGATGGAGATGGAGATGAAGTTGCCACTCTCTGATAGGCGCTGGTCGTGGAGTGCCTTGGAGTACGTGCAGGTGCAAACCTGATATAAGGCTGTACGACGTAGAGTGCTCGTCTACGTCACTGCCACTTTTCATCTCTTTTCCTTAACCATCACTCCTTAGAGAATGCCCTCTGGTGTGGTGAAGAGCTTGGTGAGTGATGACAGAAAGTTTACCGTTCTACTCACGTTTCTATTGACTATCACTGCAGAATGTCAGTCACGGTTCCAAACTACTTTCCCAAATTTCTGCAGGATTTCTGGACATTGAACATGTGCGCCCACGTGTTCGCTTCCTTGAATCTCTAGTAACTTCTTGACAGTGATCATGGCTCAGTGCCTATGCACCGATACGATGTATATGCGAATGAACTCTCCGAGGTACATTCGCGTGGTATCGAGTCCGGCGTATCTATATTTCAAGACCTAATTCAGGAAGAATTATATACTGGGACTCAGCGAGCGCTTTCGGAGGCAGAGGCGTGTTTCTCCAAGCTGCAATATCGAGCTGAAGAAATCCTCTGCGAAATTATCCGTGCCATCCGCCTCCCTGAACCCAAAGGTGCCTACTCGAGACGATCTATTCCTCTTGACCCCTTGAAGTCTTGTCTCCTTATCAAATATCTCGTCTTCCTTCGCTTCAGGAACAGTCCCCAGTACTCTGAAATTGTGCATCAAATTCTATACGGCTCTGGAACAAAAGATAACCTGGATGTTGCACCGTACGGGTATCTATTCACCCAGGTGCGACGCAGAACCTTCTTCAAGTCCATTGCCAGATTTCTTGGTTCCGACTCCAACATCAAGTCCACGGCTTGGGTAGCCGATGAGACGCCTATCAGTCAAGACGTTATCAAAAACGCTATTGACACGTATTGCTGGGATGTTGCTGAGGAATCTCAGATCTTTGTAGGTGTCGCAGCTGACGAGAATGTCGAATTTCTATTGCCAGACGCGTGCTATGGCACACTGGATGAGAGTTTTGGACTCGGTGCTGGGGAGAAAAACGCGTAAGATCAGCTCGTGATTGGTATTGATATTCTTATTGATTTGGCAGTAGCCTGTGGGATTTCTTCTTCCCGATCCTTCCTTCTGTTGCTTTATACCTTCTCGGCAAGAGTGCCAAATCCACTCATCAACGTGCTACCGCAATCGCTCTTGACATCGAGGCCGAGATCGATGTTCACCTCCGCAATGCTATGATCCTCTCTGCGGTGCCCCGTATGAACCAGTCATCATCATCACCAAAGCTGTACTTTTCTTCCCTCTCTTCCATCACGCGTTCAATTTCGTCGTATGACGAATTCCGATGCAGATGGATTCCTGAACTCTTCGTGGACTACAGTCGGCTGAAGCAGCGATGCCGGCAAAAGTTTCTGCAAGAGAATGTAACGAAGATGCTTGTGGTCAGGGGCGACGTTGCTGTCACTGACCTGACAGATGACGTGACGATGATAGGCAAAGATGCGGTAGCATGTGGGGCTTTCAGCGATGTATGGAAGGGAAAGTGGTGGGATCGAGTGGAGAGGAAGGAAAGGACGGTGGCCGTCAAGTTTTTACGGCGAGTGATGGTGCAGGACGTCAAGGAGAAACTCTTGAAGAGACTGCAAGCAGAAGTGGTGACTTGGCATCATCTATGCCATAGGAATGTATCCCAGTTATACGGGATTGTGCAGACCGAGATGAGCGTGGGGATGGTTTCGGCGTGGTGCGAGCATGGGACTATCAAGCATTATCTGAAGAGCGTGAATCCAGGGGCAATTCGGATGAAACTGGTAGGTACTTTCTTCAGCTCTTCTTGTTATAGATTTCTGTTGACCACTGGATGTAGATGAGCCAAGTCGCATCCGGCGTAACCTATCTTCATGATTTCAAGCCTCCCATTGTTCACGGTGATCTGAAAGGGGTAGGTTACTCGGGTTGTCTTTATTCTCTCAAACGTCTCTTTCCCTCAATGACAGGGGAATATCTTGATTGACTGCCAAGGCTACGCTATCATAACTGACTTCGGTCTGAGCAAGGTTATGTCAGACTTCTCGACATCAGCTGGGATAGCATGTTCTTCGTTCTTTGCTGGGACAATGCGGTGGATGGCACCGGAGATGATTCTGGCCCTTGTTGAGGACGAGTCAGAGGCGAAGGTGCTGCGGGTCACCACGGCGACTGATGTGTATGCTTTCGGCTCGGTCTGTCTAGAGGTTTGTTTCATGTCTTCCATTTTTATTTCAAAACTTACCGACGTGTGCGTCGCGCCGGACAGATTATGACCGGCGCTCTGCCCTACCCATGTCGGAAGCATGACCCTGGAGTAATGATTGATATAATGAGAGGGATCAAGCCTTCCAGGGGCGCATCAATGCCTGATTCCGAGTCGTTTAATATGTTGTTGGATGCTTGCTGGAGACAAGAACCTGCGTTGAGGCCCAAGATGGGCGAGGTGTTAGAATGCTTGAGAAGGCTGGAGGCTGGAATAGGTTCGTGATTTGATTATACCCATTTTTATTCATTCTTTACGGAGCAGCTGCAGATTCTATCATCGTCTGATATCTTTCAGTGGCCATTTTACCCTGCCTGCGTATCCGTAGAGAAAGCCGTCCGAATTTGACTATGTCATCTTTTCGTCTATGAAATCCTTGTCAGTTTCACCTTTCCTCGGCTCACAATTGATAAGTCTTCCTACGACAAATAACAGACGTTGAAGAGCACTAAGCATAACCCTAGTACACTCTCTGGACGAGAACGTAGACTGGGCAATTATTCATGCTGATGGTTGAACAGCACCTGTTTCTTTTTGTTACGCTCGACGCTGCTAGGAGTTGGCGAGGCATGTTTGGAAAAGAAGGATTTATTTGTCATTTGGTTATACAGTACTAACCTTGCTCGTGCGACGATATGGCTACAGGATGTTACGCCTATGCAGAGACCACGCGACCGTATTTGTGGTCACGAGACAACTCTCCTGTTCTCCTATTATTAGAGGATCGAGGTACTCTCTACTTCGTCTTACTCGAGCAGAGAATCTGATCTTTGTAGATGTTTTTGCTTCACTAGGTTACCTCAAGAGCTAGTGGATTCTATTCTTGATTTCTTAATCGACGACCCTCAGTCCCTCAAGGCCTCCTCCCTTGTATGTAGTTCCTGTGGGACTACCACTCTGATATCGACAGCGCCGTCGACCAACGCCTGCTCGAATGGTGGATCGGGAATTTCAGACAGTGCGACGAGATTGAACGTATCACCTTTTGTATCACGCTTGGTATTCATATAGGCGATTACGCTGTGTGGAAGGGCTTGGACAATCTTTTGCCCGAGCGTAGATTCCCTGATTTGATGGCGCTGGTCGTACAGGTGAGTACGATGTGGACGGCGACGGATGTAGTATCAGTGAAGCGAGCCATCGAAAGCCAGTTCACTGATGCTCGAGTTGATGTGGTGGTTTCGGGTCGAGAAGGAGCTGGTAGCCTTCCCGGCGACATAGAACGGACATTCTGTCGCTGAAATTGAGAACAAAATTCTCGCAAGTGAATGCGACATGTACCGGTCTTGGCTGCACCATTCGCCTTGTGTCAGGCCTTGCATGAGCATGCGCTAGTCATGACAACTCCATCGAAATCACCCGGTGCCGTTACGGACGCGAGTTCATTGGTGTTCGTGAGCACGATCTCGAGCACTGAAATCGAGAAAGGCGTGGAGTTTGCTGCAGTAAAGATGGCTTCATACCGGTCCTGGCCACTCTCGGAGGACGGCGTAGGTTCGCGAAGGAGGAGAACGTTGGCCCTGGACGTCATCGTGGTCAGCGACACAAAGGGTAATGTGACCCTTGAACATCGACCATCACCTAGAACATCGCCCACTTTCTGCCCCAATACCAAGCACGATTCCGACACTGAAGATGAGGACTGTCTTCTACTGTCTGGCTATGCTGGTATCCACGGTGGTAAGAGTCTGCTCACCATGCGGCAGTAGCCTGATTCCTCAGACGAAAGAACAAAATGCTAAATGTCAGCGGACGAGCTCTCCAACGTCTGCATTCGCTGAGGACAACGATACAGCCGCATACATTGAAGATTGCCAGCTGCCTCCATTTGAGGTTTCAATTTCTGCGGAGGATAATTCAAGATATGGTGAGGTTGTCATGTACGCCCACTATCTATGGTTCTACTGTGCTTCACACTGCCATAGTGAAGTTCCGTTCTTCAGCAATAATATCCTCGGAGAACGTACGCAAATTTTTCATGTTTAATGGTGATGGGATCTTTTTCAGATTTAAATGGAGTTTTTCAAGGCGGTGAAGGTTACGGAGTCCTTGTTGTAAAGGTAGCTACAGCCATTGACATAAGTAAAATGTATATTAGAAACCGTATGGCTTACCACAAAATCTAAGCGTTTCTCAGCTGAATCATAACTGTAACTCCAATTCTCTCAAAGAGCACAGATTTTACATGTATCATCGATCAACAAGCCAGAAGATGCACTCCAGAGCTTCTTCGTCGATAGTGTCAAGCCTTGCCATCAGTGCTCAGTGAAGGTGGAAGAGGAGGCAAGTTGATGTTGCGATAATGATGCTTAAGACATTGAAAAGAAAATATGTCCGACCTTTCCAGTCTCCGTTTCATGGAACTCAAAAAAAACCAGATATTGAATAAAATCAATGCATGATTTAGAGTTGTGGCATAGGATGTTGCATATAACTTAAAGCAAAGGAAAAATCCTCGACAACCTATTCCAAGACGTAACCAGTTTCTGAACAAACCGCCGGAAGAACCCTCGTCTCTTCTGCAAACCAGCGCCGTCAGCCAAATCAGCCGGCTGAATATCATTCTCGTCATCCTTGACTACTAATGCTATGTCCACCTCGCCAATACCTTCGCCTTCCTCCATGTCCGGCACCTCACTGACATCGCCGTGAACTGGGTGAGTCTCTGGCGCTATAGGTCCATCACTGTCCACCAACGAAGCAATCGATCTGGAGGACATCACGGGATGGAAAGCCTGCAATGATGGCGGTACGGACATTATGCCACTCTCATCGCCTACGAATTGAGAGTTCATGACGGCTGGAGCGCTGACAGGCTTGTCAGCACCGACAAGATGGATTGCCCGAAGATCGAGCGCAAGAGAGTCATCACTCGTGACACCTGCTTTTATTGTACTGCGGGCGACTAGAAGAACATCAGTGTCATCGATACGCATCGCACCAATCTCGCTCAGAGGGGTGGAGCCTAGCGATGAGATGGAGCGTTGGAGAACAGGAGAATTGTGAGACGAGGAATCGGAAGGAGGTTCGTCGGAGAAGAATGTCTCGAGTTCAGTAATTTCACGTTGAAGATCAGCCAAGGAAATATGACTGCGAGGTTCCAGACGGAAGATCTTCTTAAGGATGGTACAGGCGCCTGGAGATATACCTAGCAAGAAGCGTCTTAGGTGATCTCCATCCTGAAGAGATGGGTTGAAGGAATAGTCTGTCGTCACCGCCATCGCCCAAGGAGCACACCTAGTGACCATCGTTGTGAGAACGACACCGAGAGACCAGATATCATTTGTCCGAGTAGAGTATCTTCTGTCGGGCATCTAACCGAACTCTTTCCCTATACATTCTGGTAAAAGTCAGCCAGGATGGGCGCATATATGAACAAAAAGACACACCAGGACTCATGCACTCCATGCTCCCGCACTCATGGAAAGTCGGGGTCTCGTTCTGTGTCGACATACCAAAGTCGGTGAGATAAATCCCTGAATCATCCTCTGAACAAGGAATATTCTCTGGCTTGATATCACGATGGTACACGCTGTTTTCGTTACAGAATACGACAGCATTGATGAGCTGGAAAAAGACGTTTCGCACCCTGTCATCTCGCAGGTAGAAGGATTTCTGGAGAATCCTGTCAAAGAGATTGCCTCCTAATAGAGGGACAATGTAAGTATTCACTATGAATGAGTGTAAGTAATAGTTGTGGATATTGTGATAGTATATACATACCTCAGTCGGGCACGGCGATGGTAGAACGACTGAGGTATGTGGGTAACTACGGGTGAAGTATATAAGTAATCGTAAGGACAGGAGGTTGATATAAAAGGTAAACGATCGAAAGTGAAACATACTGGTATAAGGCACGGATATCTTCTAACACCTCCTTCACAGAGGAGGCACATGTTTTTTCATGGCTCCAGAGAAACAAGCATCCAAGGCTGCCAGGTCTTTGAATATGGCCCCTCAAGTCAAAGGAGACATTTTGGTTCCACAGAATATGAGATGAAGTGATACAAGATTTTTCCACAGTGACTCAATCAATCCATGTCTCATAGCACCACAAGGCTCATGAAGATGTCTAAGAGATGGACAATCTACATGAAACGAATTTCCCACCACTGGTTTCTCAGCAGATGATGACCTCTGTGAATAGATGAGTGAGCATAATGAGAAATCAGGCAAACAGTGCATACATTGTGTGGATTTGACAGCAGTGAAGTAAGAAAATGAGCCAAAAAGATTGCATATGAAGGTTCCAAGAACATTTATTGCCCACATGCAACAGCAAACAATTTCTATACAATATATAAGCAAGTCACCTCTCTGATGAATTGATGCCTACCTGTTGTGTGACTCCACATGCTTTCATACTCAAGCCTGCAATAATAGCATCATTCTGTCAATCAACAGGCTGCATCCATGCCTACAATCACTCTCAACAGCTCCTCTGGTGATGGTTTAGCAGGGACAGCATCCACATGAAGCTTCAGGGTCTCACACAAGAATGTCACAATGGCCCAATGATGGCAATCTTCACTAAATCCACATCAAACCATTTCTTCAGAAAAGATCAAATAGTATGAGAAGGCCAGCAGTTCAAAAAGCCAGCAATATTGAAACTTGTCTGCCATCATTGCTTATGCTCCTCCATCAATAGAAGAAGTGACTCCTATCTGAGATTAACCTTTTACATCCTTATACACCCCTCCAGTCAGAGCAGCAAGAGATATTCTCTAGGTAAAGAAAAAACAGGAAAAAGACCCAGAATATGCTTACTTTTACTATGTACCAACTAAGACTGGTTCTAAAATCCTAGTACTCAAAGTCATCTGATAGAATGCTCCTCCAGATATGCCAACCCAGCATTTTTGGGCTAAAAATTGAGAATGAGGCATGTAGCAATTGATGATGAAGGTAAGAAGTGAAGCCAGGTGGTGTTCAAAATCTGAAGAAAAAAGTGAAAGATATTTTAGATACATCACTCATTGTTATGGTTATGCTGGTCCAGGAAGAGTTGACTAATGGAATCTTTTCTGAGACAATGAAAATTGCTTGCATGGGCTTATGCTACTAGCATTTCTTGTCAAATCCCCTTCAAGTTGGTTGGTGCCAATATTATTCCTTTCTTGTCCCATTTTTTCACTCAAACTTGAAACCCCTAGGTGCTGATCATGTCTATGATTGTTCACCATTAAAACATGTCAATGGTCCAAGTAATAAAACCACCTTCATTTGTTCTTTCCTTCTGAGAACAGCCCCTCACAATAGCATATTGACTGTCCTATTCTCCTTCCCTCTTCATCTGCAGTCCTCCTCTTGCAATGAATGCACTCTCTTCTCAATCTGTTGGTGCCTTGCAGCTTTCTGCTATGACATTAGGAGATCCAGAATCTGCAGCAGTTGTCACTGGCAATAACTTTTCCAACCTCAGATGCTATGACCCATTCCCACAGCAAAATACTGGAATGACAATGGACTTGACACAGTTCAATTCCAGGATTGAAGTGTCAGCCTCATCCTCTTATTCACCATCAGGCTGGGCCAGCCAGTCTACATAAGGATACACATCCATCCTTGCTGATGTGGCATCAATGGAAAATCAAGATGCAGATGGTGGTTCCACTACCCTAACCTAATAATAGTTGCCATACATGAACCCTTTGGTGCACCCCTGTGTCCTTCTCTAATAGCTGCTTCTCCTTCCTGCAAGCTAAGCTCATGCCAGAAAGAATCCTTCTATGTATCCTCCTTTGATGGTCCTGTATTCACCATCCACAAAGCCTTTACAATCCCCAATTATGAACACAACAGTGACAGGAGCAGTCTTCTACATTTCCTCAAATCTGAGTCATGGGCATGCATGCATCTGGGCCAGCTAGTCTGTTTGGGGTGTGAGTGTAACATTGACTTCCACAATGTGGGAATCTGGATACACCATTGGAATTCATGCATGGGCATTGACAATGCAATCTTGAGCTCTGTTGTGGATGCTTGGGAAGATGAGGTTACAAGCCCAGTTCATCTGAGCTTTGGTATAAAGTGGACACCAAGGGAAATATAAAGGTGCTGGACATACCACTGTCTAAGAGGCAGATTGAATACTTGGACAAAGTTATGCCTTTCAATCCAGAGTTCTGTACAACAAATGCTACTCAGAGGGTAACACTTCTAGCTTTTCATTGTACAGTTTATACATACAAGTACAATCCAAATTCAATCTGAATTCAATTCCAGTGATCTCTCTAGCTGAATATGACACTGAAAGTGAATCAAAGTCAGAGATACCTTTCTTAGAGCCCTGTAAGAACCAAGTCATATTCAAGAAAGTCCATATGACCCCTAGGCACTTGCATGATTCTTGCTCCTAGCATCCAATGCAAAGCTCCAAGATCTTCTTCCTCTTCTTCTGGCACCAGTATAAGCCTCTCATCCTCCTTTGCAACATTTACCATAACTGGAGCCTTGACATCCTTTATGCTTCTCATCCATGCCTCTATATAAGGCTGAAGACAACAATCACTAATCATGCCCACCAACTTCTGCACTGTATAGGCCACCCACCCATCCCATTGATAGCAGAGCACAAGACATCAACAAAGCTATTCCTGCTCTTATCCTATGCCATTAAATCAAGTATCATCTTAATCATGGTAGCAATGAACTCCTTTCAGCAGTTGGGAAGCTCGGCAGCTGGGATTAGATGTATGAAAATAGAGGGAAAAGGTCACTGTTTCAAATCACGGTGCAAATTGTCAGGCTAAATCTTCAGATGTGCGTTATACTTGGACATATGCAGATGTCCCCTTGATGGCGAGAGTAGCATTAGGCAATTCAGTATGAATGGTAGGTGCCGTAGAACATAGTCATATTCCCTTTTGTTGAAGCAGCTTGCTTTTATCTTAGATATTGCGGTCTGAATAAAAATTGACATAAATATTGAATGCTAACTGGGTATACATTTGCGTGGCGAATTGGTGGGCTACCGAGGACCATGTTATGCATCATCAGCTTTGAATGTCCAGCACAACAGTATCTTCCAACTTACCTCGACATCAAAACATCCCCAAAAGCCCTGTCATATGAGCAAATGGTTGGTCTTTCATTGTATCAGGCATTCTGGGTATGCTAATGCTGGTATTTGCAGATGCAGAATCTTGAGCAGTGGACCGGGGCGTATGTGAAGGAGGAACACGGTTGCGAGAGAGAACTATTGACTATTAAATGTAACTGAGTACGTAGTATATATCTCTGTGTGAAGATGGTAGTTGAGCGCTATACTGTACCTACTGAATGTAAATGAATACGTAGTATATCTATAGGTATGGTTAGCAATAGAATCATAGTAGTAGAATATATCTATACGTACATCTCAGCGTGAAGATTGTAGTTGAACGCTGAGATGTTGCGATGAAAAAAAAAAAAGGCAAATAAGGTATGTACCCTAATTATAATCCGTGGCTTGCGGTCAACTCTCGCCATGCTCAACACAGAGTACGTGTAGGGTTCCTCTGTCTCCGGTTCACCCACTGGGTTTAAACTACTAAAAATTCATATTCTGTCGTAAAACTCGAAAGGCGGAATCAAGGGACACTTCTTCTTTCAGTCGCACATGCTGTATCTTCCTCATCATTCTCAAGTACACTCTTGTCAAGCCCTCAAACAAGATCACGATAACGGGGACATTATCTGTCAATCGTTTGTATGTCATTAGTTGAAGAAGTCGAACTCCCCTACGTTCAAAGTTGTAAAGTACTTCACTGGTGCAGGAAGCGGCACATAAAAGATCAAAATGTGACAGTTGTCTGTAGACAATAAAGTACCAACATCGTAAGAATGATAACGCACCTCCATTACACTTTCTTATCGATCACACATGCATTGAAGCCCAAATCGTAGTCATAATTAATTGTACATGGACTATAGTCACGTTACAGATTATATGGTTTCAATAACGCTCACTGGCAAGCAGTGGGAACGGCATAACCCTATAATTCAATCAACTATCCATCAGTAATATCCTTCACACAAGCAGAAAACGACTCACATTCGTTCTAAGTCCTCCGCCCCAAGGAGTCTTACCATCAACCCTCGAATCTACGCCAAGCCCGCGCTCCCCAAAGGCACTCCACAGCGTGCAAAAGTTCTCTCCCCCAGTAAGCTGTTCATCAGCTTGAATGATCGCATCACGAGCTTCGAAGAAGCCTGGTCGGCAGGGTTGGAGTTTCATCCCGTTGATGACGAGCCTAATCGCAGAAGCAGATAAGATCCACGAAGAGCGACGAGGAGAAGATAAACATACTGGACGATCAACGTGTTGCCATGCTTGGGCACCAAAGGCTTCTTGCCAGCACGCGGTCGGTAGAAGTTGCCCTCGGGAACGGTACCATCAGCCAAGGGGACAGGAGGGAATAAATCGTCGCTGAACCCGTGCACGGCGATGAGACGCTGTTCGACAACCCAGAGTATCTGAGCCCAGACTTCACCAATGGCATGGACACCCCAGTAGCCCGGCTTGTCCAGAGTCTGATAAGTCGATGGGTTGATGGTATCGTTCTACGAAAGTACATTAGGACGATGAAGATAAAGCGTGGCAAGTACAGCTTACAAGAGAGTAGGGGTAGTTCCTGATACCCTGTTCGCGGTTAGCAGCCCATGCACCCATAGGGAAGTCAGAGTATTTGCTCTTGCTTCGGATGGTGGTAGCCAAGAAGTCTGTATACCATGATCAGTAATGACGCGATGCAAGGGACAACAGCATTGTTTACCTCCCCAGCCCTCACCCATACCACCACTCTCACCCCAACCCAAACACGAGGAGCTCGCAGGTCCACCGGTCAACCTAGTGCTCAAACCATGACTCAACTCATGGATGACGATGCCCGCTTCCATATCACCGTCTCTGTAGGGCAAAGCAGTGTTCCACAAGTACATTCTCATGCGTCCGTTACGACCGTCAGGCGGTGTCATGAAATTGGCATTGTTATATCCAGAACCATCCTGGGCATTGGCAATAACGGCGTCGTTCTCCTCACCTCCACGACCAAAGTTGTACTGCTGGAAGTTGCCAGACACCTCATCAAATCCGTACCTGAAGACGCAAGTTAGCAAGAAGAAGCTAGAAGAGAGAGTATATGTACCTGTAGTAGAAGTCGTGTATGATGTTGGTAGTGTAGAACAGTTGAGTGATAGTAGCATTGATGTAACTATACGCCTCATCTTGCGCGTCTACTTTGTCGGTAACCTTGGGTGCGTATTTGTAGTCAAAGACTCTGTCGACACCCGAGTCGGGACGGTAGTTGTCGATGAATAAGTTTTGACCTTCCCAGTTCTCCTGTGCAAAGACCTACGGACCCCTCGATTATCGCAGTTCAGCTATATCAGATACCAACTTACGTTGTTACCCCAGGTTGTTGTGGTGTTCCTCCAGAACTGTTTGCTATTGAGTTTGACGCCTTTCAAAGACGGGTCGTTGGTATGAGGAATCGCGTGCCAACCCACGGGGGATGCCAAAATGTCGAAGTTCTCCTTCGCGATGATACGTTTACCTTCCTGAGGATCATTCGTACCCCAACCGAAGATGTTGTAAGTAGCCACGGAAGGTTCCGGAGTAGGGATAGGGGCATCCGACGCCCAGTCGACGACAGAGATGATACGGTGAGGGGAAGTAGCGGAAACGGCGGCATCATACCAGTTGTCTTGCATCTCAACTTCGAACTAAGGGCTATATAGGTTGCGATGACGAAGCAGAAGAATCGTTACTTACCCTCCAAACTAAGTTGAGGTCGGTACTGTCACCCTTCTTGTTGGGTACTTGAATGTAGGTCAAGCTCGACCTCACGGGGTTGACGGTGTCCGGAACGTTATCGATAGACATCACGACAGGTTCGTCGGGAGTAACAAAGTGATCTTCCCGAGAGACAGACATCTTTGCGAGATACTCGTCATAGTTAGCAAGGATGTCATTGACCATCTTGTCGTTAGGGGTTGCCGCCAGCATAAACTGGAGAAGAGCAGGTCGAACGTCAGCAAAGTCGACCTCAGGCGAAGAGGCCATATCGTAAGGAAGATGCGTAGCACGGCAATTGGATGCGTGTATATGCGCTAGGGGTCCAAAGAATGAGCGGAATTCAGGGTGAGACTCCCAAGAACCGAATTCTTCCATGACGGTCTGTCCGTGCTGTCCCAGGAACGAATGGAGACGACTCTTCATCTCAACCTCGAGTTCCTCGCAGTATTCTCGGTGGGGGTGACGAATCTCATCGAGGTCGGGATTAGAGAAGGCTTGAGGAATCGGTCCTTTGTAGAACTGAAAACAAGTTAGGGGGGAAAGCTTCATGGGCGAGAAAGCGCAAAACTTACCGAGTTACCATATGATATCACCAAACCACCCTTTATATTGATGTTCATATCTCCATCAACAACCTCTAAGCCATTGACAATCTGGCGAACGTAGATATGGGTAATGCCCGTGTTCTTGTCGGTATAGGAATCCTTCCGAATTCTATAAGAGCTGGTATCTGACAGCTGGTCGACCAGGATATCTTCTATAAAGAGCTTCGCGACCTCAAAAGGGTCCTCTATGAGAGCTAAAGGAAGGAAACCGTTTGTGGTAATCTGGTAAGGACTGGAGCGATACACGGCATGAGGATGAACAGGACCGAAGCCCAATGACTTCCGTTGCCGCGTTGGGCTCGTGCGACTCGAGTGGGCTACCGCTAGGGCGGCCAGCGATGCGATGACTAAACAACGCATTGAGAAAGAGGGGACAGAAAGTTGGATATCGTAGCAGGTCGCAGGAGGAGCAATATATAGGCGATGGTGGTGGTTGATGTTCAAAGAAGCTTGCGTACGCAACACTGCTGAAAGGGGCGAGATAAGGATTGTTGCCAGCACCGCCCGGATCTCCGGGTCTCGTGCCGATAATTAGTCATATCCTGTCTTGACAAGTCCTACCTGTTACTTGGGCACAAGTATCTGCATTAATGCTTATCTTTCAGACTGAAATTTACCTATTGACGGGTCGATGCTGCTGACCGGCCCTTCGGCCATACTTGTTCCGCCACCTCATTGAAACCTCGTTCTGATAAGGTTGCCCCAATATTTTGTTCATGTGGTCAAGAAAAACGTTGCCAGAGTCCGTGCCAGCCTCACCTTCGGTCAGAAGGGAGGCCTCGGAACTTGAGATGGCCCTTATGTCGAAGCAGGTGTAACGTGTATCCAAGTCCAGGCAACTTCGACAATGCTTTCGTTTCTATTTGCCGACGAGCTTCCGGTCATCTGCAGTACTAGAGCAAGGACGCAATTAACTTGGTTGTCCTTTCTCGGCTACACAGCATGAATTCCCCGAATCTGCAAACATTCCATATGGCATTGACATCGGGGATAGGCGCTTTGGCAGCCGTCCTCAGTGATATCACTGACACCGTGGAGATAGTCATGCGTTCCGGTATGAAGCTGCATGGGTCGGGACTCGGCTTCGTGAAAGCGGTTGCCTCGTCTTGGTCCCGTCCTCCGTCAATTACTTAACCTGATTTAAAAAGCTTCTGCATTCTCAAGCGCCCGCCGATTGCCACTGCTCGTCCATAGACTTCAGGATTCATTTCAGCTCCTCCAGCAGACGGGAGATGCCTGAAGTTTTTGCGTTTCGCACACGTTCATCGGGATTCGCTGGGTAAGAGACAAGAGTGATCCACTTGAGTATATTGGTTGTCGACGCGTCACTCTCACACAATATTCCTGTCACTGCCACTGTCAAGGGGGCATCGGGGTTGCTGGGGTGCACCTTTCAAGTCACGGTTATTCGTCTATTATCACAAAAACCTGAGACTTGCGCGATCACGAAGCTCGAAACAAGCATCATCCCCGGTTCATTCTCCCATCGAATATACGTTACGAAGAAGAAATTTGCTTCTCACCTAACCAGCAGTTGATGACAGTTCGAGTCACTGGTCACTGATCTTGGGTGTTTATCCAGAATCAAGGAAAATCAGTTATTCCTTCGGGCTTCCCTCAGTTACTCAATCTTGAGGGGACTCACTGTCGAAGTCCTTCGTGATAATTCTACCTTCTCAATGGTTTCACACATGGTTTCCAACTATTAGAATTCGTTTGTGTTGAGGATTATCCAATGGATGAGCTTGGCTGCCAACTGCAGAGGACGATTCAGTCAGCCAGACACATCCCGCAGCATTGAATGTCCGTATCAAGTTGAGAGGAGAGTCGACCTTGAACCAGGCGATCTATCCCATGTTGAAAGAATGCGATATTTCCTAGCGACGCAAGCTGCCTGACATTGAAGATATGGACAATCTGCCCTACCGGGCCTGTGCATGGCAGATGAGGACGGTAGGAGGCAAAACGTCATTTATACTTACGGGGATGAAATATCCGTTATATACATCGTCCTCTTTCGATCGACGAGGAAGCCCTGGAAACTGACCATCAGACTCATGCATATGTATCCCGGAAGCCGTACGAACCAATTGGGTCCTGCATGGGAGAGATCGGTTCGCATCAAACGAGGGGTCGAGAGAGACAAGCTTACCACTGCACGCCATCTGAGAGTTTCCTTGACCATTGCACGGACATACGGTAAATAGTCATAGTCGGCGAATGTGGGGAGTCGATCATATCGAGTTCTGCTTGGGCTCGATTCTGCACATCGGGATACAAGACCATGGCGAGCATCCACCAGGACATGGCCGCTGAGTTCGACTCAGCACCAGCTGCGCTGTCGAAGAATCGGGTGTTAAGGAAATCAGGAGGGGTCTGAAAAGATATACATGGTCCCCGCCAGCCAAGAGTTTTCGTGTTCAGTCAGCCCACGTCTTCCGGCGGCTTGAGCCAGAGTAGCCGCGAAGCTGGGACGCTCCTCGCCTTTGGCCTAACGGAAATGAATGTGTATCAGCTGCAACGACACGGGGATCGGGCACGTACTACTCGATCTTCGACGCTGTTGAAGAGACTTTCGAACATGGACGAATCTTTGGCGTACCAGCCCTCTACATCTCTTTTCCACTTTGCGTATCTAACAAATCAGCCATCAGCTCGTGTTCCCATGACGTCTTGGACAATCTTACTTGCTAGGGATACGCAGCATCCGGGGGAAAGACTCCACCTTTGGGATCGCAATGCATTAATCAGAGGTCGGGCTTAGTGGATGAGAGCAGAACTCACAAGGTGAGCACCGGGCATAGCAGCACGAGTTAATCATGTTGTAAAGTCATTGGTCTTTTTGATCGATGGGTCTTGTTCCGAAGTTGGAGGCCTATCATATACAATGGACATGATAGAAGATGCGACGGTGCGGTGAATGCGCGACACCTAACGTCCAGGGTCCGCCAACAAATCAGCTGTGAGGAGAACGGCTTCTGTGATTTGTATTAGATGGTACTGGTTCACGACCGCTTTGTTGAAGCCCTCGTGAGCTGCTTTGCGCATATGCCGCCATCTAAAGTACGATATCAAATACGTCTATTAGACAAGCAAGGCCAGAAACTTACGCATTTCCGTAGCGAGCGAACGCGACGAACATTCCTCCAGTCATTATATCTGAGGTGACGATGTTGCGAGGGCGATCGGAAATTTTTGCACGATCGAAGAGATCTGTTGCAACTTTGAGGGAGTGGATGACCACGAGAGGTTGTCCGGCTATATTGAAGTACATAGGTCGCCTAGGGCATAGTCTGAAACTAGGCATCATGTTCAGATGAAGAGGGCATACCGTATTTCTTGCCGAGCTCGGTGAATGTGAGCCATTGTTTCCCATGAAGCTGGAGAATATTGTCAATGAGAGGAAGACCTCTGTGTCCAGGTGGGAGCTTGCGCCAAGAGCTACGGATGCAACCAACGATGGTAAAAGTGACGACAGCAACGGCAGCAAGAAACCACAGAGACGATATGTATGTCATCGCGGCTCGAAGCAGACATAAACTGGAGGGTTCTTGATATGATAGACTAATTCATCATGCGGATCGAATTCCTGGTATGAGCACCTAATTTTCTTCTTGTCATCAGTTCCACAGTCCGGGGACCTCGAGTAATCGATTTCACAATACTTCTCGTTTTTCCTTTCGAGGGAGGAAATGTCAGGAAGGGTCAAGCACAAAGCTTTCATTACGCACGAAGAACCCAATCTCCAGTGAAGGTGAACTTAGTCGAAAACATATCTCGCAGGGCTATTTGGCGACGACGTGGGTGTACAGGTTCAAGATGGATGACGTACGGTATGGATGAATTTTTTACGTCGCGCGACTACTGAGCGCATAGTCTTTAGTGATGGCCCGTGTGCGTGAAATCTCCTCATGTAGGCGTGTGCCCGTTGAATAATATGAACTCTGGGTGATCATAACAAATAGGAGAAAGCCGCTGAAATCATCTTTTTTTTAAACTGGATATGGGCCGGCAGAGTTACGGACAAATAATTCTACGGCACACAGAAACCCCCGTTTCACATCTTCCGAGAAGTATCGTCGTTGCATGTCGTCTTTGTTTGACCCTCAATCTAGACGATGATAACTGATGAAGGGTCTCCTTTGTGTGACATTCTCAATCCAACAACGAAAGCGTAAACCCTGTAACCGGAAAGTCAAACATTCTTGCCTGCTATCATAGGTCAAAGAGTACTAGTGAGTGACTGGGAGGTGGTTATATAGTGGCTCACTATAGCCATGGATGTTTTCCGTCGCAGGCTGCCTGTGCTATTGCCGCGACTTCGGCAGCAGTAGATAGGAAATGGAAGGATAGAATTCCATGCCACTAATAGTAATTCTCCGGATAACGTCAGTTCTTACACCACCGGTGCCCGGGCACACGAGCCGGTTACATAATAAGTATCCCAAACTTTGATCGACGCGAAATTTTCGATCGTCTCCTCCATCCCCCCCTTCCATAATTCCCTTTCTCCCCCATTTTTGAGTTCTTTACAATGAAGATGGTATTTCTCGAGCATTCTGTGTGGCGAAATGGCCGAGTGGTCTAAGGCGCCAGACTAAGGAGGGAGGAGGGCGTGAGTGGTTCCTTTCCATCAACTCGATTATTGAGTACCGAATTATCTGGTCTTTCGGGGCGTGGGTTCGAGTCCCACTTTCGTCAGTACTTTTGCACCACTACGGTACTTAAGGATTGTATTTCACCCATCCCGGTCCCACACTGCGCAGTCCTGCCAAGTGGTCCTTGCGGCCGTATTTGCCATAATTCAGGCTTCTCAATTACCCAACAATTCGTGAACGCATTTTCACATTTATGTCTACCCATAGGCTTCTTTTTCTACCCAGAACTTATGCCCAAATCTTATTTATTCAGGTAGGCTGCCGCATATCCATTGAGCTCTACTATCAAGCTGGTGCAACTCAGTCTGCCAACATAACAACAACTCCCCGGATAATTTTGTTTATCACGAACATCAAATATAAGCATGCTTATGTGTGTTTTCTTCAGTTGTGCATGAGCACCCTCTCCAGCCAGACGTTGAAGTAAATATAGCCTCTTTCTCCAGTACTGTTCAGTCATTTTCTCATTTACTGTCATTAATTTGAAAGTGCTTTCATCTCAAGTCCATCAGCTCGGGGGTACCATTCGCGCCTCAGGATTCGGGAGACTCTGCCAGTAACAACATACACTTCTATCCTCAAAGGATTACGCCACATGACTAAAACCGGGACCGACGGGATGTCAGCTCACTCAGATGGTGTATTGTCAAACATCTACATCTGCATCTACCTATGGTCGGAGCGGAAGTACACGAAAGTCTACAACACTGTGTCGACATCATCCAGAAGCTCGTAGCTCATACATTATTGTCGGAGAATCCTTATTAAGATGAGCTATAGATGCTTGCCCTTTCCTAGGTCTTAAGTTCATTATTTTGTCACCTGATTTACCCAAGGTGCGCGAGGAAGTTTTATCACGGCGCTGTGAAATCCGTCACCCATTCTGGATACTGAAGCTCTCAGACCAGGGAAATTTTGAGCCGAAGATACCCTCTACAGGACATTTATAATCGCATCGATTATAATTTCGATCTGGATAAGTACATGAAAATTTGGCATAGATGGGCCATTCAAGCAGCCGCTGTACCATTACAATCTACCGGATATTAACTCTTCGGCCTGAGCGGAGCGTGTCTTGATGGTACATTTGAAAGGTAAAGGGAAGCTGCGAGAATTTCAGAATAACTTAGATACAATGAATCTTGAGAGCCTACCTAATGAAGGCATCGGTAAAGACATCACTAGGTTCGATGACTTGACCGGCAGGGCCGACAGCCTTGGAGAATGTGAGAGTTGATAAGATAGACGCTATGGCAATCCAAGCGCTGTTCACTGCAAGATAACGACCAAGACAGATGCTGTGAAATCACAGTATACATCAAAAAGTGAATAGGACATGAATAGCCTATGCACCGTCTTCCAAAACCGAACGTAGTTGTGGGTTCGGGTGGGAGTTCCTTTCCATCTTCTGGCATAAAACGGTCAGGATTAAACGCCAATGGGTCTGGATAGTCTTTTTCGTCATGAAGAATGGTCCTACATTAAGCGCCAATAATGTTCGACTTGATAATTGAGGTCTACATTTAAACTGACCAAACGTTCCCAATAACAGTGGTACCTTTGAACGGAATGAAGATCTACTGGTTGAAATCACGACTCAAAACATACCAGCAGGGATATAGTAGCCTCTATATATGTCTTCTTTTAACGCCGCGTGGGCCACGCCTGAAGGAGAGCAGTGTGGTCTGAGGTCCAACGAGTGGCTATAGTCACCGTGTAATACATACCTAGAGGAACAATGGGATTCCACTGCAATGCTTCTGACACAATCGTCTCAATATATGACGGCTGTGGGCGATCATCGAAGCTCGGTAGCCAGGCTTAGCCTACCACTATATCCAGCTTGGCCTGAGCCTTTGCTTGCACCCCGAGATAAAGTACGAAGGCAAGCATTGCCGCCAGGACAGTTGACACCGTCTGCGAGATAGAGGCATTTAGACTAACGTTAGCATTGCGTAAACTGGAAGCCTTACAGTATCAGCGCCCGCTACGATAAGTAGTGCGACTGCTAGATTCCACGATGTGCCAAACAATATAATTAAGATACGAACCAGCGAAGGCCACTCCAGCTGCGTTTTTGAGGATTTCAAGGTCGGTCTCGGAGTTGAAGATCCCAGCCTCTTTCATCTTTTCCAAACTCTCAGAGACGAATGACGTAGATGTAATGCCGTTGGCCTTATACCACCGTGAGCCATCACTTCATCTTGATTATCATAAAGCAGAGACTTACAAGCTGTTCTGACGTAAGTTTAAACAGCATTTCTTTCACATCATTGACACACGCAGTCCAGTCCTCCGCAAGCTTCATAAATTGGGTTCCAGGAAACCAGCTTCGAGAAACATCATGATATCAGAAGCACAAAGAGTGAGAGGCCTTACGCGGAAGGTATTTCAAGCTCGGGATGTAGTCAACCAGAAATGATCCTACATTTGCGGCGCGGCGAACACTTTCCATACCACGATCCCCCAGATCCACAAATGGGTCACCGCTTGGGTCGATATCGTATCCATATACGGTTTTGATGATGATTGAACCTGAGTGGCTGGAAAAGTGCACCATTATTATGAAAAACAACCCAACTAAATACGCCCAGTTCACTGGCGAACGTGGTGTTCAAAGTCATTGGGAGATTTGAGAAGCTGCTGGAGCATGACAGACGTCGCCTTTTGCCCAGGATAGTAAGCCGGAACCGCACGAGGTTGAAAGTATTGATGGAACACTCGGCGATGTGCTCTACGAAGATTAAGAAAGGAAACATCAACATCGTTCCAAGTCATAGAATGTTAATGGACCTCCACAAATCAGAGTACCTCATGAAGGCAAAGAGATACTCCCAACCCGATAATTTCAACATAGTAAAATCTGAGGTTTAGACTCTGTCAGGATTCGTCCGTGGGTATCGCAAAAAGGTGATCATATCTGGTCGGTCAGAGTAGTTGCTAGAGCGTCTTTCGAATAAATCCGTTGCCGCTTGGGCTGAGTTAACGATGATGGTTGGACTTGCGGGAGTATCCAGATATATGACGTCGCCGTATGTAGCGCGTCATTGAGCATAGGAGAGCCATGAGTACTTGGGAAGGAAGTCCAAGAGGTTGCCTAAAAGTGGCAGTCCTTTTGAGCCAGGAGGCAGCGGTGGACGTCTACGGGAAAGTGAGCTGCACGAGTGGAGAAAATGTAACAAGACGGTAAGAGCAAGAACCGCTAGAGTGACAGTCGATCCCGTAGTGATGCTTCAGACAGTGGAGTACAGCATCCCACTTCTTAAATAGTCGAGGCTTACTCTGAGAAACGGGAGCCGGAAGCTTATCATGAGGCTATATTTGCCCGGAAGACGCTCCGTGGAATCATGGCAGGTTTACAGGAGGGGAGCGTTTATGAGGTTCGCATAACAATACTAGTAGTCAGCAACCGATAATATTCTTGGTAGGATCCCCTTACGTATTCATTCATTTCGGCGAGGACTTTGTAGTATATGAAAGCCTATATACTTTGTCATTAGCCCTCGTGAATCATGTCATCTTTGTCAAAGGGATAATCTCACTTCACTTGAATAGGGCGTTGTGTTTCTAAGAGGCGGAAGAGGCGCAGAAGCGGGAAGCCATGGCTGCAGGATATTCCATTGGTTCCCATGAGAAGTAGGTACTTTGTGTTGGCGGCAATACCCAGCGAACAAGGCGTACCTGATGCGGAAGCATTACAATTTTTTTTCTGCTGCGATATGGCTCATTACCCGACTCCGACATGGGCTTGTTCTACATTACAGCTTCAACTGCATCCCCCAAACCTGCCAGACATCGCCAATACAGAACGAGTCCTGAAAGCCGTACGTACCGCAAACCGTCAAAGGTCGGATATCACCTTTCACTTATATTTATAACACCTACCGTCTTCTGAAATGAGGGCAGTCGTGGAATCAGAGTAGAACATTTTTCCATTCTGTTGCATGAAGCTGCCAGGTGTCACCGCCATATGAGTCGGGTAGTAGTCCTTTTCGTCCCGCAGAATTGTCCTGCATCCACTGCTAGTTAGACTTCTTAATATCCTACATTCATTCCGACCAAGAGGTCCCATAACAATCGCACCTAAGGGTAAATTGAGAAGAAGCATGAAGACTGGAACGAAAAAACCCGTCTCTCTCTCACGCTACGATAAGCGATACCCAACCACCATGCATATAGTTAGCAGACCTAATATTCATGAGCAAAACGGCATCTGACCTTCCACCGCTTCCGGCTGAATCGCGATGCAGGGCGAATGACAATGTGGTCATGTGAATAGTTGTCGAAAGATGAGAGCTGAGCTTGACCAACTGCATTGAGTAGTGCCACCTGAGCCTTCGTCTTCATCTCAGGAAGAGAAGCTAGAGTCGCCGAAAGAACGGTCTGCATAATGAAAAGCACGAGACCGACACTCAAGGGACACCTTTGAAGCGTTATCGTATCGGCACTAGCTCCACAGCCCTAACATAACGCAATACACCATACAGGTGAATCCAGCCGCGCACTTGATGACATTAGAAGATACCTTTTCTCTGTTGACATCCTTTAAGAATGTCATCGTAAGAGAGAATCGGAACAGGCGGACCGTATGGGCCGTGGCAATGTCGTATTCATTCGATACCAAGACTCTTCTATACTATTGCTCCCCAAGTTAGTCCAGCTTCGCCAACATTTCCTCGCCAATGTCCATGCCGCTGCTCTGGGTCTTTCTAGAGCATGCGATTTCCTAGATGGTGATGATTGTTTGGTATGCATATTACAATTATCTATGCTGGAGCCTCGATTAGTACAATACGTATTGGTGATATTCAGAGCGGCCCCGTTGTATGTCCCACACCAAGTCCTCTGGTATTCGTAGGTCTAATCGTAATAGTACATAAATCTATTGGCACTGTGCTCTTATAACATCCTAACTGGTGATATTCTCCACTCTGCTTGGTGGAAGAAGCGGCTTGAAGAGGAGAAGGAACAACTTGAAGAAGAGGAGCAGAGGCATGAGGCATGCACGCGCGCACTCGAGGGGCCGGAACTAGTTCGAGGAATAGAAGCTGGGGTGGTCAAGCGCACTGAGTCCGACTCGGAGTAGAGGATAAAAAAATATGATCTGTTTTATCTGTGGCTTGGATATGTGCTCATGGCGAACTGAATAGCCTTGGGGGCTGGCATATGAGTCCTGTTTTATACTGGTTGGTAAAGTGATTAGTGCGCCTTGATAATGCATTTGAAAGGTGAGAGAAAGCTGCGGGAAACTCAGAATGACAAGATACGACGAAAATCTCCTGCATTGGTAAAGATATCACTAAGTTCGATGACTTTACCGTCAGAGTCATTGGTCTTGGAGAACGTGAGAACTAATAACGTGGACGCGAAGACAATCCAAGCGTTGCTCACTGAGAGATGACGACCAGGACAGATGCTGCGGAAATATATTATACATTAACAAGTAAATGGGACATAAATGCCCAACATACCTTTTTCGAAACGCAGCTATGGATTCGGGCAGGAGTTCCTTTCCGCCCTCTGGTATAAACTTGTCAGGATTGGATACCAATGAGTCTGGATGGTTTTTTCGAATAGTCCTACATTGAGTGTCCAAATGTTCAACCAGTGGAAGTGTACATTTACACTCGCCAAACGTTCCCAGTCACAGTGGCGCCTTTGATCTGGATAAGGATTTACTGCCAAAAATACAAGCAGTCCCGCACTGGTAAGAGTAGACTAAGAAGCAGTACGGAAAAATTTGAATAGAACATATCCTCCCTCACACGCCACGATAAGCGATACCTACCGAAGATACGGGCATATAGTTAACACACCTAGTATTAGTGGGAAAAACAACATCCAATCTCCAACGGTTCCGACAGAAATCACATCGATGTAAGATGTGTTCGTGTGAATGACGGTTGTCGAACAGATGGGAACTGAACTTGAGCAACCACCCTGTCTAGTGCCACCTGAGTCTTGGCTAACAGCTCAAGATAGAGAAAGGAAATTGTAATTGTAATGAAAACCATGAGACAGACATTCAAGGACAACTCTGAAGAGTTACCGTTTCAGTGCCTGCTCAAAACTCATCAGACTTCGACACCAGCGACCAATAAAGGCCAGGCCCCCAGTAAAGGCTAAATCAGGTATGGTCTCCGGAATATATCCGGGCCGTGGACATGCTAATTTGTTTCGTTGAATTGGAATTGTTGGAAGAGTTACAACTGGATGCTAACTGTGCCGAGATGACAAGCACCTGAAGAACTTCCTGTATATGTTAACGGTAAAGCAGTCGAATAATCTGTCCTCTTGTGTTGTCGGAAACAGTGCATGACGACCGCAATATCTGTGGTGGACTGTAGAAATCTGGAGTGAATTTAATGTTATCTGGAACAGAGAATGAGGACTTACCGGTAGCAATGATAGGTAGCCAACACCAATAGACTTACTTAGACACAAGTATCCCTTAGTCTCCTCTAGGCAGACTCTTAATCTTGACACAGGCAGTCGAGCGTTACATAGACAAATGCACCAAGTTCGAGAGAGGGTGGAGGCACAACCTATCTTTTCGGGACTCCGTCAGTTTGTGCAGTGATCGTGCAACGGAAAAAGACGGGTAAAAATACGGGAATAGCCGCTGCTGCCGGCACCGGGGTCCACCAATCACAGCTGGCCCTTTTGCTCTTATTCTAGATCCTTGCGCATCGTCGTCGACGTTGTCGAGATGCTTAACCTTCATAGTAAGGCTGCTCATGTTGCGCGCGACATGAAGCGCCTGGCCGCGGGCATGGCCACCGTGGCGCCACGAATTGGTGACACCAAGGTGCCTATGTCGTTGCTCGAAAAGGGCGCATATATCAACTACCAGCGCATCGAAGATAACTTGGCCATTGTACGCGAAAGGTGCCTTTTTTTTCTCTTCTTGGTACAGGTACTGGCTAACCTCAGTGTCGTAGGCTTGGACGACCACTGACGTTGTCGGAGAAAATCTTATATGGTCATTTGGACGACCCCCATGGTCAGGATATTGAGAGGGGCGTGAGCTACCTCAAGCTGAGGCCTGATGTACGTCGCTTTTGTGTCATTATGAGCTGCATACTGATGTTCTCTCCAGCGTGTCGCCTGCCAGGATGCCACGGCGCAGGTGAGCCTTCCGTTGTCCTGTCGGAAAAGAACGTCTTCACGAGTTTTTTTCTTTTCTAGATGGCACTTCTACAATTTATGTCTGCTGGGATGGACACAGCTGCAGTTCCTACCACCGTTCACTGTGACCATCTCATTGAGGCCCAGGTTGGCGGTGTCAAGGATCTTGCTCGTGCAATCAACATTAACAAGGAAGTGTACGATTTTTTGGCGACCGCTACTGCCAAGGTACCTCTCTTCGCATGTCTCTTTAACCCGTATCTCACTGGAATGCACAGTACGGTCTCGGTTTCTGGAAACCCGGCTCTGGTATCATCCATCAAATCATTCTGGAAAACTACGCTTTCCCTGGTGGATTGATGATTGGCACTGATTCGCATACACCCAATGCTGGTGGTCTTGGTATGATTGCCTGCGGTGTTGGGGGTGCTGACGCGGTCGACGTTATGGCTGGCATTCCGTGGGAGTTGAAGTGTCCCAAGGTCATCGGTGTGAACCTCACAGGAAAGATCGGCGGATGGACAACACCCAAGGGTACGTTTTGCAGTTTATTTTTACCATATATGCGTCTCACTTTTGTCAAGACGTCATTCTCAAGGTCGCTGGTATTCTTACGGTCAAGGGCGGTACCGGTGCTATCGTTGAATACAGAGGTCCTGGGGTGGAATCCCTTTCTTGCACGGGTATGGCCACGATCTGTAACATGGGTGCGGAAATTGGTGCAACTACGTCTATGTTCCCTTTCAACAGTCGGATGACGGATTACTTGAATGCTACCAAGCGGTCGGACATTGCGAAATATGCCTCTCAATTCTCCTACAACTTGAAGGCTGATGAAGGTGCCGAATATGATCAAGTCATTGATATTGTAGGTTCCACTTTCTGCATTGTCATCAACTTTCCCTCACTATAATCACAGAATCTATCGGAACTTGAGCCCCATATCAACGGCCCTTTCACCCCCGATCTTGCTACTCCCCTTTCGCAATTCGCCTCCGAGGTCAAGAAGAACGGCTGGCCAGACGAGCTCAAAGTTGGTCTTATCGGTTCTTGCACCAACTCTTCGTATGAGGATATGTCGCGTTCTGCTTCCATCGCAAATGAAGCTGCCAGCCATGGTCTCACGACCAAGAGCAAGTTCACGATTACTCCTGGTTCGGAACAGGTCCGTGCTACGATTGAGCGCGACGGTCAGATCAAGGCTTTCGAGGATGCTGGCGGAGTTGTTCTCGCGAACGCTTGTGGACCCTGCATCGGTCAATGGGACAGGAAAGATGTTCCCAAGGGTACACCCAACTCCAGTAAGCTCGTATTTTTCTATATTGTACTTGACTGAACCTTGTGTTAGTCATAACCTCCTACAACCGAAACTTCACCGGCCGTAACGATGCTAACCCCGCTACCCATGCCTTTGTTGCATCTCCTGATATCGTCACTGCTATGGTTTTCGCTGGCTCGCTTTCCTTCAACCCTACTACTGACACACTCATCGGATCTGACGGAAAGCCCTTCAAGTTTTCTAACCCCTCCGGAAACGAGCTTCCCCCACGCGGATATGACCCAGGACAAGATACCTTCCAGCCTCCTCCTGCCGACCGTGCCAGCGTCAGCGTCGCCGTTGATCCCAAGAGTGACCGTCTCCAGCTGTTGCAACCCTTCCAACCTTGGGACGGAAAGACGCCTTCTGACCTGCCTATCTTGATCAAAGTCAAGGGTAAATGCAGTAAGTACTATATTACATTAGGCAAACACACGGTGGCTCAAACATTAAGATCAGCAACCGACCACATCAGTGCTGGAGGACCATGGCTCAAGTACCGTGGACACTTACAGAACATCTCTCGTGGGTCCATTTTGTCAATTTTCTACGAAGGAACCTAACGATGCTACTCAGAAAATTGTCTGATTGGCGCCATCAACTCGGAGAATGGCGAGGCGAACAAGGTGAAGAACCAGATCACCGGTGAATGGGATGGTGTTCCTCAAGTCGGCGCCTACTACCGAGACCACGGCATCAAATGGGTGGCTGTCGGCGACCACAATTACGGTGAAGGTTCCTCTCGTGAGCACGCTGCTCTGGAGCCCCGGTATCTTGGAGGCCTTGCCATTATCGTTCGGTCGTTTGCCCGTATCCACGAAACTAACTTGAAGAAGCAAGGCATGTTGGCTTTGACATTTGCAGACCCTGACGATTACGAGAAGGTGAAGCCGAGTGATAAGGTTGATATCCTTGGGTTGGATACCTTTGCGCCGGGGAAGAACCTGACACTCGTGTTGAAGCATGAGGATGGAGGCAAGGAGGTTGGTCTTCCACGATTTCGTTGTCATCTCGATGTTCACTGTGGCTTTATAGGAAATCCCCCTCGCACACTCCTTCAATGAGGGGCAGATCGCTTGGTTCAAGGCTGGCTCTGCTCTTAACTTGGTACGTAGACATTCAGTGTTGCAAGATGTTTCTAATTTCCTTTCTAGATGGCGGCCAAGGCTAAGGGTCTGTAGATATCTTCTTAATATTAGCACATTTTTTCATACTTGGAAAAACAAACACATTCGAAATGAACCAGACTAAGTTCCAGGGATCATACATGCACGTACGGTCCTGGATAGGGATTTGGCGTGAGTAATTCTTTGGCACTTGAAGTTTGACAAACCAGAAAAGTCGTACTGACATGGGTGAAGGGCATTGTACACGCCCACATTTGAATGTCAACATGAATCAGCAAAATTCTTTGTAAACAAGATGCCGGACCGTGCCAGAAACCCAAAAGAGAAAGATTCGCACATCTCTTTCAAAAGGCTTGCAGCCGAGGGAACTCCAGTTGAAACGGTCACACAACGCGCCATCGGTGGCATCAAAATAGCAATGCACAAACTTGAACTTACCGAAGGCATGTATGACTCTTCGTTGTTCCCGCTTCGCCGGTCACGACCTAGCAGTTACTGGAGACGAGCGTCTGGCCGCAAAGCGCAACCCTTTGCGCAAACATTTACTTAGCCTCTTGACTCCAAGATTTACCAAAGAAGCGGAGGCCGATCCAATTAGTAGTCAGGGTAGTATACCATCACCTACCAGGAAGCTGTGGCGACGCCGAAAGTATTCCTCGATATCTACTTCTGACTCTGAACACCTCATAGTTTCTCCCATTTCCCCACCGACGTCTCTACCACCCCCTCTGCCTCCTAAACCATCGAAGCCAGGAAAGAGGAAAAGCGCCTTTGTTGAAGAGGAAGAAGATGTACGATCACCAAACCTGCTCCAGGATCCCGGTCTTCCGCCAAGCTCATACGACAGAATACTAATCAACAGACCCATTGTACGAGTTCCACATAGTTCCGACGCGCCATCGCCTGTATCAGCGGAATCTGCTCGCACAGAAATACCTGTCTACCTCAGTCCCAGGACACTGTCGAAGCAGCGGGACACATCTTCAAGTGCATACTTGACAGCTAGCCAAGACAGAGTTCAGCGTGACAATGACGAGGAAGAGGTCCTGTATCCTGCCGCTATACATCGTGTCCGATCACCCTATAGCCCGAGTGACGATCGCCGCCATGGTCGTGAGATCAGTTGGATTGTCTCCCCAGGTCAGTGTGGTTCTTGTGTGGTCCATTCTTGAACATCCATGCACATCTCACCTAGTTCCAGAAATACCCATGCCAACTGACGACATAGACCGAGAGGAAGATGAATTGGACCCCCCGTCTTCAAGTGTCTCTGTATCAATTTTGCAACAGGAAGCATATGATTCATCCCTCCGCGAGTCATCAGATTCACAGAATAACGCGGTTATTGAGTCTGGACCATCGCCAGACACGGCTTCACCCTCGCCATCTTCGTTAATGGCTGCTTCCTCTACTTCCCTGACGTGCGCGAGTGATGAGTCTATATCTGTCCAGCCATCTTCATTGCGGCTGTCCGTGATTTCGCCCGTGCAAGGAGACCGTTCTTCTCTCAGTACAGATTCCTTGGACACTGATGCATCTGAACGCGGTGACGAAGATACGACCTCAATCGACACTTGGGGGAAGATCCAAAGTTTCTCCAGGTCTCATTCACGGACCAATATTGGACATCCACAGGAACCACTGTATCATAGAGACTTCGGTATCAGTCATGAAAGTGGGTCGAGTCTTGCCATCAGCAGGACGGACAGGCACGATGGAAGTACGTTAGCCTTGCGACAATCCCAAATCATGCAGCCGTCACCTGCTTCTGCTTCTGCGCCTTTGCCAACACCCACTTTCGTGCTGCCTGCTTCGGGTTTTGATCGGTATCAGAGCCCCAAGTTGTTCCCATTTCCAGGAATGAGGATACCGGAAGAGCGTCGAGCTAATGGCGGGACTGCTGGTTCGTCATCCACCCCGGATGCCATTACTCTTGGCGGCAGGGTTGAGAAAGAACAAGTCTCTATGCAGGACAAATCTTGGAGTTCATATCTTGACCTGAGTGCCGAGGGCATAATCGAACATCATATGCCTGATGCAGCTTTGCAGTACCGTTCCCGCAATTCACTTAGGCATTTCAACAGCCTTTCTGAAGGATCTAGTACATCAAAGCTACCTATGACACTGCCGGCTGTACGGAAATGGCTGAACACTGAGAAGTCAAAGCTTTCTTCCCCACCGTCTGAAAGAGCCGATCTTGCCTACAACCGGTCAGATCTCTTTAACGCCTTCACCCCCGATGTCAACCTCCCATTTTCCCAGCCGTACCAGTACGGGTCACACACTAGTGCTGGGTCTACCAGTGTCACTTACGCACCTATGCCCCCAGCACCAAATTACAAAAACGAGCCAACTGACAACTACGGCTATTCCAAGTCTTCCGAATATTTGAACCCTCTTTCTTCCTCTAGCTCTTACTCCGGGGATGATGCATCAGATGAAGTCTCATTATACAACTATGAAGAATCGTCCACCAGTAAAACGGGGCATACTCTTTTTGGTGAACCATCCCCGATCCTCCCAACTGCTTCTGTGTCTCTTCAGAAAGTTTCGTCCGGAATGGGGGTCTCTGTCTCGTTGGCAGATGCCTTGAAAGACGAGGTGAGATTCTATTCATATATTCCATATATTAGTTACCCATAGGAATAGGCTGTCGTAAACGCGCTTCTAGACGCGTGCAGACGGGGACCAGGACCCTGGCATATTCTCGATGTTACCACAGACAAAATAGTCAAACAGGTCGTGACGGCGCTTTCTAAATCAGATATATACGACCAGTTAGCGGATCTAACGGTTAAGCAAGCACAGTCCTCCTTGGACTTTCTTCAGGACGTGGGAACTATTTCCTCTAAAAACTTTTATTAACAACTCAGCATCGGCTAGCTTCTAGACATACCGGGTCTTCCATTGTCATACAAATGCACATTTTTCAAGACTTCTCTCAAATTATCGCGCATGTATGACTGCGTACCTCGGTGTCTCATGCTCAGAGGCTTCAAAAAGACGGGTGATTATCCGTTTGCTCGAGGTCATTTTGGTGACTTGTGGAGAGGTGAGGTCGGAGGAACGGAAGTTGCTGTCAAACGAGCAAGAGTATTCACAAGCGATAATAATATCCAGAAAGTCCTGCGGGTATGTTGCTTCATTATCTCATGAATCAAAAATTCATCATAACTTTTTTCTATAGAGAATAAGACGAGAAGCTATTATCTGGGGGCAGTGCGATCACCCTAATGTCCTACCTTTCTACGGCATTTACCGCGATTCTGCACCTTCTACCTACTGTCTCGTGTCGCCATTCATAGTCAATGGACCACTTCGCCAATATCTGAGAAATACTGATAATCCTAATCGGCACAGACTCGTAAGAATTGTGCTATTCGCTGCTTCTTTGATATCTAATAAACAGTAGGCTCTGGACATTACGCGTGGCATGGGTTACCTACATAAACTATCCATCGTTCATGGCGACCTTAAAGGGGTGCGTCCCAGAGCATTTTCCCCAGATATTCATCGGACTCAACCAAGATAAGGATAACATCCTGGTTACCGATGACCATATAGCGGTTATTGCGGATTTCGGTATATCTTTCGTGACGGGTGTTACGACCATCGGAACTTCGTCATCATCGCGGAAGGGTGGCACCGTAAAATGGCAAGCTCCAGAGGTTCTCAACGCCAGTCCCAACAGCTTTTCAGCTGATGTATATTCATTGGCATGTGTGTACTTTGAGGTATGTTTCTTTCCGAGAACTATACCATTAATAGATCTCTGATCCCCTATAAGGTATTCGACGGTTCAATACCTTGGACCGACCTAAATGATGGAACCGTTATCATAAATGTCAGCGTCCACAAGAAGCATCCTCCACGCCCGAGATACCTGGCGACGACTAAATTTGCTGATTTATGGTGGGAACTTATGGTACAATGTTGGGCTTATAAACCTTTAGATCGACCAACTCTCCAACGTCTCGCGGAGTCTCTTGACGCGACAGACGATACCCTACCTCCGACGACGAAATGGGACAAGTCTGTCCTGACGCGACTTCGTGATCCTCTGTTCCAAGGCAAATTAATTATACCTTCTGGCTTACCGCCATTCTTGAATATTGAGGGTGTTTCCTCCTTATCTGATCCAGGTCCACTCGGCGTTGCCGGATCGGAGTAGGACCGGCCCCACATCTTTGCAGTTTCGAAGGAGAATGCGTATTATATAGCCCATGTATCTGTCCGACCAGATATCTACCTATATGACCCTTAGCCTTCGTTACGTAGACTAGTCATCTTCCCTGTCAGCTCTGCACTGCTATCTTGCTCTTGCTCTGTTCCTCTCTACTGTATATCCAAACATTACGGTTCAAGTGTATCACGCCTCACCTCATTAATATAGCACACTCAACATCAATGAATTTAACTTGAAGGGCTTTAATTTTACCGTTTGTCTTCCTCCACTGAATAACCAAACCGCAATACAACCTAACCCATTAAACCGTAAAGACTTAGATAGCGCTCAAGTTTCGATCCGAGAATGATGAGGATTGGTTCGAGTCTAGATTGTCGTTTGACATCGTACCATTAGCCTTCTTGGCGCCCATGCATAGAGCACATTCGGATGGTTCATCACTTATCCCTCAACGCATGTACAACGCAAAGCTCCCAAAAAGAGCAGTACGATGGATTCATTGCCAGTAAATCATTTGAACGAGTCCAAAGAAAAGTCTCAGCCTCAAAGAACAGAGCAGCGGAACGTACGCCATCTTGGCCATTCGCTTCATAAATGGAACTGCATGGTGAATACTTATGGACCAGTGCATCCTCTGCCCTGCAGGATTCTGAGTATCGGAATCACCTCGTTGGTATATGTTCCATCAGTTAGATATCGCCTGCCAGAGTCCAAGAAAGTTATTTTTTAATTTAAATCAGTATACATTTATTACATTCGTCCTTAACTTCATGCTACAGTCTTTGACACAATCTCTAGCGCTGCTTGGAAATCAGCAATGATATCTGAAATAGCTTCGATGCCGACAGAAACCTGGATCGAAGGTAAGGAGAAGAATGAGCGTAATTGAGCGTAAACTTACCCGAATCAGATCGGGAGTAACACCAGAATCTTTCTGCTCCTCCTCGTTCAACTGAGCATGCGTCGTCGTAGCAGGATGGATAACCAGTGTTTTAGCATCACCTGTCACCAATATGGTAAGAATCCAACGCTGGCAACATGCTTCGTTACCACTTACCAACGTTAGCCAATTGACTAGCCAGCTTAAGGTTGTCAACGAGCGTGCTTCCTGCAATGGCTCCTCCCTTAACCCCAAAGCTCAGCATTCCACCAAAGGTGTTCGGCCGAAGAAGCTGCTTAGCCAAGGTATGCGATTCGTGCGACTCGAGACCGAGATACGACACCCATGTAACCTGTGGCTGCTTCTCCAACCACTTGGCCAACGTAAAAGCGTTTTCGCTGTGGCGCTGCCCACGAAGACTTAATGTCTCCAAACCTTGCAAGAAAAGGAATGCGCCGAAGGGATTCAAGGCTGGGCCTATGTCTCGCAACAGCTTAAAGAGACGTGAATTAGAATAATATTAAAAGGTCATGTCGACAATCAACTCACTTCTGTTCGGACTTTGACGGCGAAAGAGACCGGACCGAAAGTGTCCCAGAACACGAGACCGTGGTATCCCTCAGACGGGGAAGTGAACCCAGGGAATTTCCCAGACTTCTTCCAATCGAATTTGCCTGTTGGGTGTGTGAGAAAGAGCCGTAATATGTCGACAAAAACAATGAAACGAACCGGCGTCGACGATGATACCTCCGATAGTCGTTCCATGACCACCGATCCATTTCGTAGCACTATGGACAGTAATGTCGGCACCGAAATCGAGGGGTCGCACTAAATATCCACCCATACCAAAAGTGTTGTCCACAATCAACGGAATGCCGTGGTCGTGGGCAACCTGGGCGAGGGCAGGGATATCGAGGACATTGTATTTAGGGTTGGTGATGCTCTCGATGTAAAGTGCTTTAGTATTGTCGTCAATTGCGGCGGCGAAGGATTTTGGGTCGTTGTCTGTGACGAACTTGACACCGATACCGAACTTCTTGAAGGTCACTGTAAAAGCACGGTAAGTGATAGTTACAACTGTCTGATTTCCTTCTTACCCTTGAATTGGTTGTACGTCTGTTCAAAGTTTAAGCAATTGATCCGGTAAACTGGCGAGCGGACTTACTCCACCATAGAGATAAGAACTGGAGACAATATTGTCTCCGGCATTAGCGATGGCGGAGATGGCTAGGAATTGGGCGGATTGACCAGAAGCGGTCGCGACGGCAGCAATACCACCTTCGAGGGCAGCTATACGTTCTTCGAAAACGGACTGTGTCGAACTTGAGATATGTAACAGAGAAGAAGATGTCCGATATCACTCACAACGGTGGGGTTACCGATCCGAGAGTAGATGTTCCCGGTAGCCCTGCAAGCCCGCGTCTTTCATCACTATGCGGCAATCATCTGCAATCATTCAAAATCCATACCTCAAGCCGAAGAGGTCAGCTCCATGCTAGATGGCAGTAAGGAAGGCGATCGTCATCGATAAAGTGCAACGTACAGCAGAGTTGTTGAACACAAAACTCGTGGACGCGTAAATTGGTACAGCTCTCGCGTTGGTCGCGGTGTCAGGCCTCTGTCCGCCGTGCAGCTGGATGGTGTCGAATTCGGGCTCCCTGTTGGAAAAAAGCATCTCAGACATCGTCCCACGACACCAAGAAAACAGGAGAGTTACTTGTAGAATGGGTTGGACATCGTTGAATTGAGAGGCTAGGGATATCGATAATAATCGGGAGCTAGATCGCTTTTAAAGGCGACTGCCGTTATGATGGCGTGCTTCATGGAATAACATGTCCAGAACAGTTGTTCTTGAAATGCACCTGTATGGCGTCATCGTACGCTAAGTTGACCTAAGATTTCGGAGATGTGGGGAATCAATTAAACTCAGACATGGCTCTCCCCGCTGCCAAGGGATTAGACAGGAGATAGTAAACTGCAGACCGGGAAAGGAGGGATCGGGGCAATTGGTCGTAAGCTTAGCAAACATGGATCTTCAAGATTCAATAACAACAAGGAAAGCCGAGGAGGAGAACAATGCTCCTGTCTAACAACCATCGACTAGTCTCAGCCAGGTTTTCGATTTGCGTAACACGAATCGGTTTGAGCGGCTCTAAGGAGCTCTAAGCCATTTTCTGATTAGATCTATTTTTTAGTACCACACGGCACGTCCTGCCAATTAAACTTAGCTTTATTATATAAAAGCACTTACAAAAAAAATATGAACATCTCACTGTTCTGAGGCTTTTCGGGACAGAAAACATGTTTATGAAGGTGGGTACTGTGTAAATACATGTTTTCTACAATAAATTATGCACATTTCCTGTCAGAAACTATGAAATGTCTATATTTATCGCCGAGTACTGAACAGACCGAGTTGCTTTGCTCAAATCGAAAACCTGCCTGAGACAGCTTGGCAACCGTAATCGACTGTGCTGGAATGCGCGATACATACTACAACAGCAATAACGGTAAACATCATAGAGGCCGGCATCGCCTCGTCGTGCATAATTCTTCATTTTTTTATGTAATCATCATTCATATCACCTTGGCTTGACCAAAAGACACGACTGAGCAATAGACAGCACCGGCACCACGGACGCAATTTCACCCAGTCCCACCCACTGCAGTTCTATGCGGATCTCGACAAGTAGTCCAGATCCAAACAGTACTGCCAGAACATTGTGCAACAGCGCCCAGGCGAGGCTCAGCAGAATACGCCTCCATGTCATGCGCGACACCATGATAGTCTGGACAAGTCCTTTGAGGCCACCGGAAAGTATAACGACATCTACTGAATTAATAGCTATAGCTGTGCCCGACACCAGGGACACACCGATATCTGCTTGGGCGAGAGCTGCAGTATCATTACTTCCGTCCCCCACGAAGACCACGAAGTTCTTTTGTTGTGACCATTCCTGCGCACGGTTATTGCCATTATCATGCCCGGACTCTTACGTCGCCTGGGGCACACGATGCGCTCCACGAAGTTATACGCACAATATCACGTTTGTCTTCAGGTAAGCAATTCCCCCTCGCCTGGACACCTTTGACTCCTAGCTGACGACATACTCCGTCGACGGCTTTCTGATGGTCGCCACTGAGCATGGATACTGAGATCCCTCGCGCCACCAGAGATGACACAACCTCGGTGCTCTCAGGACGAATATCATCCTCCAGTCCGAAGGCGGCGAGGAAGACACGGTCAACCGTGATAGCGAAGACGCTCTTTCCGGCGTCTAGCATGGTGGCTACTCAATCAACCTCTTGCACAGCGCACCAGCCAACGCTTCCTCCACGAACGATAGAACCATTCCAATTGGCTTGAATGCCTTTCCCCACAATAGTCTCTACGTCATCAAGCTCCTCCACTAAAGCACTTTGCGCAGGCAAGTATCTGGCCACAGCAGCTGAAACAGGATGTTCTGATCCCGTAACCAGAGCCTTGATCGGCCCTTCAGCAACCCCTGTAATCCATATGTCATTATCTTCGTTGAAAACTGCTTCGACTATTCTCATCTTCCCTGTCGTCAAGGTCCTCCTTTTAACCTGTAGATACTGGTTCCTCTGACTTGTGGGTTATTTCGAATGCTTGCACATCTGGAAGTTATGTGACAGATGTCTCGCTATACCCTCAAACGGGCTTTTCATCGACAGGTCTTGAAGCCCAGCTGTTTTATGGCGACTCACGGACAGGAACCTATGCCTTTGACCCCATAGGACAAGATACAGTCTCACCGGCGGGATTGCGTCTCGATGACCAATATTTTGCCTTGATAAATGATACAGGTGCAGCAGGGATTTTCGGTCTTGGTTTCCCCTTCAACTCCGTCTCTGCCCTACGTTTCTTCCGTTCCTAACTGTTTCTATACAGTTTCATCTGGTCAGACGTGTTCTTCTACGAGCACACATCGCTTTTCCAACGTCAAGTAGAAGTCGCCAACAATGCCAAGGAAACTTTAGAACACGCTCTCTTCCGGGCCTCAACGTCATGCTTCCTGCGTTTTCTGCCCTCACGAGCCATATTGGGCCTCAGCATCAGCAATTGGATCATTCTAATTCGTACACTCCATGGGCCCATTCGTTGCTCGGCTCATAGCTATGGCAGACTTGAACGCCCCGATGTTCACTGTGACCTTGCAACGGAACACAATATCTCGAGGAGGTAACGTTGGACAGCTAAGCATCGGAGAGCTCCCCGCTGGTATCAAGAATGAGTCTCACTTAGGTTCCCATTCGCTCATATTCCAGCGAAGAACGTGGTCTGGCCAGGCCAACAGGTGCTCCGAATAAGGTATGTCGAACCTAGACTTAGCTTTCATGATCGCCACCCACACACCCACGCATAGAAATACCCCATTACCTGGGAACTCTTCATTGATGCACTGACGCACTTGAATTGAATAACTCCTCTCTCGCTTCTTCGGATATCACGGTCTCTGGTCTTGTTGATACCGTAAGTGTATTGGAACGTTAACCTTTCAGCATATTCACTGATATATGTTCTGATTCATGATAATGAAAAACACAAGTTGTATTATTCGTATCTTATATGCAGCTGATTCAATGTCCAAAACGCAATAGCAGCGTCTAGATAGTAGCAAACATACAAACTTAACTT